GGTGACAGGATAATGGGTAGACGGCGGACTCGGTAGGCATAGATGATTGATCTGCTTCTCGATGCCACTAACGTTAATTGGATGATCGATGACTTTCCGCGGTTATTATAATGAAGTAGGTACGCAGAGAATTCGGCGCGAACACGCCCGGTCACCGGGTAAATTCCGGAAGCTTAATTATTTTACACGGTCGTCGATCATCGAATATAATGTTATATATGACTATAACAGTTTTACACCGCGGCCTGGCCGATCGTCGAACTAAGTAGAATCAAAATATATAATTATTTACACTAAAATAATAATAATAATCTAAACTCGCAGGCCTCGAGATAAACTCGATTAAGAGAACATGCTTGCGTCGGCAGAGATGTACCTCGAGGGTTCGTTATGGCAGCAGCGTCGGATATCCAAATGAACGACCGGATGCCGCGTACATGTTCTTTGCCGGAAGCGTATTACTGCAGCAAAACTTAACGAAACCACCCGCCCGTACACTTAGACAATGACATGTACGTCACTGGGAATAACGTTTTGGGGAAAATGGCAAACCGAGTAGGCAAATATATATGTATATAAACTACGTACAGGAGGAATTAGCAGCAGTTTCTCGGCGGCGAAGCAATGGGAAACTTAAGAAACTTTCCAACGCCTTAGGGTACTAGTGTATATTTTTCTTTCGAAAAACGAGCGCTTCATCTGCATCTGGCACCTAAGAAGACGTTCTGGGAGCAAAATAAAACAGGTAAACCGCACACCGATAGTTTTCCGTCGTGTCATAATTCAATTTTATTTCTAGAGCTTAACGCCTTACGTACGTCGGGTTCATAAATTACTGTACACCTAAGTAACAGATAATGTTATGAAACAGAGACTGTAGAATATTATATAATACGCTGTCGACTCACACTCCCTTTGTTTGAATACATTGACTTTATTCAAATCATTCTAAGTACAAAAAAAAACATTCAGCAAGTTGTTATATAGAAACATAACATGAGGTAAAATCATTGCTATCTTCAATGTTCGAAACAAACCACGACTATTTTGTGGTCTACGGTTTAACAAAAATGTTTTTTATTAGAATACTATTGAAAAATTTAATAATTATTTAAGAGTATCAGTATTAGAACTATTTACATTCTAAACAATAAAGGGAAAATTCTATATTATGATTATTTCCTATTTACAATAATATATAATAATATTATTATTTGAATTAGTTGTTTAGATAAATCTAAAGCTTTGAGATTAATTACAATGATAAGTAGAAGAATCAAACGATATTTTCATTACGTCGTCTAAATTTTTTTTTAATACACGGCATTTAAATCTCGAAACATATTTACTCGTCTTTCAGAGATTTCCACTGTAGTTGTTTCACGAGGCTGCAAAATTGTATGGGGTGGGATGCACGTATATATTTATGCGTTTTGCTTAACAACTAAGTGACTGGTATAGTGGTTCTGACAGCCGGGTAATTAACAGTCAGACGTACTGAGACATCATGTTGTCGGATCGGGCGTAGACCCACGGTCATCGCCATCACCTTATTTGCGTATGCATTCGCGATTCCCCTTCGTAAAAAGGATTTCTACCGGCACGTCAGTGGGTTGTGAAAATTTTATTTCAAAACCTCGGGGTTGCCGGGCAAAACAATAGCGTTGTATACGACCAATTAAAATTGAATCATCACCAGAACATAATAATATTATGATGTTTTTATATAAAAATCGAGGGATGTTTAACGGGTACCTGTATGGCCAATGATCGTTGCTTAACCCTCGAGGTTTTTTTTTTATTTTCTTTCTTTAGATTATTGCGGTTTACAATATCCCTGGGAATTGCCCTGCGACCATAAAACCGTGTACCCGCCGAATTGGTTTTAGATTGAGACGGTGTCCCCTGTCAAACGAATTTATATTTTTTTCCCCATTTTAAACCCACTTCAGAAACCACAAGTTTAATTACAAGGTTTGTGTACGCGAGCGCGCGCGCACCAAGTGTGTGTAGTGTGTATGTACAGTATTTACAAAACTTGTGAAAAAAAAATATAAGAACTTTTCCTAACTTCGGTGAACCTTTGCTGACTTTTAATTACCGTCGTAAAATAGTAGCTACACTCGCTTCCCTCGGCATTTCTCATCAAACACGCACGTCGTTCTGATCCCTTGCTTCTGGATTAGGCCTCGGGCTCCCCAAGTAAATATTGAACTAACGTTAAGACGTTGCTCTATACCGCCACCACTACCCACCGACTCGGTAATCACGGGACCCACGACGTGATGCCAAGAGACTCTTACACTATTGACTCGGTAGTTTTTCCGGCCGTTGTTCAAGAGCAATGATGAAATTCCCGTACACTCGAAATTTGATTAACCGTCAATATCGAACGAATGGTTTTTATTTCATTCCGCAACGTCAATTATTAACTGAGAAAACAAAGGGGTCTGGTGTCAGTTTCGATAATCCGAGCGCTCAATCTCCTTTGAATATAATAAGATGTACTTGTAGGCCGAGAGAGTGGATACGAAGAAAGGCGAAACCTAATAATAACTGTCGTAAAGACAGAGCTGCATACCCTCACCGATTGGCTACCACGGTCTGTCGATTAGGATAAGCTTTACTGTGAGAGAGAGAAGACAAAACGGACTTTACGACAACCCGGAACCCCAAAGTCAGATGGAAGGTTGCTTTAATAATGTCTGTGTCTATATAAGATAAAGCGTAATAATAAAAGCCCAAACATGTATAGACTCTGCAGGCAATATACATTTATATGTTCTAGCTAGTTGCTACAAAAGCAATGGATTATCTGATTTTGAAAAATTGTCTATTACGATTAATCATTAAAACGGTTATATTTGTATTATTTATGTTAAATTACGGACTATAAAGAACTCAATACTTAAAATCATACGTGACAGCTGTATCAAAATGTTTACAAATAACAAATTATCGTACATTAAATTTTAAGTGGCTTTACTGTTTTTCGAGTGAAATTTGTTCAAGTAACTTAATACTCAAATAAAGTGTATATTTTTAAGTCTTTTCTTTGGAGTTCCTAAAGTAAAATGACCGGACAGTAGATTACACGAAATTGCATACTAAAAAAACCTACTAAGTGCACGGAAATGGGGTTAAATTCGGGAATAGGGATGTAATCTGAGTAAAAGAGGGAGGAAAAAACATTGCGAATAAAAAGGGTGTTGCTTATAAAAAGGCTTTTTGTTAGTGTGAAAAACAAAAAAAAAAAGCATTTACTAGTAAAACATGCTGGCGGCACTTGGCCTCGCGGTGATCGTTAAAAAATCCTTTCGTTATCACTCTTTTATATTTTTAAGTTGAAAACGCGCAATAAAAAAATCAAAGCGGAAGAAAAAAAGGCAGCACTTAATTCAGAAATTAAAACACCGCATTAAATACACCAAAGGCTCTTCAGCATTGTCACTAGAGCCCTCGGATGTGTTTACAAACGATTTTATGTGCAAACAACAATGATGATGGGCGAAAAAAAAGGTTAAAAGATTAAAACAATAGTACATTCAACAATATTTATTTGACTGTAAAAAAGTTTTACATACCTTCACAAAATGCTTTATACGGTAATAGTATAGTAGAAAATGCACAATTAATAGGCAACTAAAATTATTTTTAAATTCTCTAATAAAGTTGTTCATTTATGATTTGCGGTGCCAAGAAATATGGTTCTTTGATAGCGGTGCAAATATATCTGGCGAGTGAGGTATCTGCATGGTTCCGGTCCAGTGGTTTCCACCCGGTAAACCCCTCGACTATGGGTTTTATAAAGAACCGAGTTCAGTTGAGTTTTTGCAGCGTCGCATGTCCCCTCAGATATCACCGTCTTCTCCACGCATATCGGTGGCTTTGTTACGGCCGATAGTCAGATTATATGCATAACGAAATCGTAATGAAGACATTAAAGGGTCGCATATTGATCAAACGGCCATTCCACCTCACATTCACTCTTTTCCACCCTCGCTTCCTCGCTTGACAATAATATCGCCTACTACTATCCTTACAAATGATACGCTCTCCCTCACTCCGTTCGTTTACAATGAAACTCCTTACAGTAAACACAATCAAGAATGCTCTCGTCCGATCAGATCTTTTATAAGACATGGAAAAGTTCTCTCGAAATTATTTTCAAAACATTTTCCAAACGTTTACACCACGCAATGTGCAGCTACTTTTGAATGTTTGCTACTCAAAAGCCAAAACTGTTCAAATACCACGTCGAATACAAAATGATAATATTATATAACAGTCGCTTATGCGTTATATTTTACATTTTGTTTTTCTCTTCAGTTTTGTGAAAAAGTTTATATTTTTTTGTGCTGTGTCTAGTCGAATAGTTTCAATCCGCTTTCCGATCTCTGTAGTGTGTTCTGTTGATACTAGAGAGAAGCTATATACTTCTAAGACCGTTTCCCCTAAAAAGCTTAGTGTTATAGACTATAGTAAGAGTATACCTAGCGGAATCAAGGCTAAAGGGGTCGAAAAGGCATAAATCCCTTGCGTGCTGTTTTCTCTCACACTTCTCAGGCGCCTCGCAGTACTTTTTTTTTTTTGTGGGGCGAAGGATTTAAGCTATAGTAAGATACGTTCGCGAAGAAGGGGAACGAAAAAAAGAAAACCGTGTTAAGGGGGACGTCTTTTGTTAAATGATACACCGCCAAACACAATGATGAAAATAAAAACATACCTATATGATCGCGAATAGGCCAGTTCACCTACATGGCCTTTTAATATAATACCGTTGCGGTAACGTTCAACAGGTAGCCTATTTTAGAGGTCCTATATGCATCGTTATATACTCGAGATCTTTTTTTATTTTATTGCGCTTTAAGTCATAACGTTTACAAGGGGTTGATGTGGTCACTTATAGCGATAACATTCATTCAATACACGGACCATATCGGTTAGGTATTATATTTATAATTTCCTCTAATAATATTTATATTTTGTTTTTTTTTCAGACCTGTCAGTTCGGCGAGTGAAATCTGTTCAGACAATGAGCAAGGTAAGAAATATTGCATAACAAACCTCACAAATAAATGTAATTTTTTAATTGAATTAGTACAATGTATAATTGTATTATCAATTATAGTTAACATATAAATTATGTTCGTTTTTAAGATGTTAACACATATACGCTAATTAAACGAGAAGAAAATGAATAAATATCAAGCACTATGTTTTTCACTATCTTAAAATATAATTATTATATTATTATTATATTTTATATTTATCTATGTTCGGTGTAACCGCTACGGGGAAAAAACGTAAATGCTAATAATTTCAAAGTTAGTAGGGTACGAGAAAAGCAAGCACACACTCCTCTCATCGACATATAAAAACAAACAACACCGCTACGGCAAAAGTTTTAATGAAATATGCACGAGGCAAGGGTTATTTACTCGACGGTCGACTTTCTAATTTATCAAAAAGACATTTCGCTCAAGTGTATACAGATACCTCTCTTTCTCGTTCATCTCACTCTCGTCTTCGACTTCTTTGTGCTACCCGTTTGGCTGTCATCCGAAACGCATTAATATACCGACGGTCCTGTGAGCAAACACAAACGGGACAGAATCGGCCAAGTATTTTAATTTATCTGGAACGCCAATACACTAAGTTTCAACTTCTTCCTGTGCCTGTCTCCCTCTGGACGTACATGTGGAACGGTCTCATGGCAGAAAGTATACATATAATATATATATATGTATATATACAAATCTATATATATATTTATATATTAATTAAATTCTCCGACGGAGTATCGACCATCAAAGAAACCGAGTAAGGAAAGTAATCTTAGATACCAGTATATGTCTACTAAATATATATTGAATTTTAAAATACTAAGAGTTTTATCTAATTGCTAATAAGAAGGAATACATTTTTAATGGCTATTGACTTATAATTTCTGTTTACATAATTGTAGTTCTTTTAAAACAAAATATAATCATTTGAGTTCATAAAATATAATATTATGTAAAAATGTTCGCAAAGTAAAGGTTTTTTTTTTTAACAATTTCGATTAATACTTTTTTAATTAATTTAATCTATTATAATATACATTTTATAATATTACATCCGTTTAAAAATAAAACACGTCTAGCTATAAAATGGCACATTACCTCGAATTTGTATTTTAAAAACATTTGTTTATGACATTTCTATGATGTAGATTCTACGAAAACGTCTTAAGATCTCTTAAGACGATTGAAATGATTGGCATGTGTATTTCTTGCAATATATAATAATCGATTTTTAAATAAAGCCAATTAAAGATAAATGAAAATAATCAACCAATAGTCAAATTTATTTCATACTGTCATCAACGTTCATATAATTGAAACTATATTAGTAGTTATAACAGTAAATTAAATCATGATCTACAAACAGTGATTTAAATCGTTTTATAAAATGTAATTAATGGTTAATGGAAATAATTTTTTAATTTTTTAATGGCATAAAACAATTCAATGACAAGCTATTTTGTTATTACAATTCTAGTTGAAATATTTTGGTGAATGAAACGCCCGTGCTTTTGTGTAAATACCCGTCGATTATAAACGTTTTGATCATTTATATAATGCGAGAGAGGACCTCCCGCACAGACAACACGAAGTCACTAAAAGGTGCTTAGCCTAATGGGGAATTAAATACATGAACGATTTACCCGACAAAGAAGATCGGTACGTTAGTAGAACGACAACAAATGACATACTTGTTGCTGAATATTGTCTTACATAAATGTCGAAATCAATTTTATTACAATTTAAATACAAATGTAAAAAATAAGTGTTAATTAGTAACTATTATATTTTTTTTAAGAATAAATAATTTCATTCGTGGTTAATATGTTTTGACAATCCCGCACTTTTATGATTAATCAATGCTTTTTTTTTTATATAAGCAAGTAGTATTAAACGTATACAATTAAAATTTTACGTTAACCACTTTACCCTATTAAAAACATTTATGAGTCTCGGTGACGGATACAACCAGCAAGCGAAAATAAAATGCACAGTTGTCTCGTAGTAGGGAAATAGTATAGCAACGAATGCAAATATCTTTAGATGCGTTCAATTTTGCACATCTGGTATTTTAAGTAAAATGTGCGTCTTCCGAGAGAGTCTGAGATGGCCGTTGCCGGGGGCGGCGGTATGCCCTCGCTTGACAGCCACGCAAGTTATTATTATTATAAAACGAAATCAAATCTATTCGAACGCGACCGGCGGTCTCGGGTGAATAAATTAGCGGTTAAAACCAAATAAGTATGGTAAAGCTCTAAACCCACCCCGGAACCTCAAATATACTACACACACATACACAAGGAATTCCTACGGTTGTATGAAGTAATTATTACCCCTACCCTGTCTCCTTCGTGCGAAAGACGGCGCATACAAATCGGTCGACGGTACCGCCGTCGTATTATAAAATTTTGAATATGAATGGGCGAGTTTTGCATTTGTAATAAGCCTGAGCACGCGTTACCTCCAATGACGACGTCGCTGGCAAAAATATTCCACCCCGTTGATACTTCCCCTGCCGTCTCCTCCACTTCCACGTTACTTTCCGCACCGTCGCCAAAGGTGTGTGACATGTGTCGACGAAGAATAATTTCCCGCGCTGATTATGTTATTATTGCTTATAATGAGAGAAAGAGAGACAGACACTGCTTATGGTGCGCAACATCTAAAATTGCCGGTAAAAGTCAACCGCCAAAATCGTGTGCGTAATAATAATTTCGGTACGTGACTTTGGTGTTCTACAGGGTCCGACACTTCGAATATATATATATATGTATATATGTATTATCGGACACGGCGTCCCTGGGTGCACACCCTAATCCGTTACCGCCAAAATTAGGGATAACATGAATCGATAACGGACAACGCAAAGTGAGAGAAAGAGAAATCTCAGACTACTGTTAAGTAAAGTGTACAAGGTAATTAATACGGCGTGGACCTATTTCAAAACGCTGATTATTAAGGCCTGCCACGCATTGTGTATGCATATCCTAGGAAATTCACAACATTATGTCATCGGCCATCGTTGATACTACCTTTTATCGACCATCGAAATAAATTACCTATTTAACATTATATCTTCCTTTAAGTTTTATACAAATTTAACAAATCTTAGACACACCGCATACGTGTCGTATATATATATATATATATACTTACAAACATTTGGTTAGGTTTTCCTAGAATTTTCATTGACAAAAGACAACCGAATTTATTTAATCTACGACGTAGTCATTTTGTTGATTATGCTGAACAATAAAAAAAAATAAGAGGAGTACAATTAACAGTCATATTATACCTATAAGGTCCTGTATAAACGATTACTACATTACCATTATTATTAATGGTATCATGTAAAATACTATCAAAACTAAAGTTGAAGTATAGTAATAACTAATACAGTAATATACCTTAGAATTAATTAAAACAAAATTTAACCTCTTTTGGAACAAGCACATCAGCTATTTTTTTCGGTGAACTCGAATTTGGCCTCATAATTCCTCTAGAACGTATTTTTAAACACCAAGCTAGTTGAAGATATATATATATATATATCCGATCTATTCTTACTAGTTATTAAGTATGTATCTTTGAAGCTATCAAAAAAATAACTAAGACGGTTATTCAAGAAATCCAAATTTATTTTTGATATATGTAAATATTAAATATTTTTTGATATATTTTTACAGTATCTAATTTAATCATAATGTATAATTATGCATTTAGATCATCTAGCAGATTATCGCAATGGTAATCATTAGTATTTGTACCAATTCTATGAAAAACCCCTGATTGCATTTCTATTTAAAGTCAAAGGGAATATCATGTCGTAGAGTATAAAAACAACATACAAGCATCGTCAAACCAACAGCCTCGTGTCGTAACTCGAAGCACAATATCAGCCAAACGAAAGTAGTTTTGAAATAACGGATTTTGCGGGGAATTCTTCTGTAACTATATTGCATAAATGCTTACGTCAAACACGTGTAATGTGTTTAGACCAGTCTTTAAATTTCTGTACGTCACCGTTTCGGTGTAAAAGCAACTTTCAAGAGTTTATATTATAAATTTCTCGTCTCCCTCTTTCGTTTCGCCCCGACAACGCATCCGCCTTGTGAAACGCAGGAGAGCCGGAGATTTGGTTTGCTCATCAAGGACCTGTCTCGGTACCCGGTGGGTCGATGTTATTAAAATATATAATATGTACCTACCATTATAAACGAACAGTTAAAGTTTTTGGCAGGTTCGTAATAAGTATGGGTAAGTCGAAATATTTTTCAATTTCCTGGTGACGTCACCAGACTACGTTCATTTATGTGTAACGACACGAGGAATATCGTGACAGCACTTTCAGTGCAGACCCAAACTGGCAGATTTGACGAAAGTAAACTAATGTTTCACATGTTAACGTTGCATGTTAAGAATCAACCCAAATACTGCCAATACTCAAAAGTATCTACGTCAGATAATTTATTACACAATAAGCAATATTTTGTTGTTAAGACTTGACACACGATTTTATGTTACCAAATTTTAATAATTTCTGTTAAATTTACTCATATATCGCACAAAAAATATGTATAATGCTTTTCTCTAATAAAACAGTACACGTTACGTCCACAATTTAATGTAAGCTGACCAACGATTAATTACTTATTTTACAAATCGCAGCGGTTGTCATTTCTCGTCACCCGGTTGTTTTTAGTTCAAAGAATTTCGACAAATCTTTTAAAATTGCATTTGCGCGCAAACAAGTAAAAAGAAAACGCGGTGATTATTATTATTCAAATTGGCATCCGTTTCTTTTGAGCGGGTGTGTGTATGAAAACAGCTGAACCGTAAAATCGTATCTTGAGAATATTTGAAAGGAAAACTAACGTATAATAATAATAACGTAATGACAAACGTGTACGGTAATAATACATAATTTGGATTGAATCCTTAGGGTGCGTGGAATCAGTCATCCGGCAAAGAAAATCTCTTAAAAAGGATTAAATTATTGTCGCGGCGGTATACATGATGGAACTTCCAGATTTACATAAGGGCGTCAGGTGCGTGAAGCCTAAAGTGTCCCCCTCTGACATTTTTTTTTTATTTTATCACACCCTATATCTATGGGCGAATAAATATTTTCCCGGCGACGTAATCAATTCACATGAGATACGAGGTAATTCGATCGGTAGGATATTATTTATACGTATTTATTCCCCAAGACCTACAGCCGATGTCTTCTAGAACGCAGTCAGCATCTCTGCATTATAAAATCTTGCAATCTTCAATGCTCGATGCGTTTTAAATTGACCGAGTTTAGTTTTGTGTGATTTCAAATCCAATTATTAGTTTTATAATTATTAGACGCATTTTTAAATAGCAATACGTGTCCTGTCTCGGCTTTGTTAGTGAATAGAAACTGGTCTATGGTGTCTACCAAAGCGTGTGAACTTTCTATTGTTATATATTACAGTGAGTCACTCTGTAAATTCAGGACGGCAGCACAAGACGGATGAGAAATGACGTTGGACGCAAAGGAAACGGTGGCGCGGTTTACACGGTCGGTTGACGGTAACCGCGACGACCGCGGGCCGGAAAACAGTTGGTCATTAAAGACGGAACGCCCAAAGACGTATCGGTCCCATTAGAGCGAGGGAGAGAGGCGGGGAGGCGCAACTTTTGGCAAGTGGAATTCACTTAGGCTGTGGCGGTTGGGGAAAATGATGTATCGGCCGAGACGTGGGGCGGGCGGTTGTGTTGGGTCACGTGGAAAACCGTCGATTCTTCATGTATCGACCATCCATCAATTTCCAAACGCCCGCATCTCCTCTCCTTTTCACTTTTGAGTTTAAAGTCCCTGGACACCGCCAACGAAACATTATGGAAACGCGTAATCAATTTTCACAAAATATTATGTAAATCTTAACGGCAATGCTTTCGTGTACGTATACTGCATGGGCAATTATTAGCATAGTAGTATTATAATCGTATTCGTCCGTTTTGACCATCAGCGAACGTCGTTAGTTATAAAAAAATCCAGCAACAACTTCTTGCAGCAAAGCATTTTTTTATTCTTTGAGTCCTCAATGCTATGCTCCATAATGTACGAGTATTAGTCGCTCAGTGACATACAAATGAATCTAATTAACAACAGAAGTCAAACCCATGATTTCGGTAACATTTTAATCTTTTTTTTCGTTTGGTATTAATTAAAACCCTCAGCCGTCCGAACCTCATTACATTATTGAACGTGTATTATCTTATCGAACCGAATTCCACTTTTCCAAAGTTATTATACATTATCGTACCAATTAGGGATCGGAAAGGTTTTATGGGACCGCATAAAAATTTCCCAAGGAGTCTGTTAGTCGGCTTGTGTGTGCTGTCGCTGATGAAGTTTAAAAGCCCTCGTCGTGCAGTGCGTTCGAACAGTCGTAAAGATCGGTTAATACGACGCTGGTGGAAAAGAAGGCCGAGAAACACGTTTTTAAAATGCTGTTTACTGGTGGACAATGGTCATGTAAGGACTCGGGTCCCTAGTCCCGCCGGGATCGTTAGACCAGCTCCAGATTATTTGTTTTTCTGTTTGTGCTGTTCCCTAGTATGCCCACATAATCACGTTAACATCCCGTTAGGTCCCCCGACGTACTATCTTCTCGTTTATGTGTGTATTCTTGACGGCCAAACATACTGGGCATCCGTTTGTTTTCCTTAAGAATTCTTTTAGGAAAGGAATAGACAAATACGTATAAATGAGTAACAGTCCCATACATAGGTATTGCAGCTCGTCACATCTGCTATCAAACAGTATTAAGATATACACCGATAGCTTTAACAAATTACAATTATAAAATCTATTACCACATCATTCTAAAATTACAAAAACATTACATACTGTTTTATGACATACGTTTTCTAAAAATAAAAATAAATATATATATATAAGCTAACTAGAGCATTATGTGATGAATCAAAATGTTTGAAAACTCATCTCATTATAGTTTATTAAATGTGTAATATTCAAGTTCTTGCGTTATAAGTAGTGTAGTTTTATTTTTGTTAAATTTAGACTTTCAGAAAAAATGTCAATCGTACAAGCCATAAACATCAAAGATTGACATTATTTTTTACAAAATGTTTATTTTCCATACATACAAGGAAACACTAAGCAACATTTTTTCAGTTTCTGCGGTCATAAAGTTTTAAGTTTTTCGATGTCATTTCCGGAATAGGGGAACAACGAAATTCTCCGACCGCCAACATGACGGCACGTCATTTTTAACGCGAATTAAAAAAAAAGTGAAAAGTTGGCCATGTCCGGATTTTGAGTTGTACCAGCTTTGTTGTTCAGATTCCTTTCTCTCCCTATATTTTCACAGTGACATTTAGTGGTATTTTTATTACATACAAAAAAAAAAGAGAGAATAGCGAACACTTTTTTTATTTATTATTGCATTTTTAAATGGTTTAATATTTTTAATTGTTTAATTGTTTATCCCAGTAGACAGTAAAGAATTGCAACATTCAGAAACAAAGGGCTTGAAATCTAAAAATCTAAAAGTTTTCTACAAACTCAAATCACAAACGTATAATTGATATTAATTTTTAAAAATATATATATATATATTATTTGTATATTATAAGTTATATTAGTTTAGGAATATTTAACTAAGTTAGGATAGGAGGGGAAGTGCACGCAGATAAAAATAATACTATACTCCACCTTTCCTCCTGCCCTAAACTTGAAACTTTTATAACTTTAAAAATAGTTATCCAAAATTGGTTATCGACTAGTCAATATGTTTAGTACATTATTCTCAACTTCAAAAAGTTAATGAAATGTATGCGGTTCCATTTAAGTTTAAGAAGTTGATCTAAAAATAATTAGTTTGGGAAGTGAGTAGGAACATAAAAATTGGTGGAAATTGAGATCACATTATTTAAAGATAACATGGGAAAAAATGTAGTTATTAATTAAACCCAATGAGATATTGAATGATTCACGATAAAATTATTATTAGAGAGAGAGACAGAGACAGAGAGAAAGAGAGTAAGAGATAATAGGTTATAGTTATGATAATTCTAAATACAACTTAAATTTCATTTAGATAAACGCATAAGCTAGTTAATGAGTAATTATATTTATTTACTACTGTTATTTTTGAATACCTTATGTTTAACAGCTGTTGTTGATGAATAGTTGAACGTTTTACATACATACGTACCAGCCGTTCATAAACTAATGCATCATCAATCACGCTAGACGTCTACCGTATCTAAATTGCAATTTTAAAACTTGAAAGTCATTAACTGTTTTGGCAAAAGCATTTCAACATGTTTCCATTTTTTTTTTTTGCAGGAAGAAAAACTCACAACCAACGTCGCAGGGTATGCGGCTCATCAGGCCGATGGACAAAATATGTGAGTACCGAAGTAGTTTTGTTCACGTTATTATTTTTCGGAAAGCGTTTTTGTTTTCCAGAGGGTAAAATTATTAGGAAAATTCGCCGTAAGATTTACGGCCTCATTTTAAGCCTCTAGTATTTTGCCGTTCATATTTTTATTTCATTTTTTTGACTTACAAGCCCGGTCCCCGAGGTTAACATCGATTTTTTTAATCATAATTCTACACAGAAGCCGATTAAGCACACGTGTTGCCCCTCACAACAGAGAGGGTGGTAAATGAGGGCTCCCGTGGCTCCTTGGAGACACATAAGACACCGGGAGAAAGAAACTTAAAAAAATACGAGACAACCGGTGGGGGACATTAATAAACTTTACGGCACTTTTAGTCTCAGTCCTGAGCTTTATTACCGCGAGTAAAAAAAAAACACCCACGGCAATCTTTTTTATTTGTTCTTGTCTTTTTTTGTAGTTCTTATTTCTAAAATTATATTATTTTCTACTACAGGTACATTCTAAAGGTCATTTTAAAGTGTAACTCGTTAACGTTTAATCTATGAACAATCATAAGCTATACTGGTAAACATATATATTTTCAGAGACTCCTTCGCGCGCCCCTCGTGTTGTGTTGCTTAAAAAAACAGTGGGCGGCAAGACCCTGTATAAACTCCAATAATGCTGGCGGGTTGATAAGGAAAGCACGAGGGACAGTCGGCCGGCCCTAAACAAATTTATGGCATTCTGGACCGTCGGAATTATTTCGTCTGGAGGGAAGAATCTTGTATTACATTATTATTATTGCGTTTCGCTGCCTTGTCCGTAAATCTGACCGCAAAACGCATTTCCACAGCTGCAACCACAATAATCATCTCATCTCTGAAAGATTTTTTCCTCTATCCCTACATTTCCTCTTTTTTTGCTATCTAAAAAAAAAAAGAAACGAAAACATGCGATTTTTGTTGCTGATAATGTCTCAGATCATAAACTCCTATAAATCTACAAAATTCTATCTCCCTTGTTTAAACATCATAAATAAATTGGAAACACAACAACCATCCAGAGAAAAAAGTATTCAATAAAATAAGTCGATTCGACCGATATAATACATACTTTTACTATATAAACTAATTAAGTTCAATGAATAAATAATTATAATGAACAGCAAACATTTAACTTTATTACATAATATTGTTTAATCGTATAATAAAAAATGCATGTCTTAGTCAATTCACATTGAAATCCACTGTAAACCAAGGAAGTGGCAGAATAAATTACAATATTATTTACTCTAATATGACCAAGAAACTTCTATAAACTTCGTACACTAAAATTATATTACATAACTCATTTACAATTCAACTCTTTATAAATACACGAGCACGTTACGTTAACCACCATGTATAAATTAAAAAACAAATGTGTTATGTGAAATACCATTTTCATATTAGACATATTAATGCTCATTTTTTTTTTATCTCTTCGCCGACTACGAAACCACAACGGTTACAAATAAGAATGCAGTTATGTATAAAAAAAATGTATGTTACTGACATGTGATATTATTTAACATTAATGGAAGTATGATGTCAGAAGTCATAATATATAAAGTAGTGTAGCGGGAAACTGTCATTACAATGAGGTTTTTTTTTTCACCATTCAAATTCTCACACCATGACCTATTCATACCACGGACCCGGGGTCCTTTTACATTTTTCATTACTGTGTTACAGTGCTGTTTTTTAATGAAAAACAACACCCGTCTTGCTAAATTATTATATTAAAAAATAATCGCAAAAAAAAATATCATGAAATTAGGGGTTGTGACTTGGTGCTTCGTGTTTTAGCCCATCCCTCACGTCCCTATAAAGTTATTTATATTTTTCGACGGGCAAACGGGCGCCACGAGGAAGAAAAAGGGTTAGACGCCAACGGGGACGAGAAGGGATGCGGTAAAAAATATATATAATAAAAATAATAAAATTGATGTTGGGGACGAGAGGAAGACGGGAAAACGAGGGTCAAAAAAAACAACGACGACCGCAATGGCTAAAAATTAATGCGTTAATTACTGTTCGGCAACAAAATTGGAATACCGTGTTGGGATTGTATCACGGCCAATTCCCCTATTGGTCGGGCACAGGTCTACCGCTCAGATACGATTATAGGGCGTCATTATGTATACAATAAACGAATAATATCCCGACACGGGAGCTCATAAATTACATACGTGTAAATATATATAAAAGCCCATAGAGTATAGACCGTCACTAATGGAACACCACTGATATTTTTCAAAGTGTAAAAGCAATAATTATTATTTTTTTTATTGAAGAACTACAATACAATTATACCATAAGTCTTAACAATAAACATTCGAAAGCCAAAAGTTTTCAACAAATGAAACTTGGCACAGACACTCATCTCGGATGACAACACAATACCAATGTGTCAATATCAAAGTCATATGTGGGGGTCATTTCACTAAAATTTCATATTTTTCAAATCTTTATTTTATGTTTTAGTAATCTAGTCACAATTATTAAATATCTTTAATAGGACTATAAAGTAAAAAAGAAAATAAATAAACAAAAAGGAAACTTTTTTTAAAAAAACATGCTTTTCTAAAAAACAGTAAAAAAGTGAACTAAAAAGAAAAAAAAATTATTACAAGCACAATTTATCAGTCAATTTTAGCATATTTTTTTCAAAATGACAATTACTTTGAACACAACCGAAAATTAACTACAATTTTAAATAATGTTGAACAACATTATTTTTTTACTAAAAAGAAAAGCGTGGGCCTTATTAACAATGTCCCCAATAAATTTATCAGATAATGTTTTATATTCTAAGTTTTTTGTAATTTAAATTTGGTTCAAATTAGTGTGTGACACTTACATTTCATAATACTTAACACAATGAATTTCTATTTTGTTGAATAGGGCCCACACTTTTCTTGTAGTAAAATTATTTTTACTTTTAGTTCACTTTTTTACTATTTTTTAGAAAAGCATGTTTTTTTGAGATTTGTTGCAATTTTATGACAGTATTGAAAACAACATTAAGTGTTCCTACATCTTCTGCTATAAACTCTATTAGAGTGAATTTTCAAATCCGCAATAGTTTTCTTTACAATTAACTCTGCACGCATTTGACTTAAAAACTGCGACAATACAAACTGTATTCAAATTCAAAACGTCTCGCTTTCCTTGTAAATAATAATAATATATATTATTATGTTTACGGTTGCCGCTTTTTATTTTATGGTGTTTTTTTATTTTCTTCTTTCATCAAAGTGGCTATTTCAGAAATTACTAACCCGGAGAGTATGAAATAAAGAAGCTTTCGCGTTATACCTGCGTACGATTGCGTTGCAGGCGGTAACAAAATCTAGTTGTGTTTGGGTTTAGGGGTGAACATTTCATGGAGCGGAGGGGAATGAAAACGAAAAAAAACCATCCGTTTCCTTTAGGTTTTTCGTTGCAATAACAATAAAAAAGAGTATAATATTCATCCAAATGTAAAAAAAAACCTGCGACGACGGCGGCTTTTACGTTCCGGATTAAGAATGAAAATTAAAAGTTTAATTCATCTATACAGAAAGAAACGTAATGAAATGGTAGGGGAATAACATGACGAGGGCGCATGGAAAGCTATTTTCGTGAGAGGGTAGGGGAGGGGGTTTATGAATTGGCAGGCTTGTCGTTTATTCGACCTGCAACTAATCTAGTAGTACTTCAAACGAATTCCTGTTTTTTCACCCTACAAGTATTTTTTTTTTTTTTTGTATATGACTTTGACAACAAACAATTTACCTGCTACTTTTTTTTTTAATAACGGTTAAAACGACGCGTTTTTTAAATATATTATGAATTTTTTGTTGTTATTAAAAAAAAAAATTATCCGTTATTATATGCATACCTCCACATAAATCAAAATTAATTTATTTTTCAAAAGTGTTTTTTTACACATTTTAATTGTATGCTCTTTTGTGTTATTCTGACAATGAGAAATAAGCTATATTGGATTTACCGTTAAAAATATATATCAATACTAAATTGCGATTTACACATCCATTACAATTTTAAGGGATGCCCAGGAACTTAATCCGCTTTGCTTTAATAATATACAATACTTATAATATAACGCTAACATGCTTTTAACGCTTAATGTTTATTAGCAATTACTAAAGCGACTATACCAGATTACCTTTGTCATTTCATTTTCTAGATTCATTATTCATACCCATGTCAGAGCTGCCTCCCTTATGTAAAAAAAACTCGGGCACTTCTAGTAGAAATCAATACTTTAACAAACTTTAACAAATTACTAATCATTATAATCAGCCAAAATGTTGAGTACACTATAACATTTAGCCTTTATAAATTATAAATAAATAATCGTCTATTTAATTTCTTCTAGTCACTAATTATATGTTTTGATCATTGTTCTCTCCTTTAATTAGCTCTGAATCCACGTCGCATCGGTTTCTTACCAACTAAAGGCGTCTATCACGATTGCTATACTTTCACGAACGTTATAGAAGCTGCCTATAAGAGTACATTTAAAGAGCAATACGATTGGTTATGAATTATTATATAATATAATATTGCTGCGGGTTTTTTGGAAAATTGGACCTAAATACAATATCGATGTCGTTATCGGACCGATAAGGAAAATCCGGTTTAGAGTTCCGGCCACGGGTCGGTCAGATAAACGGAATTGCTCGGGGAGGTTCGCCGCAATCCGGTGTTTTATCCGTCTCGGCCATCGGGTGCCCCACTCAAAGTTCTCGCGGACTCCAGATTCCGATCGGCACCAAAACTAATAAAGCTGGTAGCCCTTCCTGTCCTAGACGAAGCCCACGCGACGCTGTCGATGCGATAGCCACGGCCACCCATAAATCCTTCATATATAAATGTATATTATATATATATTATATTATTATGTAACGCACACCTGAAGCGTTTGCTCTCGGGAACTTTGCTCAACTCTGAAACGGTCCGGGCTTACTTGGGGTGAGGGGGAGAGAGGTGCGCGGGTCTCGTGTCCAAATCCCAAATCGAGATTAAACCGTCGCGACGGCGGCGGCCCAGAGCGCTTTCTTTGTTACCCTCCGCCGCAAGAGGTTTATAAATCACAAGAAGTCGGGGCGACGGCAGTTGCACCGGTAGCACTGACGGCATCGGCTCCGTCCGCCGACGACCACCGCGGTCGTAAATCACAACGGTGGAAACGGTAGATTAAAGGTCCCCTTGTCCTCCGGTAGTATTCAAAAAAAAAAAAAAAAAATGTTCATACACAATCGTTTCGAGACCTCCTTTGGGGTGAGGCGAAGGAGTACTCTGGTTCGACTACTTTAACCGTTTTGGAATTCGCACAAGCCGTTTCGACAAACGGCTATAACTCACGATATAATATATACTCTCTTTTGCCAGTACCACCGACGGCGAACTATAACATGGATTAAACCTCTCCGCACTACGGTTGTTGCACCCATTTTTCCCATCATACCTAGTACCTATTACACTATAGTCGCGATAGCCACCGCGCCGTGGCGACCATGACGTCCGAGTATACTGGTCTATTCTGGCTTAAACCATTCCGAAGATATATAACTACTAAAGTCTAATCCCTAGATTAGAACAATTACCATGAATAATGAACCACATTTTAACTAATCCCTTAAACGTCAGTACAGACTACAATATTATGTAGTTGCTGTTGTGGACGACCCGGTAATCGGCAGATATAATAATACTTTACCGACCACAAAAAAAAACGTTTACATCGGTCACCGCCGGGCAGTTAAACGTTTTTAAACGCCCGCCGACTCGAGTGGCTAACACGGTGTAAAAATATTGGCCGTAAAAACGACGGTATTAAGTTCGCCCGGGGTGATTACACTTATAAGCCGCATGACCGTTGTTTTTATAGTCTATCGCCGCAACGTCTTATGGCGATACCATGATGTTAATAGGAGATTTCCCCTCTTGTGCGAGAAATGAGCAATTCCGGCAAACCACCCGTTTTGTACATCCGAGCACGTAAACGACTTGTTGCGCGATCATCATGCTTTTATATAAAAAAATAATAATAATTCCGTACCGCCGCGCACCGACACCGCGCGTTTGTTTTTTACCAAACACAGCTGCCTTTTGATTTGTCTACATTATATATATATATATATATATATATATATATATATATATATATATATATATATATATAAAAAATGTCTGTAAACGGTAGGACTCCTACATGGCACAAGAGCTGTCGTGACCTCGAAATTAAAACGTCATGACAGTAATACTTTAATAACAGGATATAAAATACCGTTTTTGGGGGGACAGCGACATTTTGAATGATCATTGCGGCGGCGGTAATGTAGTGCTGACATGCACTCGGCGAGTACACACCTCAACGAGCACAGCCACGACGGCAAACGGTACAATATAATAATAGCATACATGTATATTATTCCTAGCGTGACATTGCACCGTGGAGGAGTAAAGACACGTTATATCGTATAACTGGCACCCCTTACCGCTGTTGAATTGGCAGAGGCAATAAAAAGGAAAACAAAAATATTAGTTTTTCTATGCTGAAAAAATTAAATACTATAGAAAAAGTTACTCCGATAGAATAGGCTTTAAACGTCTCTTCTCCGTATCTAAAAATAACAATAGAATAAAACAAATAACAGGCAACAGCTGACTTCTGTTAATATTATCAAGATAATTGTTCGTTTTAAAAAAAAACTACCAAACAACAATATTTATACTCGATTGCTTTATTGTTAAAACGACGCAAAATAAATTATTATGACGTTCTCAAAAATATCAATAGCTTAAACATGTACAAAGTTTTTAATTTGTATTACATAATATGAATTAAGTGAACGCCACGCATAGCAAATTTGGGAGATAAAACAGCGTTTTTTTTATTGAGGTACATTTATCATACATATTCAAAAATTGTAATAAACATTTAAAAAATTAACAGTACATAAGTTTTAAAGCCAGGGTATACATTTTTAAAAAAATTTTATTCATGGCGTGTACATTATTCTATAGAAACATAATTAGCTAAAAACGACCAAGCTTTTTGAGCGCAATTAGAGTAGAATCTAAAGAGACTTTAATACAGTAAAAATCATAACTAGCATCCCCAAAATTGTTATATCTATTTAAAATTAAAACTAAAAACAAATCAATAATTTTTTTTATTTAGTAATTTATCAATGCATCTACATATTTGAGAACAGGCTAACAAAATAAAAAATAGATTTTTTTTTTCAATAACTATACTCTGAAATATTTGGGATGGCCCGTGCTTTTACATGGAAAACATCGTACGAGGACCACATGATTTAGAGGACCGACAAAGAGAGACCTGTCTGAACCGTAGCAAAAGCACGACTAAACGCCGCTGTGGTATTCACCCTCCGTTTTCGGCGTGTAACACCACGTTTGTACGATTCAAGCATAATTTCCCACGGTAAATAGCGGTGGCAAACGACAGAGACAGCGGCAATTTGTCAGTGTTGGCTTAGATTCAAAGGCGCCCGCGGTGTCCTTTGATCCAGGGCTGTTTTGTTCGGTAATTATTACCGTTTACTTGCCGTAAGAAGAAAAAAAAATCTATTATTTTTGTGGACGCTATGCACTTCAGCAATAGCCGGAAATCTGTATGTAAACATTAATTTATTATCGCCGTTAATCCACGCAATAATGTTTACAAATCAGACTCCGCTACCCACTTCTGCTAGTGGCCGGTTATTATTATATTTTTCCATAGCCAATATATTATTATGGCGGACAACCCCTTGGATGTAAGCATTGTTCAAACTTGATAATTCTACCCTCGTTTCACCACCCGTCGCCGTCTTCCGGCGCGGATCACGCTATCTCGAGTAACGTTTTCATCTCTCTCTTACTCTCATTATGAAAATCGCCAAACGGGTTTTAATTAAAAAAATACTTAACGGGCCGAGAAAAACTGATCTCGAGCAAATTAAACAACCAATTCGTGGGCAACGGGAAGAACGTTATTGGTATTTTCCCTTTACTTTTTTTTTCTCCCCGGGAGAGAGTAATAATTAACGAACAAATAATAAAAAAAAAAAATAACAAGCCAACAAAGTCGAAAACAGTTAATCAATTTAGAATTTAATAGTCTATAAAACACCCCACTCACGTTTATAATTAACATTGAAGCGAAAAGTATTAATGTTGTAATATCTAAATTATTATTTCCATAATAAAAACTATACCTATTCCGATCGTGACTCCGACAGTGAAACATAACTTAATGTCTATCCTTCTGATTTTAGGTCCGCCCAGCCGTCTAAACGAAAATCCACGAGCGACGGCCAAATAACCGCGGCCAAATCACAGTCGGCGGCGGACGAGACTTTTTCGCACAAGAAGAGGCGTCGCGCGCTTAAGCAAATGCAAGAGATGCAGGCGGATAAAGAAAAGGCGTCGACCGGCGAACAGGAAATCGGAAATGGCGGCGCTGCCCAGAAAACCATGGTATTGCCAAAGAAGAGGCCGATCGCAAACCAGACGACAGGCGGTGGAAACGGAAACACAGCAGCCACCACCGTAGGATTGGCGCCGAAGAAGCCGACCAAGGCCGCCGGCGATGAAGCCGTGGACGACGAAACGCTCATCCGAGAAACGGAGGCGGCTCTGAAAAGTCTGTCCGGCGGCTGGCCGGGACCGCGACATTCGTCGTTCTACAGGAACGGACACGACGACGATCGGTACGAGTCACCGGCGTTCGTCAATCTGTTTGACGAGAAAAAGAACATTCATCCGGCCGGAGCGACGGCCAAAGTAGACGAGAACAAGAACACTTGCGACGCGTCCGCTGAGGTAAAGCCGGAGTCGCCGCCGCGCCGAGAAAACGCGCAGGACGCCACGGCCAAGATCGACAAGGACGGAGACGCCGCGCTACATTCCAGACAAAAGCCGGACAAGTACGTGCCGTCCAAATACGAACCGGACTTTAACGAACTGGTTGACGACTCGTCGAACGAACTAGAGATCGACATGTCCGCCACCGGAACAGGCGACAAAGACGAAGAGGACACGGCCGGCGATCGGCTACGGCGGAAATTAGACGTGGACAGACGCAACAACAACAACAACAACAGTCATATACGAGCCGACGAAATGACGCTTAAGTCGGAATCTGGAGCTGACAACGTGTACGACGTGTATCTGATGGACAAGACGGCATTTTCCGCGTTCCGGCCCGTCACCGGTGTCGAGGCTAAAGATACTGCGCGATTGGACCTACCAACTGCGGTCGGCGTGGCCATGTCTCCGCTGGGCCCGTACCCACCGGCCGGGGCCACTTTCGTAGTCGGTTACACCGGTCCATCGACGACAAACGTATCCGGTCACGCGTCACCGACAAAACATTCGTCCGGTGACGGCGCAATGGCGGCCCCCGTCAAACCGGTCAGCGTGAAGCTCGAGGACGACACCGCGACGGACAAGCCGGATATGTCCGGTGTCGTAAGCAAAATGGATTCTCCAAGCCCGTTGTCCAAACAGTATACGATACTCCAGCCGGCGGGGGCCGATTCTAGGGCGGCGACGGCTCTGCAAGACGTGGCGCGTGAAGGCGTACTGGGCGCGTCAGTGGTGAGCGCTGCGGGCAGCCTGTCACCGCGAACAACCGCCGGAACGCCTAAACTCAACCAAGTGGACGGTATCATGTCGGGCTGCATGAACAGTAAAGGTACGTGATTCGTTTATTACAATATGTATTCTTATGACCGCGAATATAAGTTCTTGCGGAATTATCTTGCCGCGATCCGTTGTCGGCAATCAACGCAGTTTAGTACTAATTAACATTCAAGGAGGATTGTTGCTATAGTTGACATCGGTACTGTAGCGGTATATGCGTGAGTCGGCGGATGAGGAAGGGAGGAGAGCGAGCAACTGACTGCCGGGGCGCTTAAGAGGACATCTCCACGCCGATCACGTGCCGATTTAACCCCAAACACGGCGAACGGGTACAAGTTGTTAACACTCTGCCCTCTCTTTTATATTATAAAAGACCCTATACCAGACCCGCACAGTACACACGACTCGGCACGGTTTCCGTTTCATCAACTTCCTCTTTTCTAAGTCGACTCACCGTTTCTTAGAATTTATTACACCGCCTATACCCTCTCTCTAGTTACTCGTTATCTTTAATAAATCTCACCACCGCGTCTGAATGGCGTACAGAAAAAACACGATATAGTTTAAGCTACCCTGTTGTGGGATTTACATAATGCTTTCACTATTTAGAATTCCTAAATAATAATATCGTTTTCGAGTACGCGGTTATACGAATTACCTCCACAAATTATACTGCCCTAAACGTGGTATATTTTTTTGAGATTACAAAACGAATACAACGATATCAGTTATAATGTAAAATATTATTGTATTCAGTAGCATATTACATATACGCTTCAGCTAATTATCATATAAATTAAGTATTAGATTACTACTTTAACTGGATTTTATACACTTGTATGTAATATACTCAATTTTAACGATGACAAAGTACGTTATCTTTACAGGGTTCTTCTTTGTTCTATTGAAAACAAATGTTTATAGAAATTTTTAACAAATGTCGGTATTCAATGGGGGGAACATTATAGAGAGTTATAAAGTTTTATGTTATCCCCGCGTCGGCTAAAATTGCATGTCAGTTTATCGTTATTCGTTTGATATCAGATCAATAACATTTTACTTGTATACACCAATTCCTTCGACTCTTAAACCTTTCTTTCATTCGATATTTTTTTTTTTTTTAATTATAACTTATGGGTGTGAATGATTTTTAATTATAATTTTTCTTTCCCCTGCGCAACCAGAGCGTTAAAACGATACAGTTTTTAATTAAAAAAATAGAAATTATAAAATATAATATCGCGAAATAATAAAATTACGGACCAAACACCCTTTCTTACTTCGCCGGCAATCAATGTTCCTTATCTACCCATTCAGCAGAATACTGCAGTCGGCGCCTTTGTGATCGCCAACGCGAAAAAAAAGAACTCGATTCTTATACATTTTTTCTTTTGTTTCGAGTAAGATACAAAAAACGACATTTCTCCTCCGTTAAAAATTACGGGTCTAGAGAAATACACATCTGGACAAATTGCAAAATAAATCGTATTTTCTAATTGATTTCAGACGGAAATAAATGTCCTACTCCAGGTTGCGTGGGCCAAGGTCACATTACTGGATTGTACTCGCATCACAGAAGGTAATTACTTTAAATATGATAGTTAATAATCATTAACCAGTAGGTCATATGTAATGTATTTTTCTGCTCGCACACGCAGCTTGTCGGGATGTCCCCGCAAGGATAAAGTAACGACGGAGAGTAAGTATACCACAATATTACTTTTGAATAACTAAAAACAACTACATCATGTTTCATAATAATACATAATATAATACATGACCATGTATTATCAGATCTTCATCGCGATGAACCCATGCGGAAACGTTTGACTGTGCTGGGGGTAGAGAGCTGATATACACACACCACTTTCCGTGCGTCACATGCAACATTGTATTTCCAGTGGCTTACACATTATTTTTTTAAACAGCATATTATACTAATTCTAGTTAATGGCCCTGTCCGAATCCATACACCTCTCACTCTCTACCCCTTCTTCATCCTTTCTCCATCGACATTTTTTAATTTCTAATATACACAAATGCTGTTGTACGTGTAAATATTACATATAAAAATATCCAATGCCAATATCAATAACCATTGTGGTCTGTGTGCGCGTAAACTCATTCCTATTGTCTTGACCAGTTCTGGCCATGCACGAAACAATATTGAAGTGTCCCACTCCCGGATGTAACGGTCGGGGACATGTCAGCTCCAATCGAAATTCACACAGGAGCCTGTCCGGCTGTCCAATCGCGGCGGCTAACAAACAGGCACAACGGGAACGACAGAAAAAACTATCACAACAGTACATCGCTGCGCTAACAGGTATCCCCCTATAATATATCAGCAATCTACTCTCAGCAAAACAACAAGAATAATAATAATAATAATAACCCTTTATCATTATTCAAGTATAAGGGCGTGTGTTTATACTGTATAGTACAAGTGTATATTTGTGATCGAAACTCGAGTTAAATTTTCTCTAAAACTTTACTTATTATTATTCTTATTACTTTTTTTATAGTCTGCAACGACGGTCTGGAACAGTACAAGCACTTGAACAACATCAAGGAAACGTACCAAATGTACGGAGACCACTGCGGCTCGGCAAGCGGTTCACCCACGTCCGAATACCTGGCCACGTCGTATTACGGGTCACCGGCTGTCAACACTAAAGCCGCCATGAAGCCAAAGATATTATTGCACAAAGAAGACGAAGAGGATGAGAAACCAGACACGAAGCAGCTGCACTTGAAATCCGAAATGGGATGTTGCGACAATACGGCGGTGGCCACTCCGACCCAAGAGGACGGAATGGCCATCAAGACGGAAATGCATTCGACGGGATCGTGCCGTTCGGTAACGCCTCCGTGTAGTCGCCGCACGCCCATGGCCATGTCTTACGACCACTGTCACGACTCCAATTCGTCGTCCATGTCAGGCAGTATGGACGTCATGAACCATCACCAACAGCAAATTCAACAACACGGCGGTGGTATGACGACGCCGTCGCCGCTCCAATCTCAGCAACAACATAATTCAACATCGTCGACATCATACATGATGATGGACGTCAACAGTTCCCGTCTGCAACACAGACCGTACGAGACTCAACAGATTAACGGTAGTGGAGCCGGTAACGCCGGCGGCCAACAACAAGACGCCATGTACAACAGAACGGATCGCAGTTACACACTAACCAACATCAACAGGCCTTCGCCATCGTATTCTTCCGATATGACAACGCGATCGTACGACGCGAGACCTCCATCGTACCCCAACTCTTTAAACGGCGCCACCGTTGCCGTGACGGCCGCCACGTACGCCGACCGGTACGACTCGGACCAACAGTGCCAACGTTATCCGTCCGAGTACGGAGACGCCACTACCATGTATCAACCGCACCAAATGATCATGAAACCAGAACAACCAGTACAAATGGATGACTCCATCGAACCACCGCTATACCCGAGGTACGTGCACTCATAATTAAATATTGTTTTTGATATACGTACACACCCTGGCTCATGCGGTTTATACAATTTCTATGATCAATTATTTTGAGAATTTCATTTAGTTTTGATTAAGTGAAACGCCCTATTTATATAAATTAAAGCCTTAAAGCCTATGACTGATATTAACTAAATTTATTACGTTTAATAAATTATTATTGTTCATTAGGCCTTTATATCAGTACGATGCCACCAATACGACTACGTCTACAGCACCGGCCGTTCAATCAGGGTTTCCTACGGCGGCAGCGATCAATTTGTCGGTAAAATGCATCGCTGCTGCGAGTTCCGGGATGAAGCCACTTCCGCTACCGCTTCCACTCCCTCTAACCCGTTCTCCGAGTGCCGTTTCAGTGATGGACCTGTCCACGTCCAGCGTAACGTCGACGAGCCCACAGGTATGCTTACTTAAAAATTACCTGTGACTGTATCTCTATAATTACGGCATTCGTGGTTTACAGAACGCCACATATTCAAACAGCCTGAGCCCACACCATTATGCGGGAACCGCCGGACACCGCACTAGTCCAAACACTTCGACTTCCAGTCCACAAGTCGCGCAAGCACCCAGCCCTCAAGGTCAAACTTTAGATCTCAGCGTTAGCCGGTATAGAACTTATTGATGATGCTGCTTATAACATGCGATTAATATATACTATAATGTCCGTAACGGTTACAGGGCACCTGGAAGGCTAGTGTTTTCTGGAGGAGTACCTAACGGGTACAGCAGAGAGTCGACGCCCGAAAGTGGAGGTTCTCACTACATGGACCATTATAGGGACGTTAACGGTAATGATCGTTGTTATTATTCTCCGTCTGCAGAGGCCGGCCGGAATTCTAATGGTAGGCTCACCGTAGGTTATACGTCCTTGAGTCCTCATCCCGGATATCCAATGCCGGAGTACGCCAACGGATACTCAACACCGTACAGCACATCAGCATACACTTGTGGCTATTCGGCTGGTGCTTACCAGCAGGGTGCACCACCCAACGGGTTCTCGCAAAACCCGTGTTACAGTATGCCGCCACCTCAACAAGACAAGCTCTCCGTTTCGTCCAAAGATGACAGGTATTGTGAATGTTAGAAAAAATGTTACTTAAACCAATATCAATGTGCGACTTCAGCCGTATTAAATTAACTAGGTGACAATTACACAAATATATACGTCATAACTCATAAATATAAACACAAATGAAAAAATAGAATTTGAAATATATATATATATATATATTAATCATAATAACGCAACCACGCGTGTAACGTATTTCTTGCGATCGGAGGAGTTGACTGAAATAAGTGTTGATAATAATTAGATAAGGATGAAAAAAGATAAAACTTGTAAGAAATTAATATCATGTATGTCATCTTAGAATAGGAAAACGCCCAGCTTAATCGGAGTTTGGACCACTCTGATAAAATGTATGTCAACAGAAGTATAATTCACATACAAAATCATATACGCGCCTGCTGAAAGGTTAAATCCATTCAGAATTTTTTACGTATTATTTGTTTTTCTATAGTCAGTCGAACAAATTCTTCATAAGTAATCAAATAAAACACGAAACGAATCAATGCAAAAAAACAAGTATACATTTGGATTACCAATTTCTGGCTTGCACGACAAGTCAACTTGGCAAGACTTCGCACAAAAGTTTGTTGAACTCTTCTGATATCTTCTTCAGAAACTCGAAGCCATCCCGAACTTTTATGTTTACATAAACAACATTGATCACGGAACTTCTGATACTATCGCCAAATGTTGTTGTCGTTGGGATCGTCGACACCGTATTTACGATGAAATGCACGCTAAACTGTAGTAACTAATTTAATTTACGCAAATTCCAACACGCAAAACAATTTTTGTTACGGCGTCTCCATCGCGAAATATTGACCTGGCAATGTAAATTTTATTTGTCATGGATGTCTCTTAGATAACGTCGTCATACGGACATTCTCTGAATTTTGTCGATGACGAAATGAAACTATAAAATCTTAGATAATGTACTAAATATTTCGGTAGGTGCCGCGTTTCTGTGCTGCCACTTATGAGATACAGATTTTCAAAACCTAAATTTTCTTTTCTAGGCACACTTTATTACGAATTTTTCATAAATTTTGATACATATTGTAAGTATGAACTATGCTATCTTGTTTTGTATCGGTATCATAGCCATAGGTAAAACAGACCGAGTTAAAAAAAGTACAATTAAATAGTTTATAAATTAGTTAAAAAAACTAAAAGAAAAGAAAGTAAATGTTATAAATTGGTTGAAGTATAGGGTTTATTTGAAATATTTACAAGGTTTATAGATATACATAATATATTTACAAATTAGATTTGCCAACGTTTAAGAAGCCTTTCATCTTCAAAGGATGTGTTGCGTGCTGGTTAGGTCTACTCCCTCCGCTACTGCCTGTAGACTGAAACGATGCTCTCCGCTGTCGTAGTTTACAATATATACGGTATATATGGCGATGCGTGGTTTATCCTCACTATTCTTTTCTTGCTGCCACCTTTTTGTTTGTCGTTCACCGCCGCTGATTCTGCCGCCAGCTTCTCCTGTCACGTCATTCTCCCTTACCCATCTTCTTATCATCTTTCACTCTCGTGTACTTCATCCTGATTTTTTCAGTCGTTTTACCCATAAAAATATTTCAAAGTATATGTTGTTAAAGATAAATAATATCCGAATCGTTATCAAAAAATAAAGTCATTGAAACCATTATAGACATTTTTTATCAACTAGTTCTAAGTGTCCTAATATCTTAATTGTTCATTTATATTTCCGTCGCTACAAATAAAATAGTGATAACTAAAAATTTATTATTTTTTTCATTAGCTCTTGATTTTATTTTTACAAAATAACAATTTTTAACTTGTAACAGAAAAAATGATAATACGTTTTTAAATCACTATTTTGTTTGAAGCGACCGATAAATAATTTAGAAGGTTTGCATATTTTGTTTTAAATCAATGTTATTTCTATACGTAAATATAAATTATGTATAATTTTACACGTGTCTTAATTACATATTTTTGTGTAAATATATAGCATTTCTGTTTGTGCCAGAAGCGATCGATCTTCATCGCAACCAGGAATATCATCAACGCACTCACAGGAATTAAAATGCCCAACACCAGGTTGTGATGGTTCTGGTCATGTAACTGGCAATTACTCTTCACATCGATCGCTATCTGGTTGCCCTCGTGCTAATAAGCCAAAGAGTAAACCGAGAGACGGTCAAGACTCTGAACCACTTAGGTTAGTAATAGACAATAGTTACTAGTATAAAAACTGATGAACATCAAATGTAAAAGCCTATTTTCTAATATTTTATAAATTACAGATGTCCCATACCCGGTTGTGATGGATCCGGCCATGCTACAGGAAAATTCTTATCTCACAGAAGGTACACATAATAATCATCTATTTTATAAATGTATTGTTAATATATAAAACTTATGATTTTTATTACGATTATAATATTAGTGCTTCTGGTTGCCCAATTGCAAATCGTAATAAAATGCGTGTACTTGAAAGCGGAGGAACTGTAGAACAACACAAAGCTAATATAGCAAAACTTCAACAACAGCACCATCAACAACAGTCAGAACAAACTACATGCGAGCCATCACATCACAATACTAGTCCATTCCTCCACCGAGGTCCACCTACTCTGAGCGTATGTCATCCGTCTACTCCGAATTTGGTATCCAACAAGAAACCCCTTTCAACAAATGCGGCTGATTCATTGTACCATCATATGTATGGATCAAAACAGTTACATAATGGTAAGAATAGTTTTAAGATTGTCTTTGGCTGGTAAAATTGTGGGATTTTTATAATTTATTAAAAAGGCAAAATGGTGAGGAAGAGAAAGGTTTTAAAAAAGTTGTGGGTTTTAGATTGTAATATGGGGAACGGTGGTGAAGATCTGTTTTCTTTGGACGCTGAAATAACAGAGTTGCAACGAGAAAATGCACGCGTCGAGTCTCAAATGTTGAGATTGAAGACAGACATCAATGCTATGGAGGCTCACCTTCGACACGGGGATAAGGTAGGCCCAAGGTAGTGTCAATCATTCCAAAATTTCCGATACAAATCGTAAATTAGAAAATAAATATTTGGCCAAAACAAAAATATTCCACAATTTTACCAATTAATGTTAAGTATTTATAACATCTTTATATTATTATAAATTTATAGGAAACACCAATCTTATCTCAACGACAAAGTTCCCATTTGAATGGGTACTATGAAAATCTGAGAAGCAATATGATGTCTTTTTTGGAACAAGTGCGTCATCCCGACATGCAGTCTGACTCAGAAAAAACCCAGGAACAGTTTGACAGTTGTTTGAAGTTACAGAATTTGTGCCATAATCCAAACTCAGACTATACAACTTATAATAATTTGACCCCAACTAAAAACCAAGAAAACCGTCCTGTGTATGAAACTGTAAAAACAGCAATGCAGGACTATAATGTTCTACCGCCTACAGCCATATGAAATCCATCGAATCAAATCATACTTGATACTTGATCATAAAATAATATAGCTAATATTATTGTTAAATTTTCTGAACATATTATATTTTAAAATTGTAAATCGGTAGTTTATACCAACGTTTTAATTTTACATTTGGAATTCAGTGACCAAACATGAGTAGACTTTTATACTTATTTAAAGAAGTATATTTAAATATTATTCTATCAAAAATACTGTTTAATAGGCTTAATCAATAGTATTGTCATTTATAAGACTTCTATTTCATTGGATTTTTTTTTCATGCAAATTTCGTTATATATTTAAACTACTAAGAATAGCCATTTTTTTTATGAAATTTCAATATTTATTGCAATATGTGTGCAAATTTTGTTTTCTTTTTTAAAATAAGTTACATTAATTAATTTGTAAATAAAAATCGTATACATTGTTTTGTTATCCCTTAATGTAATTAAATATGGTGAAATACTGTTCCTTTTATTATTGTTTTCTTATGTAGACCCATTTTAATTGAATTCAAGTTTTAGTTCTCTACATTAGTTATCACTTATATTAGTTTTGTTATTTTATTGTTTTGTTAAGTTACTTTATTAAGAACTGTTAATTTTGATAAGACCCTAATGTTGATTTAAATATCTTAATAATGTATTATACATTGTATTGTATGCGTCAAATATCAAATAACGATAATTATTATACAGTACTCAATATTTGTGTTAAATTATTTTGTTCCTTATTTTAAAAAAAATAGAATTTTAGTGAATTGTAAAATTGGCACCAAACCCTATATTGAGATCAAACCAGTGCCTGACTTAATTTAAACAAATTTTCCATTTAAGGGTCATAATGCCCTTAAATGTAAGTGCCAAAAAGTATAAAAAATATTGTCATATAATAAGCTTACACAAAACAATCGAAGAAAGTGGAGACGAAACATAATAGTGTAACAAGGTCACAGATCTATATCAATTATATTTCAATATTTATGAAGAAAAGTTGTGTAAATACATTGAAACCGACGCTAAATAGCCTAATAAAACAATTGAAGAGTGGAATCAAAAAAAGGCTTTAAGTGCCATTTTTTCCAAAAATTATTTTTTCAGCCAAAATGGGTGTATGTTCCAACGACAATGTAACGCAACAAGGCAGACATTTCCTTGTCGATTGGCACTTACAGCCTTTTTTGATTCCACTCTTCAATTATGTATTCGGCAACTTCATTATTGTATTAATAAAATATCACTACATTTTTTTTATATTGAGATTTCAACAAAAATTTCTATGCCACAATTGCTAATATATTGGAAAATATTTATAATATTATATGTTATGATGTATAATATAGTAAGGAATTGCAGATTTTTGTATTTTTCCTTATTTATAAATTAATGTTGATATTAAGGGGATTGCATGCGATCTTTTGATTCATCATGTGATTACTTTTTAGACCAAAAAGCCAGACAAATTTTCAACTACTTAGGATCTTAGATCATCCGATTTTAATTCTGTAAAGGTGTATGAGTTCATTGGCAACTTTACCAAGTTTTGTAGGAAACGGATATTAATTGTTTTTCTTATTTAAAAAAATTTGGTTTTATATTGAAAAATTTTTAAATTAAATTTATTTAATTTAAAAAAACTGAAATTCTTAAATGAAAATTGGCTTTCTACATAACATAGTTAAGTAGCCAAAGAACTCGAATCTTATTACAGCAATGAAATTGGATTATCCTAAATAGTCGACATTTTGTCTAAAATAAGCTAAAAATGTATTTTACTCACAGAAAAAAATTATAAAAATTAAAAATAAATCCTTGAAAGTTAATACAAATTAACATGATCAAAATTTATTAAAAGCCGATTTTTTTCTTAACTATTGCCTATATAAAACTCCTTAAAAACAGACTGCATGCATGCAATCCCCTTAAAGGGGCCTCTACACTATAAGGCGCTTTATATAGGCAATTTTTTACTAAAATTTAACAAAATTTGTGAACGTACTTTAACGTACACAATTACCACAGAAAAGAAGGATCTATTTTGATACTTAATTTTATTTTTAACTACTATAACGATATATTTTTGTACGAAGACGTATGTTTCTACTTCGAACAGAACGTTTTTAAAAATAATCTGATTTAAGTTTTGAACAAACCTTTAGATTTTTTATAACATTTACAAGGTATCGATCGTGGCAAATTATTATTAGTTAATTAACAATTTCTATGTAAAATAGAATATTCTAATATATTACAATTTTTAAAGATTTTACAATAACATTAAAAAGCTAAACGAAAAATTCCCATTTGACGACTGATCAATTCTTCCATAAGAATTATTCTATCAAATGTCTACCCTAATCATCTTATCTTGGAAGCACTCAATGAAATAGGAACTAAAACTACATCTCTAATTACCCACATGAAAGCCGTATTTTCAATAGAACAATTTTCACACATCTTAAGCTTTAGAAGACAAGTGTGTATTAACCCTGATAGTATAGTCCCAAATCCCTTTGCTGAATTACAGTAACCGCAGAAAACACTACGTTTCGAATATTTATCACTGATGACTCTGTAACCTGCTTTCAATGTCATTAAACTGAGCATTTTTTCAACCAGTGTACCAACATAATTGAACAAATAATAATTGATAATGCCATGCCGGATAACACTAAGAAAACTCCTAACCTTCCAGTACCTCCAAATTTAGATACAGAATCAACTACTACTTCTCCTACTCTAAATACTCCAAAGGAAAGTACATCCGAAATGAATCAGGAAAGTGCTACTAACATTTAAACACCTGATTCAATCCAAAGTAAACCACTAATATTAGATAAACTTAAAATGTCTAACAATAATTAAAAATATACTTTGATTGGTACATTATATCAAAATGACGCAGGTGTAGAGACCCCTAATTGAAACCGATTATCGTGTCATGAGATATTTTCAGTTTCCATCTTAATTATTTAAACAGTTTATTTACACGTATTAGGTAATAAAATATTTAAATATCGTCTTACAAGTGATGTGTTAAGAAAAAAGTACTTAAATCGATACATAGTTTTTTTTTATACTTACATTTTTTTATAAACATTTACTTTTACTTTTTTGATAAAATAAAATATTATAGTTTCATGTATAAATAGTTACCTTGTTTAACTTAATCGTTAATAATATTAACCTAAACGGTCGGCAATTATTAAAAATACTACCTTTTCGGTATACAGAGTGCCGACTAACACCGGTATCAAATATGTCATATTACGCCAATCCTACTTTCTTGTTCTCTAAATATTAAATGTATAAATTAAGGTATAAATGCACTATGTTGTTTTCTTATTCAAACGAACTGTATGTTTTTTTTGTCAATAATTATCTTATCTAAAACCGTGAAAAAAATGTAAGTTATCTCTAAGTCAGATGACCTAAGTCAGGAAAACTTAAAAATAATTAAAAAAATATGCACTATATGCATTCATCGTCATCACAGTTTTTATTGAAAGTAACATTTGTCAGTTACTGACAGCTGTCCAGTTTGAAAGAACGGGAAGTGAATATAGGGAAAATAGTTATCAGTATACCGATTAAATTATACTATACTAAAAAATATCAGATTACTTATTTTTGTTATGAATAATATATCAACAATTATTAATATACAATTTTCACTATCTTTGTTGTTTTTATTATTATTACTCGTATATTGTACACAAGTCCTCCCTTTAATAATGATAAATGAGCCCACGCGTCCCGTTTTCAGTGATAGTTTATACCGTTCATTTGAGCATTAGTATATTATTGTTCTATAAAGCAGTTAATATAATTTATAATATTATAAACAATATACACAAATAAATGACAAACATTGAACTAACGTGCTGATTTTAAATGCTAAATTTAATAAAAATATGTTAATGCTCTCAATAACGGCTACTTTTTTTTTACTGTAAGATGTAAGTATGCATTCTACATATTATTTAGTAACAGTCATGTGGGCAACGTATGAAGTCAATTTGTTAGCCTTTACACCGCGTCCCACGGCATTAGCCTATGGGAATATCTAACAGTTTTATTATGCACATCAATCTTTTTACCAATAAAATTTGACAATTTTATTGGAAAATATTTATGAGTGGGACACAGCAATGCCTTTTCCTACTGTACATCCACTATATCACGACCGCGCGTGTATATATATAGTGCCACAATGACACGTGCCAGTTTCATTCGACCATAACCGAAAAAGCTCACAATAATATTCTAATAATTAATATATTTAAAAATAAAATAGTAGCTTAAACGTACAACCCGTTATTTCTAAGTTTTCATGAACCTTAGGTAATTGTAATTTATTTGTTTTTGTAGATTTTTTTCAATTACACTCATTGCGAACGAGAACCATTGAATGTCTATAATACTATAGTCGACAAGTAGCTCAATCAAAAACAGGTCGTTGAAGTATAATATGACTTTGTTTTATTCATCTGTAAAACTGCTTCGCTTTAATTGACTATAAATAACATCGTCGGGTTGCCAACGTGGTCATAACGTATGTATAATTTTCTTTAACGTGTACAGAGTTACCTACTTACGATAGCGCATAAATTATACAAAACTAGTTTGAAAATATTTAAATATTATTTTATTGAAAATATTAAAGAGTTTCAGCACATAAAACACTGCACACGTGTGCTTTAATAATTGTTTTGCTATTTTATGAAATCTACATAATGTACGTATACTAATAATTGTTTTATCCATTTTTTTTTAATATAGACATTTTACGATCAGTTTTTTCGTTTTAAGAATGTAACTCTAAATATAAGTAGTTCGTCGATGTCGTTTAAAGAAAAAACATCAAAATGGGACTTCGCACTTTGACGGTTTCTACATTACTCACGATATCAATCATACTAAAGAGTTCAGAAGTCCAATCGAACCGACTTACATTTAATAAATATCATGACTATGTCGATTTAACGAAGTTCGTAAAAGCAATAACAGAAGAATATGCTAACATATCTTCGTTATATTCAATTGGGAAATCAGTACAAGGTATACATATTACATGTTTTTTTATTAATTTTACAATAATTTACTACTTGTAATAATATTGTTGTTAATTGGTACAAAAAGACCAATTATATGTCATTCTGAAAATCGTATATTATATAGTTTGCTATTTGATTGAAAGATACTAAGTATCTAAAACTACCATAAAAAAGTACTGAGGTTGGACACAATTACATTTTTTTCTTCATTTAGTTGAATAAAGATATTTGTTGAATTTTTTTATCTAAAATAGCTATTTCTTCGAAAAGTAACTGAATTTATTAATGACCCGTTAAAGTTCAACCAATATGTATAATATACATAGTGTTATAATTTAAATAATTTTTAAAACAATTACTTTTTTTCTTAACCAATAAAAATAGGTCGTGAGATCTGGGTCGTCAAGATAACGGCTGCTGATAATTTAATAACAGTGCCCAATGTTAAAATTGTTGGAAATATACATGGAAATGAACCTGTTGGCAGAGAACTCATTATACATCTTATAGAGGTATATGTTTTTTTTACTTTTCCTGAGATATTCAATTTTTAATGGCAAATTGTTTTATTTATTAGTACTTATTAAATGAAAACACAAAAAATGCTACAATTAATAATATACTGCAAAACACAGTTATCCATTTATTGCCTAGCATGAACCCTGATGGATTTGAAATGTCTGAACCTCAACTATGTACTAATACCAAATCACATCGTACGGGCCATAGGTATTTTATCTTTATCTCCTTTAAATCATTTGTTTGATAAAATCTAAAACATTTTATTATAGAGGAAATGCATATATGGTTGATTTGAATCGTGATTTCCCAGATATATTTTATTTTAAAGAAAAACCATTACAACCAGAAAGCAGAGCGATTGTGCAATGGTTGAAATATGTACCATTTGTTATGTCTCTTAGTTTACACGGTGGTTCATTAGTAGCGAACTATCCTTATGATAGTTCTCCCGATTCACGTATGTAGATTACAAATCGCTTATAGTCTTATAAATTATAATTCATATTTCATCAAAACGTTTAATTTTGAATAAATTCTTACAAAATGCATTTTTTTAATTTACTTTTTAATATGTGTCAACGTTGTATAAATTATTCTTTATTATTTGTTTGGAAGTAATAGTTATGCTAAAATTATATTAACTAAGTATAAAATAAAATATCATGAAATAAAGTATTTAAACAAATAAACTATGAAATAGATTAGTTTACATTTTCATTACCTAAGTATTTACTTTGCAGTAACATGAATATAATGAAAAACCATTTTTATTTGTATTATGTTTTAATACAGTATCATACAAGTTGGAGAAACTAAATGAAACGTTACAAACCAATGACATAATGCAACTTCATTCACGACTATTAGCCATTGGTAAACTAAAAATAAAAAAAATGTTTTCCAATTATTATCGCATGAATAAACTAAATCGACAATTTTAATACAATATAATAGTTTATACACATTTTAAAATTATTAAATTACCGCATTTAGATTGTAAACCTAAACTTACTTATACAATAAACTGTAAACTTATAATTTATTATGTTATAAGTTATTTCCAATAATATAATTGGAATAATAGCATGTTATCTTTTATGGTTTAATGGTATTTTATAAAACTAATTACTAAATAACTATCATCTCAAATAAACATATTCTGTTTAGTTTTAACTTATCATTATTTAAAGTTTAAACGCACAATACTTAAGCATTACTAAATATAAAAATTATAATTTAATAAGAAAAATACTAATTTATTTTGAACTAAATTAAAGATCCAACCCTGAATAGCGAATTTGCTGAAAGTCTTACGGCCGATGATGATGTGTTCAGATATTTAGCCAGTGTATACGCTAATAAACATCCAAAAATGCACCAGGGTTATAGTTGTGATGAATCCGTTACATTTAAAGGTGGTATTACCAATGGAGCATCATGGTACGAAACTTCAGGTAAAAGCTTACTTTATCTGATATCCTGTAATGTAGTATTGTACAACATTAATTAATTGTACAATTGTAACCTTTTACGTATCGTATGAAGAAGTCATGAAGATATCATATTATTCTTTATGTTATTCGAAAATAATTATAAAACTACCAACACGAAAAAAAGACCATTATTAAAAAAATCTTTATTTAATTAAAAAATAGTAATAACTAATTTAATTAATTAATTTAGAGATATTCATTAAAATAAACAATTACATTTATCTTATAATAATTTTTTTTTTTTTTTCAGGAAGTATGCAGGACTACAATTATGAAGTATTTAGCTGCATGGAAATTACATTAGAGTTGTCTTGTTGTAAATACCCACCACCTTCAGAATTAATGTCTTATTGGCTTGATAATTTAGAAGTAGGTTGCTATCATTTACAAAAACTGTATAATGACCAATTATATTATACCAAGCGATGTGAATTGTGATCTTCAAAAAAATGTTTAAAACAATTATAAATATTATTTTCTGAGAATATAAATTAATTCATTTAAATTCATCATCATGGTCGTCAGTGTCTCATACCATATAGGTATCCAATTTATAAGACAGTACTGAAAAAAAAACTTATCTTCGATAAAAAGCTGAGGAAGTTTGTATCGAGGTGTTTTACAATGATGTGTTCTTTTAATGTTTTAGCCTTTACTAATTTGGATTCAACAAGTTCATAGAGGAGTTAAAGGCATAGTCATGGACCGACAAACTGGTGCGCCAATTGCAAATGCAAACTTAATGATTTTAGGCAGAGAACACACGTTTAATACTACTGAAAATGGAGAGTACTGGAAAATACTACTTCCTGGAGTTTACAAATTGCATGTTAGTTAATTGTAACATAATAATATCACAATAGTTGCTTAAACGTGACAACATAAATAAGGAATATATATTTACAAACAAGACAATACACATTTTGTAAATACAATCAAATATTTTTTCGACAAGTCTGGACTCCAAACTTATTTCAACCGATTTAATTTTTTTTTTGTTATACATTATACCATCTTCTCTAAAAAGCCATTTTTTTTATTAATTTATTTTTTAACTTTAAAATATTATAAACGTTTATATTTTTACTTTTTTATAACTTTTCCAATATATCTAACTATTTTTTTAATAGCTTAACTAAAAATCTGCTTTTACCCGGGTTATAGAAAGAAATAAAGTTCACATAAAAATTTGTCTTGTGATATGCCAAAAATGGACTTCTACAAAAGTAATTTTTAATTAAACACCATAACTCAGAGAAAAATTATTACTTAAAAAGTTTTATAACTAGGAAAACTTAATATATTTATTTACCTTAAAATGTGTTAGCATGTTTTAAATAGCTCCTATAGATCAATATTTGTAGGATATTTCCTATTTTTTGCTAGTGTATTATTTTATTATCCTCTATCCTTTGCCCTATAAGAAATAACACTTTTGGTTCCCCCTAAAATGTAATTTTTGTTTAGGGGTCAAAGATGGTTAACTGTAAACACACACCTAGTCAACCGAATTGGTTTTATATGCGATATAATAAATAATAAACTAAAATATTATGTTTAAGGTGGACGCTCAAGGTTATGAAAGTAAAACAATTCGATTTGTGGTACCTGGCACGTTAGACCCGAACAAAGTAGGCAAACCATACTCATTGAATATAGTTATGGAACCGTTTCGCCCTCAACCGAGCACAGTAAGGAACGTTAACTCCTATTATGTGGTGTCCAAAGGTGGTGGTAAACTTAACGAGTCTATATCTGCAGTAATTACTCAGTCGCAAATAGACCAATCTACAGCTAACATTTATGAATTTGTTTCGGAATCGGATGTGGATGATTTTGCAAACGTCGACTACACCGTTGACGTGGAACCGCTACAGGTGTTGTCCAGCTTTAGCAACCGTAACTTAGCTCGAAGCTTTATGGTGTACGCAACAGTGCTTTTACAAGGGTTCTTAATGACTGTTATTATTTTTGGTGTATAGTATTTAAACGACTAACAATTGTGTATAATTATCAAACGAGTATTTTCCAAAGCGAACTCCATCATACTAATACGAAATATTAAAATAACTACTAATATTTTAGTTGGTTCTATAATTATACAAATATTAAACGGCAATACTTATTTGATAAACAAAATACTTAAGTAATATGCTTTTTATCAAACCTAACACTAATCATAATTTAAACGCTACCAATTTTAAAAATTAAAATCGTAAAACTACTTTTTAATTTTAATTGTAATCCCTCTTTCTTTTTACTTATAAATAGACTTTAAAAATATTTTTACAACTAAAACAGATAATGTAGTAATTTTGAACAAGTGAATTATACGTTAGTAACAATTAAAGGTCTAACCATAAAGATTAGTGCGCCAAAGTAAAAAATATTTAACGACTCTAAATCGCGCTGTTGCCAAAAAAAAATTAGTTTAACTCTTAAAATGCTATTAAATATTAGACAACTACCAGTGGGTAATATCATTGAGTATATATTGTATATATACTATATATAATATATACTCAATGGTAATATCTATTAAACATGAAACAATGAATACAAATTTAGCTAAAGGAAAATAGCATTACGCTAGTACAATTAATACGCGTCACTGGTCACATATGTTACTCATTAAATCGACGACATTGAGACACCATTTTATTTGTATACAATAATAATAAACAATTTTTAATAATACCTATATAACATGCGTTTTAACCTATACTACCTAGTACCTAGGTATACCAAATAGTAATTACTATCGTAGTTTATTCTTATATAATATAATTATGATAATGTATGCTTGACACTTGTAATGTAGTAGTATGTAATTTAACAATCGTTAACAATTAACATACAGATACAGCCATACAGGCATTTAACAACTCATACATCGTAAACAATGATTAAAAATTATTTTTCAATGTATTATTACTATAATAAACTGCAATGTATAAATAAGTAAGTCTTATTTCATATGACGTACATTATTTCAGGCTTCAACATTGTCACCATCGAGACAAAGTCAATATGTTAATAATTTTGTAAATTTTTTTACAATAGTAGCTATTTTAATAATGTAATATTATGTATAGTGATTAGTGTATGATACGAATAACACAATATAAAGTACTAATTGTTGGTTTTTTTCTACTACAACTAAATTTTACCTAATCCAATCTTATGCGGGTCTTAATCACGTTGTTTAAAGGTTCGACAGGATTTTCACGGGATAACTGTTAAGAACGTAAGGAATATGCCATTTCTCCAGACAGTTTCATAGGCCGCTGTTAGGTTAGGTCTATAAATGTAGTAGCAGTTTTGTCCCTATCCTAAAACCTCCTTCAATACATTAGTGACAGGACCTGGTCGCAATAACTTTGAGTTGGCCTAATTGCAGCTTATATAATTGGAAGTCGAACGTAATCATTGACATGACTCCATTGTATAAGAGCCTTTTGAATAGTTTGTAGTAAGTACTTAGCAATGCAATGAATTTTATTCAAATTTCAAAAAATGACTCTGGGTACACAATTTTTGAGAAATTTAGGGGAAATATCATCAACACTAGCAACCTTTCCATTTTTTGTGCTATTTATGCTATGTTTTCTTAAAGGAGCTACACTTCTTCAAAGGAGAAATAACCAAACCTATTAAATGTCTATACAAAATAGACAAAAACTTATAAAAAGTTTAAGAATTTCAATTTCGACTTTGTAAAAATGACTGATAAATAACTGACTTAAATCTGTATTTTGTCAAATATCTTCTCACTACAAGAGGGGTAGTTTTTCTTGAATTTTACGGTCTAAGCACAATAAAAAAACAACTATAATAACCAATACTTTCAAGTTACAGTAGTTAGCAAAGTGGAGACAAGATAGTTATTAATTTGAATTTGATTAAATCATAATTTACAATTCCCTATGAAATCCCGCGATTTGTTGCCTTTTTAGCCTTATCCTAGGCATTTATAGCCAACTAATAAACAATCAATAACTTGGATCGTAAATAAGGTTGGACATTAGCCTAGATTATGTTGACCATAATATTTTCACCTGGTAGTGACCACTTACTATTACATACAATGTAGATCATGAAGATTCGACAGAACATTTAGTAAATAATTTTTTAGAATTTTACTATTATTATATATTATTTTACTGTGTAAATATTATATACTTGATTTGCTTCCGTTGACATATTTGTTTTTATTATAGAATATTTTATGAAAAAGGGGCATATGTGCAATATCCTGGAATATTTTAATCATGGAGCAACTACCAATAACTACTAATATAGGGTGTTTCATAAACATGGAAACATTTGATGTTAACAAAATTTGATAAATAACATTATTTTTTAAAAAACTTTTTGCATTAAGTACAAACTGATATCCTCCCACTTACGTATGAAAGACTTCATCAGGCATATGGGCACCACGACTTCGGCGACAGGCATTTACACGTCTAAGGAAATTAGTGATGACCCGCCCACAGGTGGCCGCATCAAGTTCTGCAAGTCTAGTGGTGTTAGGACCTAGGTCCTAGGTGACCTAGGAGGCTAGTTTTGGTCACCTTTCCGCGAGAGAATGCGGTCACCTGTGAGCGAGTCATCACTATCTTAATGCAAAAAGTTTTGTAAAAAAAAAATATTTTTAATAAAAAATTTAAACATAAAATTTTTCCATGTTTATGAAACACCCTCTATTACTAATAGTTTTTTATTTGTATAATACAGAGTGATTCATTAAGGATAAGACACTCTTTTTCTCGGGAGATATTAATATTTTGCACAATATTTTTTTTTAATACTTTTAGGAACATTTTACAATATTTTTTAAATATTTTTGAATATATCCCTTATTTGTAAAAAATTTATAAATGTGTTTTTTTTAATGGGAACACCTATTTTTAATTCCATATATTAGTAGGGAAAAAATAAAATAAAATATTAGCGTTTGAATTTTTCATTTTCATTTATCTGTTTGTTAATTAATGAATCATTCTGTATATAGGACGTTGTAATAAAAATTGAGACGTTATCACTTATCTATACTATTATCATTTGAATGATAATATAATCTTTTATGATGACCAAATGTTTTTGCCTGTTATCAATAAGAGTTATCAAAACATACAAACTAGTCACTATTATATTAACTACAGACATATTGTAGTTAAAAAGTTCAATACTTCAATGTATTATGTAACTCATGTCATTGTTGTAGTCGTTACAACTTATTACTGAAATACGTAAATATAAGATGATATGCATCGTAAACGATAGGTTTATTATTACGGCTCTAAATTAATTTAATAATGTAGATTAATGTTTATTCATTTTTTTTATTAAGTGTTTAGTACTATTCTTCAATAAATTTGTTTAGTTTCTCTTTTATATAATCGTTTTAAAAAGTTTTACTAAGAGTTAATTTTAAAAAAAAAGTTCAAAATTAATTTTTAAATGGGTGAATACAAAGAATTTGACTTTCCTCCTGAACTTTGTTGTTCACCTAGTCCTCTGATTGCTATCGCAGGCTTAGATACCGTAAATAATGCTATTCATAGGTCCATTTGGGATGCATTTCATAGTCCCATTGGTCGTGAAAGCCGTGCCATACTAAATTTTTTTCATTTAACATCCGAGTATAAATTTCCTCCATTAAGTGAAAAGGTAGTTTCTATTTATAATGCATTGTTATTAAAATTTGCTTATTAACAAATGTTCTAAAATTTAGCGAGTTATGCCATACATTCCAAAAGGTATTTTAAAAAAAAACTGGCTTGAAAAACATATACGTTACGATCCGGCAGTTGTAGTTATATTCTATGATTGCGATTGGGAAGATGAATCATGGAATGAAAAAGTCAGTGAATGTTCATCAAGAGTCCAATCAATAAGGTTTGTAGTATTTTATTATATTAGTAAAACTTTTACTAAATTCAATTCAAATTAGTTGTGTTTTTTGTTTAATATCTGGTATACAATATCGACATTGTAGTGATTATATATTAATACTTTAAAGGTTATCATTAGAAGGTAGAAAATCTAGGATTGTTGTAGTTCTAATTCAAAAAAGTATGCCATTAGCAGTTCCTGCTGCAGATGATACAATTACTACTGAAAGAGCTGCATCTTTGTGTGAAAAATGTAATTTAAATCCAAAAGCACTATTCATACTACCGGTTGCTGAAAATATTCATGGATATGCTGTAAGGTAGTATAAAAATTGATATTTAAATCAAACATCTGTTGACTAACTAATACAGGATGATCAATTTAATGTATGACACCCATTTTCTTGGAAAGTAATATGGACATTTTTATTTATGTTATTTTACCCTATTATAAAATTACTACGGGAGATAGGGTATAGTATAGTTTTATTTTTATCTGCGCGCATACTCCACCTTATGTCCTAAATTATAAAATTTAATAATTTACAAAGTAATTAAGCAAAACTGATTATTGAACAGTCAACATTTTCAGCAAATTTTTTTTTTATTAAAAGTTAGTTAAGTATATATGTTACGATTTAAGTTTTAAAAGTCTTTGAAAGAGGTCATTATATTTAGTCATTTTATAATATTGTGAAATAACATAAATAAAAAAATGTTTTAAAAAAAAACTGTAACATTTTCATTATTTTCCAAGAAAATATGCTTCCATCAATTAATCGGCTAGTACATTTTAATAAACATGTAGACTTGAAAATGCATTTTACGATTTGGCTCAAAATTATTACCAGCAGCAAATTCGAGCTGTCAAATCAAAACTAGAAAACTTAAGTAAGACAAGTCATCTATATTTATTAGTCCGATATTCATTTAAAATTGGATTTTATAATGAGCTGCGTCAAGACCATCATAATGCACATAAGTAAAAAATCAAAGCAACTTGAAACATTAAATTATAATTTAAAATTTTAATTCTTGAATAAATCATATATAATATACACTTATTTTTAGACATTATCATCAGTGTTATATGTCCTTGTTGGAAATACGTACCTTTGATTCAAATATGTATGAAGTCAAAGTAGTAGCTGCTTATGTTGTGTATAAAATCAGTAGATTGCTATTTATAATGAAAAGAGCTCGAGATGCCTTAACTCAATTTAACTCTCATATAAATGTTTTCAAGTCTATGATTGGCCCTCCAGAAATTATGTTTGAACATTATGCCTGGCTATCAAAACAGTAAGATTTTTTATTATAATACAAAAAAAACATTTGAAATGTATAAACTAATTTTGCAATATTTCTAATTACTTAAACTTTAAGTATAATATGTTATTAAATAATATATACTCTATTCAAAATAAGAACAGGCTTCGGCGGCTGACCAGTTTTCATCGGGGGGCAGTCAGGCACCACCCATTTTACATTTCGTCTATAGCCCCACCGGCGGCAGTGTTAGAGGTCCGCTGCTTGTAGTGAAGCCACGCCCACAAGTTGGCCGTCGAAGCCTGTTCTTATTCTGAATAAGAATGAATTTTTTCCTATTATAAAATTTAATAACAAATTAATGTACTGTCTTTTGAAGATTTTCTATGTTTGCTTCCTTGTTTGACGAGACAACAGCTGACAATTTTAGTGCTACCCAAGCTTTAAATCCAGGATTTTTCTTTAAAGAAGCGGCAGACTATGCTAAAAAACGAAAATTAAGTGCAGCTGAAGTGTGTCAGGTATTTTATTTAGTTTTGGGAACAAAATTTCTATATTTTAGCTGTTGTTTTATTATTACCAAATGGTATATGTAAAAATTAAAATAAATGGTCGTTTTCACTAGACAAGCCTAAAAAGTAATTATAGTTAAAAAATACTAAAGTTATATGCTAAACTATACTTCGAATTTAAGCAAAAACTGATGCGAACAACCATAAAAGTGATATGCAGGTTTATTTAAATTTCATGTACTATTTCAAATTGCAAAATCATTTTACTTGTTACATTCAATATAAATTACCTATATAATATATTTCAAAAGTAACTATTAAATACAATATTCTTTGTTGATTTTTTTTAGGATATAAATGAATATCCAAAAAGTAACCCTTTAAATGGTTGGAATCATATCGAGTTTTATGGACAAAGACCATGGCGTATTATTAAAACTGCTAGTAATATGGACTTTGATGCTTTGGAAATGGATGGTATTCAAGCTTTAAAATATAATGAAAATACTAGAGTTGATCATTCTGTAAGTACATTTCTTATATTTCAATTATTTATTTTTTATTTGACATTTTTTTTAACAATTTTTAGAAATTAATTATTAGTTTTTTGGGAAATGCAATGAAACAATTCAAAAGTTACAAATGTCCCAGAATGAGAAACTTCTTGGGTATTATAAATATATTAATTGTTTGTATCAAATAATAGTGGTACTAATAGTATTTTTTTCATATTTTAGCTGTACAAATGGCTGATGAGTATTATAACGCCAAGGATTATAGTAAAGCTTTGACGTAAAAATATTACCTTGTACTTAACTATTAACTACTTTTTAAAAAATTTGTATTTATATATTTTTAATTTAGATTGTGGAGTCATATGTTAAGAGACTATCGTGATGAGGGATGGAAGGCAATTGCACATGACTTAGTAAAAAAATGTCTGAATTGTGCTTACTTAACTGCTAGTCCCCAAGATTATGTAGAATTAAATCTAGAAGCTTTACAATATTTTAAGGATTTAAATCTTCAAAAATCTTTAAACAATATTCAAAAAATTATACAAGTTATTAATAATTGTTTATACTATTATGTTGGTATATATTTGTATACAAAAATAAATACATTTCAATTGTTTACAGAGGAGTTTACCTGAACCTGAAAACGGACTAAATGAACGAGAAATAAATGCAGCTGTTTGTTTATGGCGAGAAAATGATATATTAAAGTCTAGAAATTTATTAGAAGTAGACATGTCAATCACAAACTCTACTATTGATGTCAAAGTACTTTTTAAAGAAGTGTCGTGTGATGGTATAGAAATTGACATCTTTGTAAGGTATACTCTAAAAAAATATACATTTCCCTAGTGCATTTTTTAATTTATTTTTTTTAAAGAGCTATCTTTCCTGTTATGGTACAATTTTCCAAACTTACTGCATATATTTCTTGCATAAATAATAAATATGATGTGGATGTCTGCACTGATAAAAGTAAACTAATTTATGGTGAATTAAAAACGCACAAGTACACTTGTAAATTTATGCCTTCTCCTAATGATGTCGGAAAAGAAATCACTGTAAGTAGTTATCATTTTTTAATTTATACCAAGAAAAAATGTTTTAAGTTAATTAATTATACAATATAGATAAATTATATTCGGCTTCAATTAGGAAATGAATCTGAGTTTCCAATAATATTAAAATACAATAGTTCCACCAAAAAATCAAAATGTTTCGAGAAAGAAATAAACAATTTCAAGTATTTGTATTATAATTTAGTATTTAGTATCTACTTAGAAAATATATTTTTTATTAATTTAATGTTATTTCATTTTCAATTGATTTATAAGCTTATCCGAAAGAAATAACGATTTATTCAAACGAATAAAACAAATCACGTCATCAACATTGAAACCAAGAAGTTCAAAGCTTGATATGGAAATTAAACATGAAAACCCTGCACTTTTATTAGAATGGTATAAAGTGTCTGTTGCTTTGACAAATTTGGAAAATTATCCTGTTAATGATGTTTGTTTAAATTTAACATTGAATCGAAGTAGTAATGAAAAAATTGAACAATTGAGTGAGTCTATTAACTATTATGTTAAATAATTTATAAAATTAAAGAAGAAATAATATTATTATATTTGAAATTTATAGCTGAAATATGTGAAAGCACAGAAAAAAGTTTACTATCATTACCAGTAGATTTTAAACTCGAATCTATACCAAGCAATGGACAGAATATACAAACATTTTACATTCGGTCCTCAAGTTTAGAAACTCGATTATTTCAGCTTATGGTTTGTTTAAACCTATATCAAATATCTAATAATATAATGCATACAGGGTGTCCCACAAAGATAAGACAAATGAAATAACTTTTGTTTTAGTGAATATTTTTAGAATTTTTTTGAAAATTTTGACTGGTCAAATTTGGATAATTACTTTTTAAGTTACTAAAGGTGTTGAAGGGTAGGATGGGAGGTGTAGTGCAGTAGAGTAAGTGCATAGAGCTATTTTTACCTGTGTGCATTACTCTACTGCACTCCAACTCCCATCCTGAACTTCAAACTTAAACAACTTTAAAAGTAATTATCCAAAACTAGTTTTCGACCAGTCAAAACTTTCAGCAAATTATTCTTAATAAATGACTATCTTAAATTTAATAAAATTAATGTAACAAAAAAATAATAATAAAAAAAGTAAAATAGTTAAGTGCAATAAAAAATGTGGTGCTTATAGGGAAAATGAGAAATAATTAATTAAAAAAAAAAATACTAAAATAATTCACTAAAACAAAATTTATTTCATTTGTCTTATCTTTGTGGGACACCCTGTATTTAGGTGCTTTAAACAATTTTAATACTGTGTTTTTCTTATAATGAAATAACTATGAACTCATATCCTTGAGTGATAAGGTGATCTTATAATGGCTTTTTGTGAGAATTTCCTCATTGGATACCACAATTGGTTCAGATTTTTATTTTATACTCTTAGACCTTGTTTACTAATTCTTATATTTAATTTAAACAGTTAATATGTGCACTAAGTCTTAAAATATTTATTTGTTTTTTAAAAATATATATTATACTTTTTTTTTAAATATTTCATAGATATCCAATATTTTTTAATAACCTATTAATGTCTAATAAGCTATTAACAAGTTTTATATTATAGATAAGCTACTCAATAAATGATTTTGGAACAACAATTTCGTGCGTGAAAGAAGTGGAAATAAAAATTGATGTTGTCAATGTATTTGACACATCAGTTTCATTTTTGTCTTCTAAATTTGAACCAGTAACAAAAATGTATGTTGGTGATACATTAATAGTACAACCAAGTATAAAATGTGTTTCACCTTGGCCCATTAAAATTGAAAATACATCATTCAAACCGGTAACTATTGCTAATGTGACTTTAAAAAAGAAATCTAAAAACTATAATCTTATATATTTAGGTTAATACAGTCAGCGTTTCTTCTGGAGGATACCAACCAGTACTAGATAGCATTATATTAGAAACCAATGAATGTGCATCAGACATTCTATGCCTAAATATTTCCGACTATGGTGAAAACTCATTAGGTCATTTTACAATTAATTGGAGAAGGTATTTGCATGCAGAATATTATTGCAAACTTCTTATTAATATAAATTTACTTTTGATGTATTCACTATTTATGGTGTACATCATAATTTACTTACCACACTTGTAAAATATTTATATGTTAAAACAATTATACTTATAATAATAATAAATAAAAAAAACTATTAATGGGGTAGTCAAGAGGATGCAGCCAGTTGCCACACGCCTTATTATTAACAGGTTTTGTATAAGCAATTTTCACAGAATCTTAATTTAAAATAATGGGAAGCTAAGGAAATTTAAATTTTGTATAATTCCTCCAGGGGGGCAAATCTTGAATTTTTATCGAATTAGACAAAATTTGTCACCATTGGTTTAATATGGTGACAAAATGTTGTCAGATTAATAAAAATTCAAGAATTGCCCCCCAGGCTCTCAAAACATATCAGCAACAAACTGGCATAACTCTTAATTAAGGATTTTTTTACTTGTGAATTTTGTGACAACCTATAGGATTTTGAAGGGTCTAAACTTTCCCATACTCGTTACTTACGGATCATAGACTATTTAAAACTATTCCATTAAGCGAATAAAAAATTCTGATCCACGCATGTCGTGTGTGAGTGAAGAGGTAAAATTACAACCGGTTTTGATTATTCAGAAGTATTTTCTTGCCAAATAGATTACATAGCAGATATGTATGATATATGTGCAGTTGTAGTGTAGTATACTAGTAAGAGTATACTTTTTTTTTTTTCGTACTCTCCAACACCACTAATAAAAATGTTTATAATGATAAATCTTGCAAAAAGTAAAATAATATGATGTATTTATTAATATTCCACACATAGTTGCATGTTGAGCTTAAAACCATTTTTTTTCTGGGTATACACCACAAATACACACCGAAGTTAAAAAAATTAACTATCAAAAATGTCATTATTTTTATTATAACATTGCAAATTCAAAATGTTAATTGTTTTAGAGCAAATTATGAAAATGGCTGTCTAAATGGTTATTCAAAACTACATTTACCCAAGATTAATGTTGAAAAATCTTTATTTCTGGTTTGTGCTACTCTGATAAACTTAAAAAATGTGTCAAAAAAATATATAAACTATTACTACTAATTCTATTATCTTCTAGGTGGATATGGAGTTACCTGCTCATGGCTGGTTACACACACCAATGGATATTCTTTACTTGTTACACAATCAGTCTGATTCATTACTTACTTTAGATATATCAATGGAAGCGAATGAAGCCTTTATGATGGCTGGCCATAAAGACGTTAGTGTCTATAACCATTTTTGTAATAAAAATAAATTATAATTTACAGTTTGTTATATCTTTTTAGTTGAGTGTCACAGTTTTGCCAGAAAGTACATACAAACTACATTACAATCTTTATCCACTTGTTGTTGGCGTTTCAACATTACCAAAAATACATATCAGTTGTACGTCAGATCTAAGCGACTTTAAAAACACGTTAAGTGATACGCTATTACGGTCCTTAAAAACTCATATATATATAATGGTATGATAAATCTTTCTACAAAAATAATTTGGTTATATAGTAATTAGTATAACTAGTAGTTACTTAGTAATACATTTTACTCTATGACGTAAAAAAAGCAATTTTTATTTTAGTCCTACCGTCATTAGAGAAGTCCTCAATATAGCTTTAAATATTAATTTAATATTAACATTGATTTTAAAATATACAGATAAGCACTAATGTATACAAGAATAGCGACCGATTTTATTCATGATTATTGCCATCAATAAATGTACAACTAGGGGTCTCGGTTTCGAACGTGAAGTAATACATTCGTGATCACGGTTCCGTGATCACGTAAATAAAAGTAATATAAAACCCGTATGGTTTAATTCACGTGAATTTCGTACAATATATTCACGTGATCACGTATATTAATTTTATTATAATAAAATTTTAAATTCACGGACAATTTCCAATCACGGGTCTTATAAACTCGTGATTAATTTCACATGAATCTGTGAGCCGTGATTCACGTGAAATAGGGAGCCCTAGGTACAACATTCATCATAGTTTATGGACAGGTGGATGGTAAACTATGACGAATGTACATCTGTTGATGGCTGGAATCTTGCATAAAATTGGTTGCCGCTCCTGTGTACAACATTGTTTATCTGAATATTTAAAATAAATTATATTACTTAATTTGACCTAAAAACTTAATACATTTAAATGTAGTTTAAAAATAATTATTGGGTCCTTTTAGTTATTTAATTTTGTGTTTTAATATTTTGCCGATTTTTTCAGCCTAAACATGTACAGAACTATTCAGAAATTAATAAACTAAAGATTTAGTTGTACATAGTGCATTAACTATTGTTACAAAGAAATCCTCATAAATACTATAAGGGTGTTAAATTTTGTATAAATTTTCAACTATTTAATTTATTTTATATATTTGTATGTGTTATAATTAATTAATTGTATTTTTTTTAATATACATATTATATTTACATGTTGTAGAACAACAATTTAAATGTTATCGCTAATATCATTAATTATCGTTTGTAAAACATCTGGTAAATCATTTGTAGTTATATTTGTTAAGGGGATTGCATGCGGTTGGTTTTTAAGGAGTTTTGTATAGGCAATATTTAGGAAAAAGATGGTTTTAATAAATTTTGATCGTGTCAATTAATTTACCGGTTAATTTGTATAAGCTTCATGGTATTATTTTTAATTTAAATTATTTTGTCTATGAGTAAAAACCATTTTAGTTAATATAACATACATTTATTGTTCCATCGCACAGACTGAACCAGTGATCCGAAAAGTAATCTGAAAACGGATTTAAATTTGTCATGAAGTTTACTTATGATCGGTCAGGGTACTTTTTTGATATCTTATTCCTACTATGTATAAAACATGTTTGAACATTTTATAAAATTTCAAATTTTAAAATCAAATTTAGAAAGGGTTAAAATTAAAAATTGAAAAAAGTACCCTGACTGATCATAAGTAAACTTCATGGCAAATTCAAATCTGTTTTTAGATGACTTATCGGATCACTGATTCATTCTGTGAAATGGAATAAAAATTATGTGTTTTGACTGAAAAAACCGACCGCATGCAATCCCCTTAAAACAAAAAAATGTATTATCATATTATGTCATCGTTAGATAGCCAATTATTATAAAATATGTAGGCTTAAATTATTGTGTATTATAAGTTGAATTTAATTTAAAAAATAACTAGTTTATCAGTCTATTTTTATTTTTTAATGCAACTTTTATTAAAGCAAACAACTATTAATATTTCTTTATAATTAATCAATAATAAAATATTTTTTATAAATATTATAGCTAATGCTAATTTTAAAGTAAAGAAAATAAGCAGGAATGATTATGTTACTAATAACAAAAAAATATAATTTTAAGACTAATCTTTGCCAAATAAAACAACACCCTCGGCAGGTTGATCAACTCTGTATATATGTCTTGCTACATTTAAATAAGCTGTGTATTTAATGGTTGTTGGATCTGTATCATAATGATAGTGCCCTCCTGCACCATGTTCACTGAATGAATGGAAATGTTGAGGTCTCAAATCTAAACCCTAAACCAATATATAAAAATTATCCAATACTAAATAATTATATAATACATATATTAAATATATTACTGGATCGTGAGATACGAGATATCCTAGACACACTAAAGGCGATGGTACTTCAAAGAAATTCAACCATTTATTTAAGTCTTCTTCTGAATTTATGGGCACTTTTGAAAAATCTGGCATAACGTGAACTTTTATTTTGCCATTTTCAATTAAAATAACTCCTCCTAGCCCTAAAATCAACTAGTCAGTTAATTTCATACATTCTAAATAATAAATTAATAATAATCATTTAGTAGGTACTATGGTCTTATTTTTAAATCATTTGATTTATAGTTAAATACAAATAAATTCTATCAATTTAATCACAGTCAAATGTAATCCTAAACACCATTTGACCCTTCACCAAAAGCTGTGTTATACTGTTCCAAAATTGAATAGTAGAACTGCAGTAAGTAAAAATTTAAATGTTTCAGGATATTCCTTTTTGAATATTGAAAACTGTACTCTACATGTATAGACTCCCTTTATAGTATTTATAAATATTTAACACCGACAAATGCTACAACTCAATATTTTAAAACTATTTTTAATATTATAAACATTATTTTGAAGATATTGAAAATGTTTTCAAATTGACATTAAATCTTTGTAGTAACTAGTAATATTATATACAATCAAAATTGTTTATCAAAATAAAAATCAAGTGCAGTTTTTCTTAATATGCATGATATATATGTATATAATTATTTTAAGTATATATATTTTGTAAGGTGATCGAAGTATTATAGCATCATGAATACAACATAGAGTAAGAACAAAAGTTACAAGTACAATTATTGCATAATTAAATATGTACATGTATTTTTTTTTCGTTAAGTTATATTAGGCTATCCAAAATTAAAATGCTAACACCAAAACTAACCCTGTAAATATAATGGTGGAAATGTTCAAGGGTAAGTTGAAACTGTCCTAAATTGTAGCATTTGGCTATAATACACGATAAGTATTATAATTTCTTAACTTTTTTATGTCTTTAATATGTAAAAATAAATAAAATTGAATAACTTTCTTTTAGGCCTAAATCTCGTGTTTTCATAAAAAAAAAGTAATGAGCTTGATCATACCAACTATTTGATTTCCATAAAATGTTGATAGAGCTAGTCTTATAGAAGTTACAAAGTCCAGCAAACCTTTACGTTTTTCACATACAATTCGCAAAACCTGCAACAAATGTGGAACTAAGAATAAAGGGGGAAAACACAAAATTACCTACTAAAATCAATAATCATACCTCTCCTCTGACGCCATTACTTGTGTAAAAATTGGCTAAAAGAGCAAATCTTGTTTCGTTTGCAGGTAATTGTTCAAGTTCATAGCTCTTAGTTTCTGAATTAATTTTGACAACACGAGAGCTATTTTTAACATAGCTGCAAGCCATATGGACATTTCCAGCTAACTATTTAGTACATATATTATTATTCATGAGTTTTTAAGTTATAAATAATTATGGAAACAACAAAAACTAAGTGTGAAAAAAGAACTAAAAATAAAATTTTACTTCGGAATTTACTCCTACATGAGGCCATGGGCCTGCACCTGCTCCCACGGCAAAAATTGGATCAGTTCCAGTTATCTGTTTGAAATCTTTAATATCATAAACCTTATTTCTATTCACCAACGGAAGCAAATAAGATGGACTTCCAATATCAAATATATTTTCGTCACCACTCAAACCTATATAATATAAAATTAAAATACATGTATGAAATCAAATAAAAGTATGAGTACCTATGTAGAAGTTATTTTCTTGAAAACAGGCTTCTGATAAGAATAATACACATAGGAAATCAACTGGCAATTAACAGAAGATAATTATTTATTTCTCTTAAATGGTTATATACTTATGCTCAATTTCTTATTCATTTAAGTAGTTACTAACAAAACATTTTAATATACTAACAAATTACAACGTAAATCTATGGTTATACTTTTAAAATTAAGTTATGCTTACCTTCAGACGCCAAGTAAAATGGTGGTTGTGTGAGGTCAGGGCATTGGACTACATCAACGCTTACACTTTCAAAGTTCTTTAATAACTCTGGTAAAATAACTGAAAATAATTCCAGAATCTAGTATGTTATATAATACATTTAATACCATTAATCAGAATATAATTTAAGTATTTAAATTTTTAAACATAAATGCAGTAGGTACTTAAAGTACTTAGTAGTATCCATCTAGATTTAAAATTTAGTTTTATTACTAAGGTTCTGTTGAGTATTGAGGATTAAATTATTTTTTCTAAAATTCATTGTGCCAAAGAACACTAGTATATTTTATCTTTTGTTTATATAAAGTATCAGACATACCCAAAAATTACATGATGGTCCAACTATAAACTTACATTTTAGTCTAATGTGATGCAATGTGTTATTTTTATTATTGTCAACAGTTAAATATTTAGACATTTGTTTGTTGAGTAAGGTACCAGTAAAATTTTAATCATGAAGTATACCTAATATTTTATTTGTAACTAGTATTATGAGGATCGAAAAGCAAAATAATAATATTTTGTCACATATTACATGTTAGTATTAATTATATTGTTTAACTTGGAATTATAATATATTGGAACAATTTTTAAAAAGGTATTAATATTATAAATCTTATCACATTAAAATTTAATATTTACATATTCACTAAATGATGTTTCTATCATTTTATTGTTAAAAATGTAAGTACCTAAAAAAATTATAGGTATCTATATATTTTTTAAACAGTTAAAAATTGTTAAATTTAAACTGTCGTAGTTTTTTAATTAATTACATACCATTGCAATTTATCAATGTCTAATTGTGTTACAATAAACAACACTTCTTGACCTAAGTCTAATATAATCAATTTAGTGTTGAGGAATACAACATTACTATAATTAGTATTTAGTACCTGTAATAACAAGTATCACTTTAAATGTTGATAAATTCCTTAAAAGTTGATCGATTATTTTTATTTTATTTTTCGACCGATAGCAAATTATAAATAATTAGGTAGGTAGGTTATAAAAATGATTTTTAAAAAATTGTTTCATATTATTACAACTTATATTTTTTAATCAAATCAAATAACATGATACTTAGTAAATAAATACATTACAAAATATTTCCCTTAATTATCCTAGTTTAAAGTCCCAAGAAACTAATAAATGATACATAAACAACAAACACAGTTTAATAAAATGTACATAATTTATGTTTATGATAATGATTATAGGAAAATAACAATAGAGCAACATACAAAAAAATACTCATAAGGGAATGAAAATATGTTTTAAATAAATACACAAATTTATGTCTGGAATTAAACATATACATTTAATTATTTAGATGTTAAACCATTCAAAATTATTGGTCATAATGACAATATATAACTAATAGTAATTGAATACAGTTTTTTAAAAAATCTTATCAAATATTATGATTTAATTAAAAACTGCTTTTTCTAATTTTCCTTCACCAAAAAGCCACAAACATAGTCGATCTATTATATATGAGCCAAGAAAATCTAAAATAAGAACACCAATTAAAGTCACGCGAAAAGAGTAGGGAAACTGTACAATTTCAAAGTGTTCGTTTAGGCCATCAATTATACCCATACTCAGACATAATGTTATCGCTATTGTAGCTAATGTACTGTACAATAAAGGTTTATTTTCTGTAAAATTCTCCATAAAAGGACGTCCTCTGTAATTCACAGAAAAAGTAAAAAGTTGTAGTGACATTGATATAATATAAACCGCACTATTGATTACGTTTGGCTTAAATTCCGATTCGTTATCCGTCTGTGTGGAGTTTAAGGTAGATGACACATTAAAATTTGAAGTAAGAGAAATATTTTTAGCATCATCTTCGGTATATAAACTAGCTTCTTGAACTAGAAACACTAAACTAATAAAGTGCATAATAAATTGTAATAATACTGTTGAGATAGTATAAATATTAAAAATATTTGGAAGTGGCCTTTGTTTAGACAAAACCTTTAAAGGTTTTGATCTTGAAATGAACAAAAATGAAGCAGCTAATAATATTCCTTGTAATGTAGCTTGAGAATCGCTAAATTTTATGCCTTTCACATAAAGTACTGACTGACTGTATGCTGCAATTAGAGCGTTCAAAGCAAGTATTTTAAACATCTGAAGTGTAGTAACTAATGTACAACGGCCTTGTTTAATTACATGGCAAACACAAGTCACAGAAGAAAATTTACTAGTAAATGGTGCAGCAATACTAGCATCTCCTGACTTAACTACAGTAAACTTCTCTTCTTCCATTTCCTTTATCATTCTTTTCATTTGATCAGACATATTTTCTCCTGGTTTTCTTATTTTACTAGGAAATATTTCTGTTTTTTTAATTCTTCTTTCTTTAGTTCCTGCAAGTAGAGCAATTCCAACATGAGCGTGCTTCAAAGCCCCAACGTCATTCGTACCATCTCCGCACATCAAAGTTGAATATCCTAGTTCCTTTAACATTAATACAATAAATTCTTTTTCTTTTGGAGCAACTCTAGCAAATACACACACATGTGGTATTACTTTTTTCAATATGTCACTGTAATTTTGATCGAGGAAAGCAAGTCCATCTCCCGTTAAGCATAAATCATATGATCTTACTAAATCTTTTACATTTTCATTCAAAGGCTCCAAAATCTTACAACTCTCGTTTACCCAACTCCATTTTGCACCTACTTCAGCAAGAGTCAAGATAATTTGACTTGACGATCTCGTAAAATTTAATTCCTTTGCAACATAGCATGCTGTTAAAGCATTATCTCCTGTAATCATGGTTACCAAATGGGAAGAAGCTAATAATTCTTTGATGACATTTTTTGAGTCTTGTTTTAATGGACAAGAAACCACAACAAAACCAACAAACTTTAAATCACATTCCAAATCTTCTCGTTTTAAATTTTTTAAATCATTTGGGTTGATACTCATTTCTTTTCTAGCAAGTGCAAGAACTCTTGCTCCGCGTCCAGCTAATTCTAGATAAGTACTATCATAGTTTTCAGGAATTGTTTCTAACATAGATTTCAGAACTTCAGGTGCACCTTTAACACTTGCTATATGTATAGTTTTTTGAGCAATTTTATAAACTGCTAAAACAGACATTCTTTTAAGAGAAGATGAAAAATAAAACCTATTTAATATCTTCAAAGGAGCTAGTTTTCCTTTTTTAGGTACAATAAAGTCACTTTTTGATAATATCCAGTTAATTGCATTTAAAGAAGCTTTTTCAATAGGATCACCCACTAGGGTATTTTCTAGTTGAACCAATGAATGACAAGAGGCTAGAACTTGAATAGTATCTTCAGGAGCATCACTCATTGGAATCATATCTTTTTTAATGCCAGCAATACCTTCAACGATTAAATCATCTTTTGTCAATGTTCCAGTCTTGTCAAAACAGCATATTTCAACTTTTCCCGCAAATGGTATACGAAAAGGTTCAGTACAATATATACCAAGTTTTGATAGTGATAAAATTGAAGCATTCACAGCCAAAGATAGCTCTACAGGCAATTCTGGTGGTATAACGGATGTAAGTATAAGGGCAGACTCAAGAAACAATTTATAACGACTACGATTTGGATCTTCAGTTCCTTTAATCCATAAATAAGCAGCAGCAGCAATTGCAAAAATTAACAAAAATATTATAAATGCTAAAGTTTCCATATTATTTGCCGTTACATGTTTTACTCCAAATAATATAGTTTGTAATAAATTTCCTTGAGATGTATTAAAACCTGTTCGTAAAACATATGCTATACATCCATTATCTGGAGCACGTACATTAGATGTGGCTTTTGAAGGTGATGTATGCTGTACAACTTTAGTACCACTGAATAAAATGTGCAATTTCTTGTCTGACTCAAAATCTAAGTTCCTCTTTAAGTCAGTAATATTTTCAACTGGTTCTTTCATTTGTGGTATTGACTCACCAGTTAGCAAACTTTCATCAACAATACATGAACCCCTTAGCAATAGAAGATCACATGGAACAGATTGATCATTATGAGCCCTTGTAATTGAAACTAAATCACCTGGTGTGAGCTCATCGCTAAAAATGGATTGCCATTTTTTGTTACGATAGACATGCAAAGAAAATGGCTTATTTCCCATGTTACGAATTTCTTCCATATTTCGAATTTGCTGTTTTACTAAAGTACACTCGAATAAAACCAACATTGCTAAAGTAAATAAAGAATAGTACCAATACTTGTCAAAACACCACAATGCAATACAAAATACTTGGAATACAAAAAAAGGTGCAGTAGCACGTTCAATAAATAAATCATCAAACTTCGGTAATTGTATATTTAATTGATTACGACCATACAGTTGTACTGCTTTTGCTAACTGTTCATCTGTTTCACACCCTTTAGAATTTGTATACTCTGAAATTGTTTTAGAAATTGGAAATTCTAAAGAACGAAAACTTTTCTTTTCTTCAAACCAAACATACTTGATTTCCTGGTATCTAAACCATACAATATTTTCCTGATGTTCATCCTTGTATGACTTTAAAACCACTAGTTCCGTAAACCCATTGTTTGGTGTTGGAACAACTTTGACTAAAGTTGCTGCTTGAGGAGAAGTAACATGTTTACATGACAAAACACACCTGAATGACACAGACCAGTAACAGCAAAGAGAGCATAATATTTGAGCAATGGCAATAGTGAAAATACCAACAAAATAAAGATCAATCAAAAGTAGTGTAGCATATAGGCAAATATACGACCATATTCCATACAGAATGAGAAATGGGAAAATTGCTCCATGTAACGCAATGTGACGGGGTACATACAAAGACACTGAACTTATTAAATTGTCTATCGCCATGCTTATTTTTCTATGGTTAGCTTGATTAAAAGTATTAGTTAAATATTAATGACTAGTAAATAAGGTACCTTCATTAATTTCATTCAATGGTGGTACACTTAGTTTGACTTGTTTTGTAGGCAGGTCTTTCATATTTAATGTTTCCGGTAAACTCTCAGCCATCTTGATAGTATTTTCAGAATGTTTTAAAATAATTTTACGTAAAGTAACACAAATACTTAATATAAATATCCAATTGGTATCTTGATATGCCACTAATTAGTACAAAAATACTGAACTAGTTCTGACGTAACACACTCTTCAAGTACATGACAAGGTAGAAGGCGAAGTAGGAACGGTGCAAATGGTGAAAAGTTTTTAGGTTGAAATTAAAAGATAAGATAAAAATATTTAGATTTACAGCCAATTAAAATGGGCGAGCATTATAAAATAACTATTTTATTTTAATTGTTAACTACATTACGCACTTACGTAATTTCATCTGATTTATTACGCTTTAAGTTTTAACACAAAAATTGTATTCCTTATAATTAATTAATATGGAAAAATTAATATTATGCACAATGCTGAATAGTGAATAATAATATTTTGGCCACGGGTACGTCTTGTACTTCATACTTGATACTTTCATTTGATAGCCGATAAGCGATAACGCAACGATGTGGCAGAAATAATTTCCATAACCTAAAATTTAATAACAGTGTAACCAGCTTCCTTCATTAAAGATTTCGTTAACACTTAATTTTATTTTTTACATACACTGTCTTTTAAATGTCATGCGATTGGTCGAAATTCAACTTGAACAAATAACGGTCTCTTTTAACAACAATCAACATTACGATTACGCTTAACGCTGACCACTGTGCAATAAAGAAAATATAAGCTACATGGTCACAAAACCCGTCACTGAATAGTGAATAGTGAGTGGCTAGACGCTAGTACCTACAAACATTTTACTTTTAAGTCGTACTTATCTATTTGCTTTATTTTTGTTTTATCTACCTAGTGGTAAAGTTGCACTGTAACTTTTTTATTTTAACATAATTTTGATATTGTACAATTCTAGTTTAGAACATAATTTCTGTGGTCAGTACAATCTACTAGTGGATGAAACTGAAATTTTAACAGTCATTCCTGTTTACACTATTTAGTGAATTTTCAGTTGACTTTTTATGTTTTAACTTAAGTATTTGTGTATTTTTTTAAATTTATTTCTCATAAACTACCTAACATCATGGCTACGAAAAAGTAAGTTTTTATTTAACTTTTTAAGTTAAGATATATAACATAATATTTTAGGTATAGCAAGATTATTTAGTTTTCTTAAAAATTTAAGTTTGATCACAGTGATTTGGTGCTATTAATGAATTCCCATAACATGTTTTTCATTTATGGGAATAGTACTATTGTGTTTTAATATAAAATTATTTCTACTTAGGACACGTTATGGTCTGAAAGAAAACCGGATTCCTATTGGAAAGAAAAAAGCTAGTATCAAACTTGCAAATGAAAAATTCAAAAGTAAATATAACTTATTAAATGAATTTTCAGTATAACATAATTTTTGTGTGTAATTCTTTTTCTGGTACCCAATATTTTTATGCTGATTTTGAATCTGAAGTCAGAAATCTGCAGACTGTACTATACTCTGTTCTCTGCCGGCACAAGGTTTTTGACTTATAAGCAGTTGTGCAAATATAATATAAAAATATTGTTAATTATTATGTTTGCTTATTAAATAAATAAATAAGAAAGGCAGAAAAGCTTGACAAAATTCAGTCCGTCTCATGCATCCCCACGCTACTCTGCCTAGTTTTCCTTGCACACGTAACGCGACTGTCGGCAACCATCGGATGACATTGTCGTCAGTATTCATCTACAACCGATCGCGTAGAGGGGGATTGATGGGTCCAACAATGCTAGAGGCCTTAATCGAGATACGCAAATCACTACCTTTTTTATTTGGGACAGAGTATATTTCAGAAGTTATAGCTACTCAAGTTTTAGGAATAACTATTGTGCAAGTATGCGAGAAGAGGAGTCCCCGAATTTTTTACTTTAAATTTGTAATCAGCAACTTCTTTAGCAAATAAAATAAATTGCTAAAAAAAGATAGCCCAGTAAATTTGATTTGTTTCTAGTATTTTAACTTATTATTTTAAATAAATATTGAATTATGTTACTAGATGACGATTGTGCTGATGAATGTATTGTAAAGAAAAAGGTAACAAAATCTAACAAAAAATCTGCCAACAGTGAACCCCTTCAAACAATAAATATTAACTTAGAACCTACTAATACATCGTTGGTTATTAAGAAGGAAATTCCCAAATCTAAATTAAGTACCATTACGGAAATTGAAGAAAATACTGCTAAAAACAATGAGACAAAATTAAAGAAAAAGCTAATCCACAACAATGTAAAAAAAAATCAGAGTACATTATCAATTGAGAATAAAGAAAGTATTGAAGAGTCTACAAAGTTAATAAGAAACGTCATTGATGATTTAGACAACACTGTAAATGATATGAAACATACAGTTTCTGAAACACCCGTTGTTTTGAGTCCTTATGTTTGTACTACACGTGGACAGAAGTGGCGACCAAGCCCAAGGAAACCTCCTAAATTATCTGAATTATTTGACAAATATGAAGATAACAGTGTTGCAGATGTTTATAGGTATGCATTTAAATGTGGTTTATCAGCAATATGTTAGTATGATATTTTTATTAATTTTGTTGAAATATTAAATCAAATTAGGAAAAAACTTGATGATAAAACTGTGGAACTACAACAAAAAGCAAAGTTTTGGGCAGAAATTTCTTCAGATAACAACAGTATACCAATAGTTAGTATTATTCAATAATAATATAAAAATAACTAAAAAAAATGGATTCTTTGTTCATAAATATTATTTACTTAGTAAATAAAATAACTAAAATTAAATCTATTGTTAAATTTTACATTCATATAAATTCTTAGGATTTCAAAGATGAAATTGATGTTGTTTGTGGCCAAACAAAACTATTGACAACTGATAAATTTATGCAAATGCGTTCATTAATAGAAGAATTTGATAATAAATCTGGATCAATGCCAATAAAAACTGCAGACTTGGATGGTTTTTGGGACATGTTACTACTACAAGTAATATAATAAAAACTAATTTATAAATTATGAGTTGTAATTTATATTACATTTGTAAAATACCTGTTTCATTTTAATGTTTTAAGCCGAAAAGCTTTATATCCAAAATAAATAAATATTTTCTAATAGGTCGAAAAATTAGAAAATCAATTTAAAGAGTTATCCATGATGAAAAAAAACAATTGGGTTCCTTTGCAACCCGTCGTAAAAAAAGTTATCAATAAAACTGAAAAAACAGTGAAAGTGTCTCAAGTGAAATCCAAATTAACAGAATTTCTTAAAAGTAAGTATATTAAAAAAATATGATATATCTATACAAAACAAAACTTTTTTTTAATATTTTCTTATTATTTAAATTTGTCTAATGAGAGTTAAGCCAATGGAATTTAAGTTGCTTCCTACTAAGTAAGCGGGTAGTATGTGGGGGCGTCAATGTCTGTTTGCCGGAATCGAACCAGACACCGAGTAACAAGTGTGACACATTATACACTGCTTATAATACTTGTAGAACTATTATTAATTATTCTATTGACTTTTTTTTTTTAAGTTAAAAAATATTGTTTGCAAGTATTTAATATTAATAAAGATGTTAGCTACATCTGCAGGTGGCCATATACCCAAATATTTTTTTTAGGATTGGTCATTTCATTTGACTAGTTGGTTCCTCACTGCTGAATTTCCTGATTTACTAATCCAAAAAATAAATTACTCAGTATAAAACTCATACCTAAACTTAAAAATTGTATGCTCGTACAAAATGTACTTGGGCAATAGTTTATCCTTCTTGATTTGTAAAACACTTTTTACCAAGCCTTCTTTCTTCAGTCACCATACATAATACACCACATCAAAATCATTAAATTTATGCCATATACTTAATTTAATGAATATTTTATTTTTCATAACTTTAGATCAAAGAATAAAAGCTAAACCGATGACAACAAACAATGAAAATAACAATCCAACTGATTCTTCAAATTCATCACATTTTCATGAGATGAAATCATCAAATAATACTTGTTGTAAGTCAAAACAACTGTAAAATAATATTTGGTTTCTTTAATTAAAAATATACACTATTTACAACAAAATCATACAAATTGTTAATATTATTATTATATTATGTTGTTCAATAGAAAATACTAGTCATAAAATGTGATTATATGTTGTACCTTAATGTGTAAAAACATTTTTTATAACAGGTACATTTCTAATTGAAGTCATATATTTATATAAATAATAGGTGATTTTTTTTTAAAAATAAAATAAGCAATGTATATGTTTGTAGTGATTTCCAGTACACCAACATCAATTAATCAAAAGAATGTCAGCTTTACACCTATGTTATTAAAAACTATGGAGCTATCATATGTTGCTCGTAGGTCTGGTATGACGCCAATTGTTTTGGCTGATCAACATGTTTCGCCATTAAAACCTGCTTTAAAAAAATCTGCTAAAGAAAAAGGAGTGAAACGTAAAAATATTCATTTTGAATCTCCTAAAGCAACCTCAGACGATTTTGTGACTCCTCAAAATTCTTATAATTGTATGTAGTCAAATTACAAAATTGTAGGTAGTTAATTATGTTTTATTTTATTTAAACTTATATTTTAGGTGATAATGTAAAACACGTACAAGAGAGAATTGCTACTCCGCATAATAAAAGAAACTCCAACAATAAACCAAACAAAACTAGTAGTGAAACAAATGTGAGGCGATCTTCTAGACTAGCTTCTAAACCATCAAAAAATTACAAAATGTAATGGTTTTAACTACTTATCTTGTTTTTTTATCACTTATAGTTTTTGATTTGACATAATATCCTTATAAGTTTGCTGGTTTTTTAACATTTCTAAATAAACTGTGTATTTTCTGTTGTGATACCTATAATTATAATAATATTTTTTAATGATTTGTGTAATTTTTTCCTATTATGTTCGAATATATATATATATGTTTTATGTAAATTACTCTATTGTGTTTATTATTGGCTCTGTTTTTATTCCGTCACTAGCCATTCCAAGTATAGCTTCATGTAATGAATCATACTCTTTTGACGATGCAGCTGCAAGCATAGCTGAGCCAATCAAAACTGGATCATTTTCTGCTGACGTCCAGACTGGTAATCCCACAGTATTAGCTTGAGATTGCAAGAACATTTGATTTTGACTTATACCACCACATACAAGAATTTCATGCACTTGCAATGTGTTATCAACCTTTTCTAAACATTCCATAATGTGCCTTGTCCCATACTTAATTAAAATAGACATTTAAAACAATTATTAACTTATATCAACAATTTATACTTATAGCAATACTAACAGCGACATATTCAAAAATATTTTGCAGAAAGTTCCCAAAAAAGTCGTAAAATAACACTATAAATTGATAGTTTTATTTTTAAATACAAAAAATTACTTAATTTGGGAAGGGATATAAAAACAGAACCCCTTTTAGTGGATATGGCATAGTACATGTATACCAAGTTTCTAAACTGTAAGTTAATAGAACTTTTTACTAAAAATATTTTTAATATTTTAATGGATTCATTTTAAGAAATGAAAGTAATGACATTTGAAAAATTAAATATAAATAATATATAAAACTTTAAAATGTATTAAAGTTTTATATATTTTTGTTATTAGTTCCAAAATAAAACTTACACACAATGATTGTATAGTAGCTAAATATATAAGTCCTAGGTTTTCTTCATTAGCAGAAAGTGATAGCCCAACAATCTGCAAAAAAAAAATCAATTACAGGTTTTGAATTATTTTTACTAAACAACTGAAACATTCAGTTCAAAATGAATTAATAATAAGTAGCACCGTTAATGCAATGCACAAATATTAAATACTTACCATCCCTTTAAGAGAAGGGTCTGCTATTGGCGATCGGTTACCATGAAAATCTGGATAAATATGAAAATCTTCAGTCAAAAAGTCAATTGCCTCGATACCTCTTTTATTTGCCATTTTAAGCAGAAGTTTATTTAAATAGTCTTCTATTCTCCTATTGACAAATCAATCTAGTTAGGAGAAATGTCACCTAACGTAAAGATTAATTTATATATCATCATCCTCTACAGTGTAGAACACTACAGAACAAATACAAAAGTATCAGTGAGACTTATACCACTTATACTTATCATGGAAATTAGACAAAATAACTATTATTTAATTTAAAAACTATATCTAACATGTTTTCAGGAATTGAAATGTTTCTCGTAGCCGGATGTGTATGAATTACGTGGTCAATTAGTTTCCCGGTAGCAGATTGTCCTCCTTCCAAAAGCCACATTCCTGGAACCATTGCACTATAATATGGACCCCAAATACCATTTACAAATACTTCTTTGTTGCTAAGTAACATGTGACAAGTTGATGTGCCACATATCATTACTTAAAAAATAAATAATTATCAATATACCAGAGTACCTAATAATTTTACACTCATTCAAAAATATATAAGTACCTACCTAATCGATTTTGTAAATTATTTGAACATTTATTCAATGCTATACTTATCATTCCCAATCCTCCAGCATGTGCATCTATTAAAGATGTAGCAACTGGTGTTCCAACATCCAGTTCCAATTGTTCTGCTGCTTTGTTTGTTAATCCTGATCCACAACGTTGGCCTGGTTCCAATATTTCACTACCTATCATAAAAACTAATAGTTTTATCTGTACTGCAAACAATGATATTGAAAAATTGAATGCTCTTACCAATTAACCTCCAATTATTTTCACATAGATCTCCTAAACCTATACTTTTAAAGTAGGAACTATCCCAAGTTCCCAAACTAGCTGCTTCAAGATGTGCGCAGTACGTCCATTTGCAAACAACTGTGCAAAGAGATCTTAAAAAAATGTTTTTTAGAATAAGTATGTTTAGATGATACAGTAATTCACAAACCTGGAAAGAGTGTTTGTAGCCTTCCATGTCAAATAATCTGGTAAATCAAAAAGATAGCCAATTTTATTCCAAAATATATTCTTTGGTAAATTATTTTTCAACCAAAGAATTTTCGGAGTCTCCATTTCCAACGATATTTTTCCTCCTACATACTTCAATACATTATGGTTTGTATGATTAATAATATCCGCTTCTTTTTTAGCACGATGGTCCATCCATAATATAATATTTTGTTCTTGTTCTCCTGTAATTACATGATGTGTTTAATGCATTGGATCTATGTAAAATACAAGTACAAAACACCTATTACGGGTTACTAATGAACTCTTTAATATCTAAAATATGTTTATAAAAAAAAACCTTGTTTATTGTATTTTTCCATGATCCTACAGTTTTGTTGTAACCTTTATTAAACATCCCCAGTTTTCCCTATCTCCATTTAGCAGCCACTATACGCAAAATAATCCTTCCTATAATCATTTGATACTAAATATTATATGAAACAATATATTATATCATAATTTATAGTACACTGTTAAAACTTCTTCTTGAAAATTGTGTAGAATAACAAAATCAAGTCTTAGAAGGTAGTAAAGCAGATTATTTATGCAAATTAGATAATTATGTAAATATTCAGTTTAGTACTATTGTAGTCAATGTAAATGTATCAGATAATATTTGTATTACAATTCATATTCGCCGTTCCAACGCAGAATAGACTTTAATCTATTGTGGTTCTACTAATATTTTAATTGTCGGATATTATATCATTAGATTTTTCATAATTAATTACTTTAGGCTATTATTAGCTACCTACCATGTTCTAGATATGTTTAGTAAACAGTGACGGAATATGAAATAAAATCGGCCGGAAAAAAAATTTCAACGGCCCAAAGTACCTCCCTAGTCTGTTCCTTTTTAGTATTCTGTATTTTATGCCTGTAAAAGTATTTAGATAGTCTGGATGTGGTTGTGGATGTTAATGACAGGAACAATCTGGATAAAACGTAAGACGAATGAAGCAGTGCTGAACGAAGTTAGTGAGAGAAGAACAATGATGAAAAGAAAAATAAGGCTAATTGGACATCTGCTAAGGCTCAATCAGTTTATCGCCATCATCATGAAAGGGAAAATAAACGGTAAAAAAAACAGAGGAAAACCGCGTAAATCCATCTTTGAAGAAATCTTCCATCGGATAAGTTTTACCTCTTACCAACAACTCAAAAAGACAGCAAGTGACAGACATGAATGGCTACAACGACAAGACTTGGCCTTTAAAAGCTGATGATGATGAAAGTATTTAGATTTTAAAATGCATAGTACTATGTTATTAATTATTGTTTATATTGTCGCGGCAATTTTTCGAAACTGACTGTTTTTTCATGCTAAAAAGACCTATTCCAACGCACTGATCAATCCAATTACGCGATAAAGATTTTTAAAACCGGTTTGGATTGATGAACAACTTTTCACAAATTTTAACTTAAACTTAAAAAAATTTAACTTTAAAAGTGTAAAAATTTAGAAATATTCAACATAGATAAAAAATTATAACGCTTTTTTCAGATGAATAGATGGAAAAAGTTGTTCACAACATCAAATAAATAGGTATGCAATGGAAATTGAAATTTTTTTTATCAAACTTTTGCCATAACTCAAAATAAATAACTAAAAGTTTTATAACTAGAAAAAATAGTATTTGTTCACTTTAAAATTGCCATATCGCATATTTAAAATGGCTATTTATAAATAATTTTTGTTAAATATTGCCTATCCTTTAACCCTTAATAAATAGCTCTTTCAGTGGCGTAACTGCCGTGGTTCAGTTATAGTTACGCCACTGAGCTCTTTCGGGAACACAAATGAAATTATATTTATTTTAATATTATTTATATTTACTATACTGAAGGTTAATGGAGTCAACTAAATTGTTATACTAAATAATATAAAAAATTATAAGCTTTTTAAAACATAACTTTTTTTGTTAAGACCCACATTTTTTTTGTAAAATAATATTAAATAAGTATGTATGTAAGTGTTTTATATAATAAACATATGACAAGTTAAGTTTTTAGGTTGCTAAAGAATAATTTGAGTACAAAACCAATAAATTCTGAATGGTACTGGAAAAAAACTTATAATTATGTGTAACTTGTAGTTTTAGTATGAAATACCTAGCCTTAAGGTCACGACTGGGTCGCGGCATAAGCGTAGCATGATGCATTTCTCTGGGGAGAGGGGGGGGGCTATAGCCCTCACACAAATTGTAAACATATAGACGGAAAACTTGTGAGGGAATTCCCATACTTGTGTATTATAAACGTATATAATTGATGTATATTAATGGAAGGAGGCTGTAGCCCCCTTAGCCTCCTCTCCCCCTATTCTACGCCAATGGGTCGTTTTCAACCGGGAAAACTCCTGGCCTCCCGACTGCATAAACCGCTACTATCAATAAATTGATAGAAAAGTTCTACACCTAGCTGTATGTTGTAGGTTGCACAAATATAATTTGCTTAGGTACCGTTTTTGCTAACTGATAATGGTTGACCGTTAGTATCGATAACAACTAGCGAACATGTAGCATCAAATCCAATTCCTTTTATTGCGGTTGACGGCACTTCTTTAGTTACATCCTAAAAAAAAGTAGCAATTTACCTTTTAATTAATAGTGTATTTTAGAAAAACATTATAATTAGATAGGCAATGTAAAAGTTTGATCTAAGAGCCGTTATTAGTATTGAATTAAAAAGGTTTAAAAATAATAATATTAGAGGTAACCCAAATCATTGCATTCCATGTTTAAAACTTACCTACTAGTTACTTCGTTTCTTATAGATATAGGTAATACATAATATCTAATATGTACTTACAACGGTCTTAGCCAATGTTTAATAACTAATAAACTAAAACCTGGCTAAATAATTTGTAGGTACCCTTATGACTTTACAACAACATTGCCAAATGTTTTCAGACGATTGTTGGTAAAAATCTGGTTCTGGATTCCATGTTTCAATTTGACAAGTAGATTTCTTTACTATTCGACCGATTTTATCAACCAAAGCTGCCCGCACACTCCCTGTTCCAACATCCACTCCAACAAAATACATTTTCTTTTAAAAACCTATTCATGCATAGATACATAAGTATAAAGTAATAAGTACATGCATAAATATAAATTACAGACATTACTTTAAACTAAATAACTAGGTAGTTTTATAATCGAATAAAATAGTATAAAACACGATTCGCGCGGTATAAATTGTTGTAAACAAACATAATTCTTGAAGGAGTAATCTTTTTATATTTATAGAAATGAATGTATGTCTGTTTGTATGACCATTACGCATTATAAAAAAAAGTATTAGTATACCATTCGTCCAATCGCCATGAAACTTTGGGAAGTTGTTGAGTACACTCGATTGAATGACAGGTGATGATTAAAGGAACAGATCGATTCTATGTACCACGATTCTGGGGACGCTATTAAACATTTTCACGATTCGAACCGGATCTGGGGCTGGGACTGGGATCATTGAGTAAGCGGGGCCCATAATCAATATAATGTAATGTACATATTACCGCCCCGGTAGAACAATGACGCAACTGCAAAATTTGGTAAAATTGACTAAATGCTTCAATGTGTTTAGATAAAGCGAACGCATAAGGTAGAAAAACGACGTAACTGTAGTTGTAATAATTTCCCAAGACCCAATTTCATAATTAATTGTGCATTCATGAATTATTAACGCTTTAGTGAAAATAATTTGGTTTTTTGGTTCTCCTGTAAAATTCAATTATTGCAGTTGTGTCATCGTTCTAGCGGGGCGGCGATATGTAGATCCAAAAAAAAACCGAGACAGGGTACAATGTACAGCCTGGAGAAATGACTTTTTTTTAATCTTACTTGTAATTATTTTACTTAGCCCTGGCAAACTAAATCACGGGAAACGCCGGGTCGGGCGTTCCCGGGCTACAGCTTGTAGCTTATATTTTTTTAGAGAGTTAAGCCAAATTTAAAATTAGCTATTTATTAAAATGTTATAGGTTAACGTATGTAAATGAGAGAAAATAATTTTAAACAACGGGCTCTCGTCCCTATTTAAAAGCATCTAATATTTTTTCGAAGAATAGAGTTTATATACGATACTAATTTATGTGGTAGATGGTAATAGTAGTATATGAAGGCACTTTAAATCATTGGAGAAACTAGTTTTTTAACACTTCTAGGCCCAATTATAGTAATTCCCTTCCTTCGTCCAAAAACAATTTTAATTACTATTTATGCTATCATCTATATTATGTATTTTTATAATCTTATAAGCTATACTTTTATTGAAAAGTTGTTATTCAAGAAACTGTGTATCTTAGATTCTTAGGCTTTAGCGGTTGATTTAAAACTATAGCTAACTTAGAGCCAACAAAGAACAACAACGTTCTTACACATTTTTCAGATTTGAATATAAAATAAAAGCCAGTTAGGATGTTTTTCTTGGTTTTGGAGGGAAAATGATAAACGTTTTAAAGTTTTAGACAATAGTATGTTTTTTTTAAATACATTATTTACCTACTACGTGTTCTTTCAAAGGTCTATTGTCTATTAAAATATGTCATACGTGTGTAAATTTTTTAAATATGTGTATTATGCGCATGAATGTATTGTATTGCGTTCCATTCGACAATTCTATGTAAAATTTACCAGATGCCTAATAATTTGTTCAATTAAAAACAATATCTATTAACTTAATAAGGTATTTAAAATTTTGGAGTTTTTGTTTTTAAACACTTGCAAAACACTTTTTTTTGTTTTGTAAAGTATAAAAAGCAGTATTATTTAAACTAAGGTAAGTCTGCTAATAAAATCAAACGTTTAAGCGTGTTACGTTCAGATTATCATCAGTATTTTTAATATGAAAAGTTTTAACGAATTTTCCGTTGTAGTGATAATAGGGTTTATGATATTGCAGGTAAAATGATATACAGTAATTATTTTTTAATTTACAATTATTATTTGTATTACATTCCTATATATTTGGTTGAAAAATCGTTTTAGACTTTATAATAATAGAATAAAACGTTTTATTTAATGATTTCTGAGAGGTATCATTTTTAACAAATCATTTTGTATGTTTGTTAATATGATGAAATTCCACATTTATGATTGTTGTACTTCTTTATTTTTAATAGCATAAAAATCAATAATTAGTATATTTTCAACGAAAATTCGTATTATAACTAATGATGAATAATAATGATATAAGGATATTTTTAGTTGAGTGCGTAGACTAACAATTTTTTCTTCTGACTATATATGGGTAAAAATTAATTTTATTATGCAAATAGGATGTAGGACCATACTGGTAGGCACTTACTTATAAATTATAATACTATACCTATAGGTAACTTATATCATATATGTTTAAATATATAAATATCACTATAATGAGATACTAATAATTCAATTTTCATAGATTTGGTGTCATATCATAGTGAAATATTTCTATCACAAATTAGTGTGTTTATGAAAAACTAAATTAAATTAATAAACCTAAAACTCATTAGCCATAATTTATAGGTTGCATTTAGTGGGAATGCTGATAGACCATCCAACAATGACATACCTGCTAAAGAGTCTACACAGAGTGAAATGAATTCGTATGGAAGTGGAACACATCATCATGATCGTGACGATATTTCTGAAATTTGGGAAGCGACATTAGAAGACAAAGATGTGTGGGGTCTCTTGACACTTGTATTGAACTCTGTGAAAAATGTTGCTACCAATGAAGTGGGATCCGACACTATGCGTTCATTGAATAATTTCTACAAAGAAGTCAGAACAAATAAAGAAAGTAACGAAGTATTTAAAATGTTCGGCCAAGTAGTTTTAACATTCTTAAAAATTGCTGAAGCTAGCTCTGGACTAGATGGCAAGACAAAGGAATTGATAAGTCGCTTTCGTAATGATGAAAATAAGAGACTTCATTTGGAAAAAATTCTTTCACGAACCATTAATTTGTTATCAAATGATGTCACTCGTAAAAACTTAGAAGTAATGGCCAAGGAAGGTACAAACTTACTTAACCCAAGTTCAAACGATAAAAAAATAAGTAATATGCATTCAGGAATATCTAAGCAGTTTTCAAGAGGAACCAAATTCATATAATTATTTAATAGTTAGTAAATAATTTATATTTTTTACTAAAAAAAAAGTAATAAAAGTTCATAATTATGTTTGTAATGCTATACCCAATATTTACAGAGAAAACGAATAAAAACTACTGCAATTGTTTACAGTCTAGACTATTTATTATTTATAAGTGATAACCCTTTCGGTAATGAATTTAATTTAACTAAATTTAAATTGTATCTTTTGAAATAAAATAATAATTAAACAAATAAAAACAGACACCCAAAAAATGGGACACTAATCGCTATCATTGAAAAAAAGTTAATAAAATCAAAAATGGGTTTAAAAAAAGAAATAAGAGTTTATAATAAGAAGTCAATCTTCTGACTTAATACAAAATATAAAATACAAATTTAATTAAATAGAACATATTTTGATAGCATGTTGTATAGTACACATGTTAATTTTACCAGGAATCGTAACCATAAATTGCATAATCATAAACTACGCTATATAATTTGTTTCCAGTGGCGGGTCATATGTCACTGCCACCTTATTTAAAAGTGGAGTTTTTCCAATCGGTTATGGGCCACCGGTGGAATTGCTTGTTTGTTTTAACTTTTAATATCAATAGCTATAAAAAAAACATCGTTTAAATATTTAAATCAAATCCTATGACAAAATGAAATACCTAATGCTATTTATTATTTAAATATTACATTTTAACATTACCGAACGATGCCTTAGTAGATAAGACTATACGAGTATTATCTACTGAGTAATAGTAAATGTGTTCATGCATATTCGTTGTTTATTAGTGAAATAATATATTTCTAAGAAACGAGTACAATGATTTTGAGTTTTAATATGTAATGTGAAAGCGATTGGAATACAATTTAAGGGTAAAGAACGTAGTTTTCGAGACGGTTTATTTGATTTAAGACGGGCTTGTCAGAATTGTAGCTTTTTCTCCTTTTTTATTCTATACCAGATATCTAAAATTAGAGTCCCTTGATTTGTATTTCTATAGGTTAGTGGTTTCTGTAAAGTCACTGCCAACGTCCTACAATACCCTCGTAGGCTAATCGCTAAATTTTTATTTGATAAGCTTTATATTCTGTCTATAAACATTGAACACAATATCTCAGTTAATTTATTATTTAAGCTGACCAAGATGTAGGTATTAGTGTATTACTAGGTTCAATACTCAAATAGGTAATATTATACTGGTCATATCTAATTTTGAACCCAACTACATTTTTGTTGTATCTATGTGCATTGTAATTTGCTTATATCATTTTAAATATTGTAAATATTTTTGTGAGCCTGCCTCGCCCGCAGAGGTAAACAGGTTTTTCTTGTTTATAATTGTAATTTTGTTGAATAAACGGCATCGGAGACCGTAGGAAATTGGAAAGTAATGCCCCGCTGGGTAGACCTCCGGTTCTCTACGGATGCACATGAAGGGGAAAAAAAAAGATCATTTACAATGGATATAGCTACTGCCTAAAAGTTCAGTAAAACGCGTTTTATCCAACATCTAGCAGAGGTGAACAACTGAGCGAAATTACACGTCTTTACTGCGCATGTTCGATAACTTCTGCAGTCTGCACAGGCCACATCTGCAGTGCACTGCAAACGTGTGCGTTTGTACAATATACTATGTAAGTTTGCTCGGCCGTTGACCTCGTAGTCCATAGATGTCAGATCTCAGATCATTCCTTAATTTTGTGGTCTTATATTATGTCGATTGAATGTTATCATATTTAATAAAAGATATGATAATTAAATTCAAAATTTGCCAATATTTTTTTTTAGTAAAAAAAAGACATTTTTTTTGTACCTACCTATTGTTTTGTGGTGTTTATTAATGAATAATAATCGGATATTATAAAAAAAATTATATGATGAGTAACACCTCAAATTAAGGCCAAAGCTAACTGCTACGGACGAGTAACGACGAACTACTGCAAACTGCACTCTCAAGAGTTCAGATCTCAGGCCAAACTTGATGTGTTACTATTACCCCTGCCTAATTCTTTCTTCTTACACGCTGGTTATTTTATATTACAATATGCTGTATGACGTGTAATAGATAACAATAACTAATAAGAGCGTAAACGTATATTAGTGTTTAGATAGCAAAGTTATTGGGTGTTAACCATGAACTAAGATAACTAATTATAAAATTACAATTATTTCCGTATGGCGTATAATAAAATAATAATTAATTTTACTTAAAAGTGTACCAACAGTTTAAAGATTCAAAAGAAGTATATTTTTAATCAGTATGTTGTACACTATAACTGTATAATGTTTTAGACTTGATATTTTCTAGAATCTAACAGGAATCTAAGCTATCAAGTTGTATACCTCGATCTACACCTCTCGTTATGATTTCCTAACCTTATAGGTTGGAAAGCATAACAAAAATATAGGTACTAAAATAACAAAAATAATAATTTTTTTATTATATTTTTCAATTTGTCCGACATGTATATTTGTCGATGCCGATATTGGTTAATAAATACCAAAGCTTAATTATGTGTGGTAAGTGGTCCCTACGGCCTACTTCAAAACTGTTCTCATAGACAGCGTTTTTATTACCCCTCTTCTGTTTCATACCAGTCTATCATACTGTGTTGGAAGGGTGTACGACAAATGGAAGATTTTCGTAGAAGAAAAAACGACGCTATGGCCTATGCAATTTATAATATGGTTAAAGATCTATGAAAATCTTCACTTTCTCTTACTCGATGTTCGCTTTCGTAATCTCAAAAGAAGTATAAAAAAAAAATTGTGTAATGATATTCTTCTGCTTAGGCCTTAAATCATAATTCTTAATATACAATACTATAAGTATAATGATATATGGACCTAATATTATGGTCAAAGGCTCCTGTAAGAATTACACTGCAACCCACGATTAAAATTCTGTGGTGCTATACTAGTGCCTAGTACCTGAGAACCTCAGTCATTTTGCTATTATAGTGACAATAGCAAATCACTAGTTAGGTCATTAGGTCAGTATTTTTTTTTCCGTATAGTTAGTACCTTTCTCGGAATTTAATTTATTATGTATTTTGTAATTTTAACTATTATAATGGTTTAAGAACTATTGATCGTGGAAGCCTATAACAGCAGCTTATCACACAATGTTACCCGTTACACTGATAAAATTTGGCGCGAAAATGTAATCAAACAAAATAATATTTAGAATGTATAACCTAAAATATTCGCCAATCGGTATTCGGTCTTCGGATTTCAGTATAAGGATTTCACCATGACTACCTATTCTGTGATTTTACAATTCACTACAGAATATACTGTATTGTAAATATTACAAATGTTCTCAATTTTAAATTAATTATTATTAAAAGTATTTTAAAGTTGCATCAATACATTCAAATTACGTTTGTAATCTTAATTTATAAATTACACTTATTCACATTTAAAAAAAAATATCATTCATACTTGTAATTGTTGTTTACTTTTATACCTGTCTTGTTACTCAATATTTTTCTTGTTGAAATAATAAATACTAAATAAATAACTTATTGAACTACTTATTTCATAGTTTCAACAGCATTAAGTATGACTAAAGCTAAGCCAAATTTGCCTTGGTAAGTTAAATACACACTTAAATATTTTATTCCATGTGTGTAAAATAATGCCTGATACCTACCTAAATGAACTTATAGTAAGCCATAGAGTGGTATGAAAATATAAACAGAGTACTTATGACCGTCTCCACCAACTCTACTTAGAATTTAAGGGTAGTTAAACAATACTGAAACTATAGGGTAAATTGTGCTTAAAATTTAAGTTTAATTAGTGCAAACGGCCATTAGAGGTACATTTACAAGCTCTTTGTGTATTATAATTATAGTATATACTGAATATGAAAGATATAATAGTTTATATTAAGTATACTTAGTATAACTTTAGTTGGTATATTATGTATACATATTTCATTAATAGGTAGTTTAATAAAATTTAAATTGTAGTTTTATAAAATTAGTTTATAGTACTTTATTGTGATGGCTGTATTGGTAGTATCAATTTATTTATTTTTTTTAGGGTTGAGAAATATCGTCCAAATACATTAGATGATTTGATTTCACACGAAGATATTATCCAGACAAGTATGCAATACAATTTATAAGAAAGATTATGTTAAAATATTTACATTTCTTATAATGTTATTATTTAGTTGGTAAATACATTAAAGAAGATCAGTTACCTCACTTGTTGTTTTACGGGCCACCCGGAACTGGAAAAACTAGTACAATCTTAGCATGTGCTAAACAATTGTATACACCAGCACAGTTTCGCTCAATGGTATGTTACTCTATTATGAAGAAAGTTATAGTAATCAATGGTAATTTAAAATTAAAATTGTTATGTATAATATTAATATGAATACACTTTTAAATATGACTGTACATTGCTTAAAATGATACTGTAGCCTGTATCTCTTATTCAGATAATATTTTTTAGTATTTTGAAATATCTATTTTGTTATAATTATTGTATTATCAAACATGTTGATAACCTTTGGTTTTTTTTTTAAATTAAGTAAATTCTTATCTTGTGAATACATTACAATAATGTTTTAAAAGTTAATAATGTCATGGGTGATATTGTAGTACTTTTTAAAATGAACAATTTATAAACAAAATCTTCTGTTATATTCGTTCACAAAAATATATTTAAAAATACTATACATTATGACGAGTATCCACAAATACCGAATAGACGAGTCCTGTGAACCGGGCTTTAGACAAATAACTGATTATTAAAATTATACTTAACAAAAAAAATGAAATACTAACAATGATAGTTGATTGTCTTTTGACTGTATTAGGGATCCAGTCAGAAAAATATGTAATTTATTTTCCTGTAGCTACTTTCACAAGAGTTATGCGTGAAATGATCCTATGGACCCTAATTTTGTTTGGCCCTCCGGTATAAATTTACTTTACTGGCTACTTTTTTTTTATTGAAAGTTCTTTTTATGGTGATTACGAAACACATAGTTGGAGAAAGAAAATAAAATAGAATAGAGCACTAGACAATGGAGAAATGACCTAGTCCAAGTAGGCCCCTTAAGTTCCTAAGAGTTTGGGATAGAAAAATGAATAGCTATATATATGGCAAGGGGTAGTGAAATTGATCACAAATGTGTAAAATAAGCCATTAAAAAATAAATAGACTGTTATAAAATAGTGATTGAAAGTAATCAGATTCCCAGTACAAAAACAAAAAAAGTAACAATACCCACCCTGCCTGCGCTAGGTACACATTTTATAACAATATGATTTTTTCATAAAACACAAAACTTTTTAATTATTTACCAATTTCTTTTAATGTGAAGTCTATAAATAAAAAAATGGAATCAAAATTATTATAAAAAGGCTAAATGTTATACAAATTCTTAACTTCCAAATTAAAATACAAAAGAAAACTCTTCTACATAAATTGTATAAAAATAATAAAAATCTTTACTGTAAAAATTTGTAAAAAACTGTAATATATTGTATGTGATTTGAGCAGTGGCGAGGCGTGGATCTTTAGATCGGGGAGACATTGAAAAAAAAATGGTGTTACGTGACTTGTCAGGGGGACTGCACCCCCTTGGACCCCCTGTATATGTTATTTTATCTATACTGTAACAAATAAATGTTCAAAAACTTATAAACTAAATGGCATAGGCATATTTGAAAACGTACAACACGACAATCGATACGACGTACATCGATAACGGATAACTGATACGGTCTACCAAAACAATAATAATATGAACGGCGGTCGGTGAGACATGTCTCATAGCGCAACGATAAACCCCCGCCGTTTTCCATTTCCCCCTGCATACCGCGCCCGGCAAAAGAGACAATTTTGAAATTGTCTCATTTATTTTTATACTAAATTTGGATAGACCAAGCGGCCGGCAGCGCGACCGCCCGCTGATCCGCGCCCACAACTACTCTATTCTAAGAATACTATTACAAAAAAAATATACTTTTACATTAAAATTGGTTAAAAATTTTTTATACACATAAAATAAAACCAAATTTTTTGTCCGTATTATAAGTGGGTAGACATTGTCTCTTTGTCTCCTATGACGCTTCGCCACTGGATTTGAGTATCAGTAATGTTACTTAATGATACTGAATTGTTGCTTCAATATACCATTGTTTTATTTCATTCATTATTTATTAATTGTTTTATTATTTTTTTAATTTCAGGTACTTGAATTAAATGCTTCTGATGATAGAGGTATAAATGTTGTACGAGGACAAATTATGAATTTTGCATCAACAAGAACAATTTTTAAGTCTGGTTTCAAGTTAATTATTTTGGATGAAGCTGATGCCATGACTAACGATGCCCAAAATGCTTTGAGAAGAAGTAATATTTTTAAAACTTGTAAACTATAACTTGTAAATTTGTAAACTAAAGCATTTATAAATACATATTATTTTTAGTAATTGAAAAATTTACTGAAAATGTTCGGTTTTGTATGATTTGCAACTACTTAAGTAAAATAATTCCTGCTTTACAATCTCGATGCACTCGTTTTCGTTTTGGTCCTCTACTTTCTAAACAAATTATGCCTAGACTTGATTATGTAATTGAACAAGAAAAGTATGTACTAAATAAATTATTTAAATTTATTATAATAAATATTTTAAGTTAATAATATTAAATTTTTAGTGTAAAAGTAACAGATGATGGTAAAAAAGCATTAATAGATTTAGCCCAAGGTGATATGCGAAAAGTTCTAAATATTTTGCAAAGTGCTGCCACAGCTTTTCCAGAAGTAAACGAAGATTCTGTGTATACATGTGTTGGTCATCCTTTAAAAAGTGATATTATGAACATTTTGAAATGGCTCTTAAATGATGACTTTTCATCTACTTATCAAAGTGTGTTTAGCTCTATTTATAAATAAATATATATATGTAAAAATTAATATATTTATGTTTTTTTTTAGAAATTCAAGGACTAAAAATTGATAAAGGTTTAGCTTTGCAAGACATATTAACAGAACTACATACATTTTTATATAGATGTAAGTATTGTAAACATTTAATTTTGTTTTCTATGTAACTCCATAAAATAATAAGTTATTATCCATTTCTCACTCTAGTAGATGTTTTTGTTTTGAGTATGAGTGTAATAGTACATAAAACTAAATCAGATTGTTATTGTTTTGAATTTATAGAGTCACTATAACATCTTTTAAAAATAACAAGGTTTAAAATACAGTGGCCCTTTGTGACATTTTAGAGTAAAAACTCAAAACAATTTTACCCTCCCCCTTCCACATAATTAAGTTAGTAGTCCATAGCTTAGACTTGAGTTTTAGCCTAAATATAAAAGTACCTTTTTAAATAAATTTATGCTAATAAATAAATACATTATTTTCTTTCCTCTCTTTTGGTTAACCCTTAAGTTATGCATGGTTTTTCTTGCCGCTCTGGCCTCTGATTATTTTTGTGACAATTCTTATCGGTTGAAACAAAACTTCAACTGTAGTGGGTGAGATCCTTTTTAACCAACCATATGTTTCCCTTTTTCGCTGATTTATTTTTTCGCCCCAAAAAGACTATGTTTTACATTTAAAAACTAAGCCAAGTGGAAATAATAACAAAGTATAAAAGTAGTACAATTAAAAAAAAATTCTATGTTATACCTGTAGTTGTTTATAGAAATGTTTTAATAATTTTTTCTTATTTTCCCGAAATTTCAAAAAGTGTTGACAATTAGTTTTGAAAATGGACTACTTATACTTAATTCATCAACTAACATAAATTCGATTTTATTTTAATTAGCGTAAATGAGAATCGGACGTTATCTAATTTGGCGGAAAAGTGAATCATCAGAAAAGGGAAAGGTACAGTTTTGGCCAAAAGTGTCCATGTCTATTGTAGTAATTAATTTTTTTTTAATTATATATTATTTAATAATAAGTAAATTTAGGTTTTAAATAACGTTCTAAACTTTTTCTGTTTTTGAAAACAGTACAAAGAAGTTTTTTGTTTAAGTAATAAAAAATAGAAAAAGTTTTTCGAACTAATTTTTTTATTTACTTATTTCTAATAATTTTTATCAACATTTTGTTATCTCTAATTATTACAACCTTGAAGGATCCATTTTAGTTAATATAAATTGAATAAACTGAGTTAAACAAAATGAAACATTATTTTGGGTTTTTAATTTAGACAAATTAAAGAGGTTTTTTTTATTTTGAGTTTTTCTTTTAATAAGTAAATAAATAATAACAATAATAAATTTGTATATGTTACTTAACATTTCAGTGGATTTACCGCCAGAAGCCCTTATTGATTTACTGACTGAAATGGCTGAAATTGAAGTTCGTCTTAATGGTGGAACTAGTGAAAAAATTCATCTGAGTGGATTAATTAGTGCATTTCATGTGATTCGACCCAAGTTAATTCCCGCAGATGCTTAATCGTAGATTTTAAATATATTTATGTCTCACTAAATACTTTTACACTTTTAAAAATTAATATTGAACTTTAAAAGATTTATTGTATAATAATTTGTAAGTTTGCTGTAGTTTACTTAAAAACATAATATTCTAAAAGAAATACATTATTTATTTATTTTTACATTTTCTATAAGCTGTTTTTTTAAATTTATTAATAGTTTTACATTTTTTTAAACAACTGAAGTATTGAATTTTTTCCCTTTTTTATAATTAAATTATAAATCCTATTTCAATGCATGTTAAAACCTTAAGGTATAGACATTTTATAAGCACTTTTAATAAAAAATCACATTATTAAAAAATAGATAAGTATAATTTACTTTTATATTTTTGTTTTGTTCAATTTAACTATTTATATACATATACAATCTAATAAAATATTTTATAAGTAATGTCCGTACAAAAATAGTTCGATACAACAATTAATGTAAAAAATTATATAATGATAATAATAAATTAGTGTTAAGTAGGAGCCAGAATGGTATGCTGTAAAATTGTTACATTGCTTCATACGATTCAATTTATAGAAGAAAAAAAAACTTTACCCTAAAACTGGTTATTTATACAGCTTCGAGATCGGATATTAGCTGTAGTGGTGTGTTTGTATATATAGTTTTAAAATTAAATACATTTCAATAAGCTCTATCCAAATACGTTGCTTACAAAATTATTGAAACCGGATGTAATACTCGAAAATATTCCAGAATCTTGAACTGGTTGTTTAGGTGCTAATGCTATACCACCTTGTGGGTGGTGATGATGGTAAAAATGAGGAACTGGAGGTCTGGTGTAGAGTGAATTATCTTGTCGCTGGAAATAAAATGTAATGTCAACTGGTTGTAACATAAATATATGTAGATAAATAAAATATAATTGTATAAAAATTCAGTTATGCTTTAAGGAAGTTGTATTACTTACAAGGTACCAAATAAGATCTCGAATGAACTCAAGGTCCATTAGAACTAGGAAAGTGAATACTTGAATCTGTAGTGGTAGTATAGTGACAGGGTAGCGAAGAAATGTTCAATTGCTTAGATACACCCTGCAACCACTCGCGTGTTTGTACATTTTTGCAAAGAATATTACAGGTAAATAAGTATAACACATATACCACGTTTTCCCAAAAAGTAGAATTAAGTAAAATTATATTAGCAATAAAGAATGTCAGTTAAGACATGTGTAGTATAGCGGAAATTAATAAATACTTTTTAGTACAACATTATTGTTATCTGTATTTTTAATGTACAAAATAATTTAAAACAAGTTACAAGACTTTATCTTTAGTTCACCATATGACATAAACTCTGTTTTTTTTAATGAGTAATACATGCTATTATAGTTATTTAATTTAAAACCATTATTGTTAATTAAGTTACTAAAAGTTACAAGGTTCTTGTTGTAATTATTGTGTTATAATGTTCATGTTGGACATAAAGATTAAAGAATATAAACAAATTGTGAAATTCATATAGGTACTTATTCTTAGGTCTATGTAGAATCTTGATAAAAAAAGTCTTTGTCAAGTCTCTGGGTCTACTTGGCGATTGAAAGTGATAAGAAATAATGGGATTAATTTTTTTTCAACGTGTGTGGCGCAAATCGCAATAGATCTGTAGATACGACGTCGACACTCGACATCTTCCACCTCACACATTAATCGAATCTTACTTGGAAGGTGTTAGAAATTAAATTACCATACAAATATATTTTACATTATATACAAACGGATGGTTAATTAATAGTAGTTGGTCATAAAAATATATTGTCCCACGCTCCTCAGCTCGTCTTCGACGACCAGGGTTCACCATTACTTTCAATTGCCATTTCAGTCACTCTACGTTTTACTTATACTAGTACTAGTAGGTCTTATTTAAATTTATATGAAGTGGAATATACGAATATATCATAACATCAGATATTATCTTATTGTATCATTATTAAGTTTTGTTAAAGTTAGTTAAATCTGAAAATAAGATCTATAAGTAGTACAAACTTACATACATACTACAGATACTAGATGTATACATTTCATTGTGTATGCTTACCTATTGTCAAGTCTTGTTAGTTTTACAGTTGAAAAGTTGGTAATACAATATATATATGCATCATAATAATTATACATTGCAACAAAATATAAGATATTGTCGTGATAAGTTCACAGCTCATCAGATTAATATGTTAATTCGATGGTGCTCGGGAAAAACTGGCTATGGAAGAAAGCCTAAAATTTGCGAAAATGAGTTTATGTCATATCTAGATTCAGAAAAATTATACGGTGTTATATGTAAAACGATCTAAGTCAAACAACGATTTTATTAATCATTATACGTTTGTGAAAAAAAGAACATTTTTAGGACATAATTAAATTAAGTTAATTAATTTGTTTTGTAACTAATAATTACTTATTGTGTTATATAGTAATTTGTTGTTTTAAAGTTTATAGAAAAGATTAATCCACGTTTCATTCACAGAATTATCTTTTTTCTTATTTGCGTTTGAATTTTAATTTTTGAATACTGAAAATTCCAAATTTTAGACTTGGCCAGTTTTTGCCGAGCACCATCGAATTCCGTTGTTATATACACTAAGGCTGTCCGGGTTGAACAGTTTTTTTTTATCATGTTAACCGGCTGATTGCCGATCGATTTGGATCGTACTAGGTTAACAAATTATTTAACCGAAATCGGTCAGATCGATTTTCATTATGGCTTATGACCGATTTCGGTCTAAACCCGATTTATCACGAATCATCTCACTAAACGGCCAAACAAAAAAATCATTAACCGAAGTCCGAACAGCTTTAGTATGGTTAGTTTACACTCGACAGTAATACAGTCGCTATTGTTTAAGCATGAAACATTTTTAGTTGACGATTGTCACACATTATAAAAAGCCCAACCCCATAAGCATAATAAATTGTAATTTAATGTAATATAATACAGTAACCGTCGCCGGTGTTGTACCCGCGTTATAAATGCGCAAGCCATCCCGCCAATTCCTGGTAAAATTTATTGACCCGGAATTGACGTTAATCGTCCTGTTCTCGAAGGCATTCATCCACGGTGGTTCCCAAAGCTTTAAGCGTGGTTTATCTGCCTTCGGACCTACCTTAGATGTGTGTAATGTCACATTCAAAAGTGTCGGATGCTGTTCTACGACCATGAAGTCCATCTCTTTTGGAATATAACCGTCTCCGTAGATCTGAAACAATTATTTTAGTAGGTGTTTCGATACCAAACTCGAAATCGGTTTTAACACTAACCTCTAGTTTGTAAACTCCAGGCAACAGTATTCTCCAAAATTCTCCGTATTTGGTTGTTTGGAAACCTACGTCACGACCTTTGACCTTAAGTGAAGCCTTTTCGATTGGATTACCGTGTTCATCCATTACGAAACCGTGTACTCCTCTATGAGCTTCAGCCAAGAATTTCACCAGAGACTATGGAATAATAATAATTGACAATAAAAGGTAAACCGTGGAATACACATGTAAAATAAGCATATAGCTTTATTATAATAAAAATACCAATCTATTTTCTTCCCAAAACTTGGGTAAGTCGGCAGCAGGTGGGTATTTGCAGCATGACAGTTCTAACGTTACTTCCATGCAACCGTACCACACGTAATTGAAATCTTGCATACCTCCTATGTATAGACATCAAATTTAATACAGTAAATAATATAACTTATTAAAATGTAAATATAGTTTATAATTTATAGTTTCAATACTATGAAACTAGTTAGTAAACACATTTAGTTATATATATATATATATATATATATATAGGTACCGTTATAATTCATATTCTAAAATCATAATAATTGTTCTTAATTAAATATTATAAACTCCTTTCCTATTTCAGGATTAGGCTTTTCGCTCTAAGCCTATATCAATAGCGCAAATTAAAAATTATATTTTTGTTTAATAAGATGTTGTTTTAAACAACAAGTATATTTATTGTTATTATTATAAAACTACCCTATTGATATTATGACGCAAATGGCAGTTATCAATATTAAGACAATTATACAAATATGTTTTAAAATAGGTATTAAACAAAACAGCAAAATATTGTATGACTAGGTACTTTCATTTACTAATACTAATACCAAAAATACATTTTACTGAAGTTGTATTTTCCCGAAAGTTGGAAAAAGGGATATATCAGCTTCTGCCATCCTACCACAGACTTATTTATTAAAATTAAACATTATTTACGTCTTTTATATTCAATATGGTACAATGATTCACGTATAAATATTGAGGTTATGAGATTATTTAAAAATATTCGTCAATAAATTATTAACTGACCTGTAAGTGGATACCAAGCGGCTCCGTTGGTGATACCACTATTAAACGTTGGAGTGTTTTGTTTGCAAGCCACACCTTGGTTCATTGATGGGTGATTCCTGGAATAGGTTAAAGCAAGATGTTTGAAAACATCATCGTCTGGAGTTAACGAAGGCGTTGATGTATAACTTTGGAACACTAAAAAAATTTAATGTTAATAATTAATTTAAATATTATTTTTAAAATGTAAAATTTGCAGAACAGTTATTATTAAAACTTTCATTAATATTAACAATTAACATTAATACATACCAGAACAAAATGGAGATGAAATACAAAATCCTTTACGTAGCAAGACATAAATGAAATATTTATTACAAATCAAAACATACTACTTCTATTTCCTAATTAAAAAAATTATTTCTAATTATTTAAAAATGTATTTTAACTGGAACATTTTGTTTCAACAAGTTCTAGGAGCATAACTCAGTAAAAAATTATATTTCAAGATAAATATAATTTAAAAAAAAAACACTACTATATTATTGAAATAATATTTTTTGGGTTTAGAGAAACATATAAATTTTGACCAGATAGGTTAGGTAATTTCAGGTTTTTGGAAAAATAACTATTGTGTTCTTAGTAGTTATAAGCTATAGAAAATTATGGATGTTTAACCGAGAAACACAGAAAGACGCATCTAATAGTTACGTCTGAAATAATAAAACTCGGTTTGTTCCTTTTTCAAAAGATAAGCGGATATTTATATTTCTTATGGACTTACTAGAATTGGGAGTGTTGTCGAAAGGGTAGCTGGCAACAAGTGCCCCACCGTGAATTCCTCCTGACAATACAAATTGGATTTTTGACGTCCATTCTTTTACAGCGTCCGTTTCAGGTTGTCCTCTCTTGTTATTTTGTTTGAAATAATCCGGAAAGTTTCTGTTCAAGTCAAAACCTCGAGCATTGTATCGACCCTGCCCTCCGTCGCACTGACCTTCTCGTGCTACTTCAAAACCATCAGGGTTCATTGACGGCAAAATGTGGATACGAGTGTTGTCTAAAAGCCACCGGATATATGGGTCCACTGAATAGCTATTCACCAAGTACTAAATGTACATTTTAAAAAATAATTAGTAATTTCGGGAATAAAAATTATAAATGTATACAAACATAAATGAATTAATTATACACAATGAATGGTTTCGATAAAACGTTTCCCTGGTATCTTGGTTTTATTTTTAGAAATACTTAAGATTTTACTTACAGCACCATCCTTTAAGTTTTTATTTTTTGTTTAGACCGATTTATATTACATTATGACAAGTGACGTATTTTGTTGGGGGGTGTCGTGGCAATCATACAGATCAACCCCCCCCAACCCTATCTTTTGACCTTTTTCTTTACTAATACTATACAAATTAAATCGAGTGTAAATCAGGCTATAAATCTTCTATTTTGCCTTATCAGTTATTCTATATAAATGAGTTGTCCACTTAGGTAGTTACACACACTTAAATAATTTTATTTAAAAGTTAATTATAAATTATTCACCTATTTTTGTTTATTTGTTTTGGTCTACCCCCTATGGTTCTATACAGTCTACTTAAATCTGTTTTGCCTATTTACTATTTCATTTCCCTCTTATTTCGATACGTCCAAACTAACTAAATTAATTATTTCTCATTTTAACTATTCACATAACTTCCAAACGTGGAAGGCGCCTTTTAGTTACTATCTTATATATATTATATTTTACTTTCTCAATTTTTTAAGTCTATTTCAATCAAATTATCAACATTTTCATTTGAGCTATTGCCACTTTTCATTTTAGATTTTAGCTATAAATGTTGTTTTTTAAATTATGATTTGCAGCAGCTAGCAAACAACTAATTTTTTACCGCATGGGTTGATCGTCAATTAACTAATAATATCATTATGCGTTTGAAATAAGTCCAACGCAATAATAATATGTGCTATTTCCAACAAGATATGTAGATTACGCTAATTGGTAATAATATTCGGTTGCAAAATACGAGTATGTAAAAATCCGGATTGTGATTAACTGTTTTATTATTCTAATTTGTGTATCGTTAATAATTATAAAAACTCGCTTAGTAAAATTTAATAATGAAAACGTAGAAAAGCGATTATTTTTCTTACTTGAATGAGATGCATCATGAGTTCTCTGCCAACTGCTTCATTACCATGCATGTTAGCCACGTATTTGACATCGGGTTTTCCAATCATATGCTCGTAAGGGCTCGAAGACACTACCATAACCCACAAATCACGACCTATGATTTTTGTAAAAAAATAAAAATTACAGTATAAAATGATAGATAAATGTTATGATTGATTATTGTTGAAGAATATGACAACTTGATTTTAACATTAATCTATTCTTATCAATGTACAAGACGATTCATTAAGAATAGGATTCATGTTCTCTTAAAATAACTACAATTTTGTAGTTATTCTTTTTGAAGACACAAGAGTTTATGTTTTACAATTTTGACAATATTTAAATTTTTATCTTTGTAATTTTTTTGCAAAGCTCAATTAACTTTTTAAATTTAAACGTTAACGTATACATATTTAATTGTCTTTTTAAATTAAGAATAATTTGCTAAAAATGTTGACTGGTCGATAACCAGTTATGCATTTTACTTTTGAAATTACTCAAGTTTAGGACCGAAAGTAGTGCGGTAGAGTAATGCACACAGATAAAATAATACTTTCTCCCGTTCTAAATTTTTAACTTAAATAACTTTAAAAGTAACTAAATAAAATTGGTTATCGACCTGTCAACATTTTCAGCAAGTTATTCTTTCATACAGCCCTGTAGAACGGAATGTGCAAGTATTCCAGTCAAACTACTCAAGTAGGAGTAACCGCAAGTTGTGTACATAGTGTAAAAGTTACTCTTCGTTTAAAAAAATAATTAAACATATACTATGCCATTTAAGTAGAATTTTAAAATTAAATTACACGTGTACCTATTACCTAATTCATGAAGGTGAGCTTGGGCCTTAAGGAAGGAGAAGAAAATGCTGATTTGACCCGGAGCGCCTATATTCTAAATGCGCTATTGGAATTTAAAAAAATGTATAATGCTGTATCGTCAATAGGTAGGTAAACAGAATGTTGTGTTGTTGGCTTCCCTATTACCGATAAACGTTAGAAATAACATTGATTATAAATATTATGTATTGTATTTATATCAATGGCAATAAGCATACCAATAACTTGATTACTTGTACATTAACTTAACTGGATAACATAACAGTCGATAATAGATTATGATCTATCATAGTCTACAATAATGATTTTAATAGACAAATACCTTACCATACCACCTTTATTTTGTTTAGATACTATTTTAGTCGTTCGCGAGATTGATCATTAATTATAATTGCCGTTTTATAATATCTAGAATGCATTCTACAGTATCTCGTTAATTATACAAGTATAATACCATTGAAAATACATAACTAAACGATTTAATTAACGAAGGCTAATTGTTATGATGTAACTTTATTGGAAATCCCAAGGTTCACAAATTCGTTTTATAGAATACAAATAACGGTAGGTGCACTGGTAAATATAATAGTTTGTCTAATATTGTTTTTATTGATAAATTTACTCTTTATGGATCTTAATGTGTATTTATTATTTAGGTTGTCTTAATGAACTTATTGATGGTTACACCTAAATAAGTAAAGCAATTAGAAAAAATATCAACTATTAAGAAATATGAATATATAGATAGTTCTATAGCTGGTAAACATATTAGGCACCATAGTCATATGGTCAATAGTTACATTACATATGTATACATAATTCAAATTACACTCATTTGTTGGCTATTAGATTAACGTGAGTTATTTTACTTGACATATAACATGTGTCGCGGTAATTGGTTTGTCTTGTATAAAGCTAACAACTGAATGTTATATTTGGTCTAAATACCCTAATACTTTTCATCACGATTATTTTTCATTAAAAAAAAAGTATATTGTAATTTAAAATGCCATATAATATAGATTAAAGATTTATGAATAATAATTATTTAGCCAAAGTTATCTCCAACCTTTCAGCAGGCGCGCTATTATAGAAAGTACAACATCATATACATGGCTATCAAATGCTTATTAAAAAGCGCACCCGCTGGAAGGTTAGTAAAATTAAACTCTATTGTTTACCTTGGACAGATTTTCCTATGGAGTACAAAGCGGTGAGGTTGGGAAATTTAGATGAAGTAGTTCTTAAGAATTTGGTCATCTTGTCATAGTCGTGGTACTTAAATTCAAGCTGGTAGTTTTGGTCTTGAATCAGATCTTGTGAACTGAAATGGGGGTTGTAACCAGAGTCGACTGCATACCCAGAGCCTGCGGGTCCGTGATAATTGTTAATTACGGCCCGGTTGCCAACGTTCTTACCCTCGGCCCCGTCGGCCGTCATTTGTACACCATTGCCGCGTGTGTATTGTGGTATCCTGTGATTGTTTATGGAACCTGAACTGATGGATTCTTGGGCTTCCTCGTCCAACGGTTGTTCCTGGTGCCCATATTGTTCACCGTAAGCGGTAGACACGCTGCCATCGCTAATTGATTTTTGCTTATCGTTATACTGGGGTCCTTCTGAAGGATGTTGTGCGTAAGTATCCGGACGGATTTTGCTTTTGACAACGTCACCGACAGAGTCGGACGGCTCGTAATACTGTTGAACAGAGACTCGTTTGTCAGCTTGGCAGTTGACCTGGTGTACAGACAAAAGTCCAACGAGTAGACTGTAAACTGCAATCGCCCGCCATGTCGCGGAAGACGCCATTATGCAGATATCCTGTAAAACAAAACAAAACTAGTTTAAATCGTTATTCAGTATTATTTGATTATTTTATATCCATAATTAAAACTTTAAAAGTATATATATTATACAAAATCTACACATTCATTTGCTGGACACACATCTTATGTGCCAACAATCCTATGGGCTATGGATACATGAGTATATGATTCTTTTAAATTCTAATGTATAATGCCTTTTAATGTACAATTATTATTCTTTTTAGCTAGTTAACATCAACCAGAAAAGTATGGATCACTAATGTTAAAATGATTGTAAAAATATATGGCTAATGAGTTCCATTTATAATAGCGTAGTCCGCCCCACCTCGTATAACTCTGGTTGTTTGGGGAAGTAGCGTTAAAAATTAAAATAAGTGAAAATTTACGCACACATTCATAACCACTCTCAGGGAGTTTTATATGACCGGGGGGCTTAGCAATAGACCCTTCTTCATTGCACGACTAATAAAGGTAAAAGGGGGAGTAAACAAATATCTTATTGTACAGAATTCAAAAACGTCAATGATATGCCATTATTGTGGAATAATTAATTATCAACTAATTTATTACAACTTGTTGCTAAGTTTTAATTTTCATTAAAACTAGATATTTTGTATTAATGTTAATTGTTAATTATTGTTTTTAAGGACAGATAATACGTTATATTTATATTAAACATATGAATGTTATGATGATTTAATTGTTGAGAATATTTAATACGAAAATGTTTAACCGAGATAGAACATAGCGTATAATATAGATGGTATATAAAATATCAGAAGCCAATATACATATAATTCAGTTTAATCCACATTAAATATTACTCGCTTTAGCTCATGTGCCTATATTCTTTTTAAACTATTATATTCTATAATATTTCTATATTTTATTTTCACTACACGATATTAAAAATACCAATGCCATAAAAAAACAATTATAACAGTAAAACGTTAAACGTGTACTTAAAAAAACATGCATCTTCATTTTAGGTATGCGTTGATCTCTGTAGGACGCACAACAGGTTTATGTTAACGAGACCAAACGGTTAATAGATTGTAAATATTTATATTCAGTCATCGAGATAATATTTTGCTGCTATAATATATTAACCAAGTAATAAATTCTTGCTACGTTCACTAAACTAACGGAAATATATAGATTTTTAAATTATAGAATATAAGTGAACAAATATTCATAACCAGGAAGACTTTTAATCTCCATCCTCAAATCGAATAAACTAAAAGATATTGGCCAGTGATATATAGTATGAAAGAATAAAATTTACATTTCACATTATTACAATAAAATTTCAATTTTATACGGCAAGTTTTTTTGCTCTGAAGTTCGAATTTCTATCGTAGTATATATTATAGGATAAAAGAATAGAAAAATTCAATAATGACAAAGGTATATGTATGACGTATGCCGTACCTATGTACCTATGTACCTATGTAAACGATACTAATTATTGTAATTATAAATTAGTTTGAAAACTATACCACGATTAATTATATATATATATAGTTCAGAATATTATGGACGTTGACTGTGTTGACTCGTTGACCAAATACATATAGGTAAACATTTTATTAAAAAGAAGACTGAACATATAATTTAATAAACTATTACGTTTAGAACAATCCATAAGTAATATTATCTACTTGCTCGCGTATATTTTCAATTTTTTTAAATAAGTATAATTATTATGAAAACAAAACCAATTCATTAAATATTTTGTTTTTTTTCTAGATTTATGATTATTAATTTAAAATATATCAATAATTTTTAAACATGTTACGTTATTTTTGGTAATTAATATTTATATGACTATTGTAAATTTATTTTATTTGTTGGCCATCAAGATAAAAACTATAACACAGATTTTATTGTAACAAAAATTTATCCTAAATAACTGAAATAACAAGAAATTGAATTATAAATATCTAGAGTAATTTTCTTTTTATTGCACATCTCGACTAGTTTAACATGATAAATAGTTATAATACTCGATTTTTGAATATTACACGCTTGTTTTCGGTTTTCAACGCTGTTTTATATTTTAATGTATATTAACATACATAATATAAACATGATTGGGTTATTGTTCGAACGCCATCCGCGATTTTAACGATACTTTTCCTATTTGAGTATCTCATTGTCATTGGATGTCACTTCCCGGATCTAATAATTATTCGCGGTCTATTTCCCCTGAAGTATCGTGCAGCACGTAGTGATCATCGCCATTATCCTCATCCGCTTTATTAAAAGGCGTAAAACAATGCAGCCCGTCTAGCACAATCCATTTTCGCTGTATTACAAAATGCATTGTTTCGCGATTTTACTTTCGCCCTATAGTTTTACACCATATATATCTATAATAGACGTTTCCTCAATGATTATATTTGTTTCAGACCTTTTGATCCTTAAACGTATAAAAATCGTTATGTACAATATGAGTAAATTGTTACACCATAAATTGATAGAAATCGAAAAAAAGTTCTGTACATATTTGAATATTCCATCAATTTTTAAGGGAATGTTTGTGTTTGTTTAATTAATGTATATATCCAAAATGTTGTTATCTTTCGATTTTATAATAAGTGTTTTTGCTCTAAAACAACCATGGACTTAATAAAATGCATTCTGCGTAACTATGTTCAGATGAAAAAAATATATTTATAATTATTGATAAAGATGCGAGTGTGATAGTCCGAAGAATAAATTAACTACAAAAAAGAGGAACTACCAAAATTAGAAAATTATTAAACCAAAAATTACACATTACAGTTTAAGCTTTAAATTAAGATTTTGTGAAAAAATGCCTATACATAACTCTTTAATAAATAGGGGGTATCACGTCCTCTTAAACACGAATCGACTTTCCCCGAAACATAAGCTATTAAAGAATTTTCTCTTTTCAATATACTAAAGAAAATCAGTACAGATTGAAAACTAACTATAATCGATAATAGTAATTGGTTTGAGTATCTCCACAGTTTATAATTATAAATTGTAATAGGCATCTTAGTATTGTTTTAATCATAAAACCAAATTATAATAGGGTACACTTTTTGGACTATAATGTTGTGTACTCTGATTTCTATTTTATAAGCATATTTTATCGAATTCCTGTTGCCAATTTAAATACTTTAATATGTTATTGTAGGATCCCTATCGCCAGTACCAAACGCCCATTTAGGATTTTTAGGCGCCACATGAAAGTTCTCTTTCACGTTGTCAATCCCTAATGTTAATATAATTTTATTTGAATCCAAATTAATCAGGAATATTAAGTGACGTGTGTAACACAAAAATCGACATATCCCAGAAACTCCCTCCCTATGCTTATAATTGTATAAGAGCCCTCAAGAGTTAATAACATTTTTTCTTTAGATCCATATTACTGTACTATTGCTTTTTCATTAAAAAGTATAGATCTTTTTGTATTCTGTAGACACGTCACACATTATACAGCTTGGGATAATTGGTTTTTTAGTTACTGTTTATAAATTATACCTACTTACTGCTTCAAAACTGGCTAAACTACAATCCACAAAACACGTGTAGTTCTTGTATTCATATACGTTACATGCTCCGAGTACAGCTTTGATGCCTAGTATAAAGGACCTACATTTTATAATATTTGTACAAAAAAATTAGACATGTATTATTAAATAAACATGGGATACTTCTGAAATACCATTCATTTTAAACCTCTTCAGGTAAACACAAGGGATTATATATTTATATGTCTTGAGAGTTCAATACTCGTATTCAGGTTTACACCTGGGGGGGTCAATCATTAGCGTTTCATAGTTACATGTAACATGCTGTACTAAGATTATGGTTTATTAAGCCTTGAGAATCTTTAGACCCTAATAATAAAATATTTATATAGTCTACTATGTATCTACTTTAGGTATGAAAAAATCAAATATTAATCTCATGTTAAATCAATTTTGGCAAAAAAATAAACTAAAAATTGTTTTTACTGAGTAGTATTCCAATTAATTTTGATTACATTTTTCTAAACTTTATTGTTAATTGCTTAATAATAAATAGCTTAAAAACATATAAAAAAATATTTTTAAAAATTAATTTTTAAAATAGTTTGTACAAATAATGCGCAACATTAACATTTAATCCTGTTTTGTTTATATACTTTTTACAAACCCTATATATTATGTAATGAGCTGACATTTAGCTCTCTAACCGGTGCGTTTTATGTAAAACAAAATATTTCAAAATACATGAGAATATAACACTCTATTTGCCATTTGGGTTATTCATTTTGCAACTGAAAATAAACGAATGCTTTGAACATAAAGAACTAATATTTAATAATGGCATTGATCACATATAACTTTGCGAACGTAGAAATGTTAAATGTATTATTTTGTTTATTGATTACTTTAATATTAAAAAAATATTTGGCCATATTTTTTCATTAAATAATAAATATTTATTATTTTATGAAATAAAATAATTTAATAATATTTATTTTCATTAAAATAAATCTAACAAGTAACGGAATAATTAAAAATATTGTTAAATGGAAATCCGTGAAAATATTTTATTTTTCAGTAAAATAATATTTACATTGACAATTGATTACCGAACTTAATCGCTAAACTAAACAAACTCTCGAATGTCGATTAATGGCTTGTTAATCGATAGCCATAGTGTTAAAAATGAAGTTTTTTTTTTATCCGAACAATCGTGAATAAGAGTGAAAATCAGACAGTTGACGCACGTGCAATCTGTATGAGTAAACGTCAGAGAGAAGGCGATTTTTCTCATTTGGCCTACTGGTCTAGTATATTTTCGCTTACACTATAATACCTAATATATGTGTACACGGCAACATACATAGTACATACTATTATTATTATTATTATTATTACATTGTCCCTTTTAACCACGCGAGAAAGGTGTCTCCGTTCATGCGTTCCTGTGCGTGTGTCTTATTATTGTTGTTACTTGGTAGATGTCGAATATGGGAAAAATCAGAAAGTAAATGGCCCAACGATGAGACCAACGTTGGTCGGTGCGTGCTTCGTTTTTACGGTGCGATTTGGTCAGGACGGCCTATAAACACAATGCGGCGACCGACAAACAACCGACAACAGGCATCATCGACGGACCAGTGAATTATGTGGGTCAAACGTGTGTAACGTTTACGGTTTACCCATCCTATGGACTGTTCACTGTTAGTGTATCGGCAGAAAATCTAAGATAATCAAACGAAACCGGTAGTCGGCCGGTGTGCTTAACCCGGATTTTGGTATTGTTCGAACGCACTACAGGCGCGGCCGTAATGCTGACAGACGTATTATCCAAGACAAATGTCTGTAGGTACTGGGTTCCTTTTTGTACAATAGATATAATGTTCCATTTTTAATGCTTAGTCCACGCTGACAAATTACATGCTATTAAGTCTAGTGAAACAGATTTTATCGATCTAAATTCCGATAATCAAATTGAAAATGTATGGCGGGCAGGAGTGCCGTTTTTTTAAATATCCGGAGATGCTTAAACACTAAAAATTTTAGAAAAAAAAGCTAGTACAGTGGGGTCGGGGCATAGTGGGGTTGGAGAGATCACAGGTCTATAGGAATTATTATAACTAAAAGTGATAAAATCACTTTTAAACAAACGCTTCGATGGGAAACTGATAGTATGTATAAACCACACATAGCAACCTAAAATCTGACTACGGTCAGTGTAATTTTCCCCTATTTTATTGGGTTTTCCTTAATAAAAAAAAAATGCTGACTACAGATTTTTGAGAAAATTGTATATGCTTTAACCCCATTCTAGATCTACATTTGGTTTAATTTTCATACCTGAACCCCTAAAACTTTACATGAAAAAGCAAAAGAAAGAAAAAAATTATATTCTTAAGAAAATTATAAATCTTAAGAGCTTTAACACGAAGAAATCTGTTCAGTGACTTAAAAGATATCGTAGGTACAGACACAAAAATATTTAAATATTAAAACAAATAAAACCACATCATTGTGATCATAGCACCGAAGCTAAAATTATTTTTTTATAATACATGAGGTTTGGAACATAATACATTTTGGAGACGCTTATATCATTATTGGCGGTACTTAGCATACTCGACCCTCCCTTCCCCCCGAAATTGACTTATGATACCAGTAAAAGCTACATTTAATCGTTCAATACATAATAATAAACACTCAATACTTCATAGCGTTCAGTATTTTTCAAGGGTGCAATATTTTGTCGGTTATCATCTACATTATACTACATTCCCAGCATTTAAACACCACCCCCTTCACATTTTTACAAATTTAAATTATAAAACACAGTCATATGAAACAACAAGAAGGGGTTTCCTCAGGACACTCGTTCTAAATATGCCATTGCTCGACCACTTAATTTAAAAATATCAATTAACAAAATCACAATAGAGTTCACGTCCAAATCTTTTGAAACAAAATTCAGTTTAAAAAAAAATTAATTAAGTCATTGTTTCAATTTGAAACGATTTAATTTAGTTTCAAAACTTTTAAACGAACTGTTAAAACTGGACGATTATATCATCGACTAAATGTTCTCTATAACCAGTTTACAAACATTCGCTTCAGATTTTAACCAGAACGGATTATAATATAATTATTATTTTTAATTATATTTGTCAAATAAAATTGACTAATAATAAAATTTACTAATTTAAAAAAAACAATTTTAATTTAAATCTTGGTTTTTTTACTATAATATTTTTTTATTAAGTATAGACAAGGCCAAATTATAGCCAATTGAAGTAAACATATTTATAAATAAATGAGTTACATGATATAATATAAAACAAAAGTGTAATCAATAATCATTGTAATTTTTTCTACACTTACACCTAACGTTTTTGCAACCTTGTTATGCGTAACTAGTACAAAAAGCATTATTCATTATAATAATAATCATAGAACGTTATCGTGATTCATGTTGATAGTATGTAAAATATAATTTAATAAATATTGTTTCGTAAATTAAGTTAGATAAAATTATTAAATAAATATATTATTATAATATAAACTCATACTTATCTCACGATTTTATGTAAAATTTAATATTAAAGCCAGAATTATACACAGTAAATGTAACTTAGATGTTTACTCAGAAACAAAACCAACCATTTGAAAATACAAATGTTATATTATTTAGTTTTATAATATTAATTAATTTGTTATAATGTAATATGAAATTAAAATACCTTTTCTTTGTCGATTCAACTTGGCTTTTGTTCGATTTTGGGTTTTAGTAAATTTTTACCCAAAATTGTGTTATGTTTTCGAGCACCTGGGTTACACTAAAACGACGACTCAAGCGAGTCGAGTCTGAAATCGAGACTGACACTAAAAACTAAAATGTTAAACTCAGTTGTATCTGAACCGGTTTCCCACCATAATGTTATCATTCCTGTCGACAGTGCATCCACTCTCTGCACGAGCTAATTTTCGAGGTACATTTTATAGGTAGGTAAAGTATTATAATTATTCGTATGCTCATAACTTAAATCTGTATAAAAAACCTTATAATGAACAATGTGATCTGTTTATATTTGCTTAATAAATTAGGTATACTGTATAATTACGTCACTTAAATATAAATTAATTTGTAAATTTCTATTACCTCTAGAAATTGAATAGTTTTAAATCTATTGAAGATTACTTTCTTTAAATACATGCGAGTAATTTACTTTGATATTGCATAACGTGTTCTTTTTATTTTTCGATTTCTATATGATACTTTTTTATGTAAACATGTGATTAGTCCATAACTCAAAATTAAATAACAACACTATATAAAACCATATTATAGTATTATTACACCCAGTTTATAATAATGAATATCTTTACGCTTATTATACTTGTTATTACGGATATAAATGATCACAATATATCTTTAAACACAATACATAATCCATTATATTAAAATGCATTACATAATATAAAATATGGTTCCCAACTATTAATTAAATTGACCAACTAGTTGGAATTCATATTTAACAAATAAATGTAGCGATTTATAAATTAATAATAATTATATCTTGTGAGTTAGTATTCAACGTGGCAAGTGCCTACTAGCTTAGGTACCTACTACTTTTTAATTAATGAAATAAATGTAATATGTACAAAATCTATTCAAAATAATTGCATCAATTAAAAATTAAATTCACTAAAAAATAGATTTCTTAAAATTTTTAAGAATTTTAATTAATTAATATTATAAAGAATATACTATATACTTATGCATGTAGTTTACTTTATATTTTATTGTTTAGATAACTCTGTAATCGTTATTCTTCCCAGTTTAACATAAAAATGAAGTATAGTCAACAATTGCTCGATCTCCCTTCCTGAAAACGCTCCCAGAAGACTTAAAAGAAGATGACCCAGAGACCTTCTAAAATAACTTCCAATTAAATTAAACAAATTAAATTAATAAATTCCTAGCCGGGTGTTACTGCTGAGTGTCTTCCCTTCACGATAATTGCTTAATGTCGTGTATATAACATTCACCGCATTTACTTATTGTACTCAATGTTGTATAGATTGTAAATATAATTTCTGATAATAAAAAAAAAATAAAAAATAAAAAAAGTCAACAATACTAAAAAATAGGCTTAACTATACAAAACATTAAGCTAAACTTACGAGAACGACAATTTAACCTAAATTGTTTGTTACTCTTTAATGTTATTTTGTTTGTAAAATTGTTAATATATTATAGACTATGTTTCAATCATTTGTAATGTACATATTGATAGCATAGTACACAACATCTTATAAGTGTACTTTTTGGGGAAATTAAGTTTCACAAAGATATTAGTAGGTACCTAATAGTCTTATATACATTGTGTACACATATTGGAATTTGGAAGATGGGGACTTTTAATTAACTGTTAGACATGTTATATTCTACATTATAAGTTTGTTCAATACATAATGTAATTATATGGCATTATACACTTTCAAACACTGCTCCTGTAGAATTTAATTTCTATTTCAATTATTTACTCGTGTTTCGAAATACATCTTCAGTCTTAACTTTAGGTGATTCACTTTGTAAATAGGTTGATTTTTAGTCTCTACAGTTGTACTGAAAAAACTACCGTTAGTTAAATTGTTAACATTTTCTTGTCGCTGCAAATAGGTTTCATTTTGCATAATTAATTATTATGAATGCAACGATTTAAGCTAATTGTATGTTTACGGGTTTAGTAAATACTATGTGCTATAATGAATCAACAAAATATTTAAAGACATACTCAACTAAACAATACGGGTGACTTCACATACCATAATCTGTTAACGATGTGAGCGATGTGTTGTATTTATTAGGTCAAAACAGTGCGCGAAGACCAGGCGCGGAGGTTGCTTTTACCGTTACAATGTAATGTGCATGAACTCTTCGAAGAAGAGTTCACTGTTTATCCTTGGATTATGTTCCGTGTATTAACAGTTACGAAAATATATAGGCGAGTGGTTAAAATTTAAATTCTGATTTTTTTTTTTTTAATACAATTCTATATAATTTGTATAACTGTAAAAAATATCTGTAACTCTTAGTATAGATACTCAAGCTTCATCGTACCTATAATCAAAATAATACAAACCATATTATGGTAAAACAAATTATTAAGATTAGGTACGGTGACACTTAATGGCACAAAGTTAATCACTATTTCTTTAAACCGTTACCTAAGTATTTACACTGAACCGAAAAAAAGTAACTTTTAACAAGTGCGGGTCGGGTTTTTAGGTTATGTTTTTCGTTTTATTGAAATATGTAATCATGGAGACTTTTAATCCAAAGCCCCAAGGAACGGGATGTTCATAAATATATCAAATATTAATTATTTGTTAATTGTTTAACGTAGATGTTTAAAAAAATGATAGAAGTTTCAAGTTAGAATAAAAACAGAAAAAGAAATGCCATATTGTTACTTACCAAGGCAGCTGGTATAATTTTTCTAAAAAATTCAAAACTCCACCTTAAAATATATTTCCTAATTATTCATATCTTATTCAAATCAGATAATTTAGTAAGGTTAGCTTTAATAGTGAAAGGGAGAGAGGGACATTTTCACAGGCTCCACATTTTTGGAAGCGTCCAAGACAAAAAAAACTATTCCTAAATATAAAATAATAAATTACAAAAATAAATAAAATTATTTAATTTTAACATTTGTTCACAAGGTGCCCATACATTTAATTTAGATTGTTGAAATTAGATAATTTGACATTATATTAAAATGTTAATAATATATTGCGACTTGCGAGGGATGTAAACCAATTATATAGTTATTCACAGGAGGGGATCAAGATATCATACGTAATTTTATCTGGCATGTCCTTCCGAAAATGTTTGTGACATTTTATATCTTGTATATAATAATGCAATTTGTGAGCCAATATGTTTTTTAAGTAGTGGCTTATACCGCTACTACACTATATTTTTTTTACTGACTACCGACTGTTACATGTATAACAATACCCCTCTTTGTATAAGAACAGTCATTATCTTGTGTTTTTAGCGTTAAAGGAAAATGTTTTATAATCATCAAAAGCCCTTCAGAGAAATCATAAATGCAACTAGTTCTACATTTTAGGGGGTGCTAAACTAATGTAAACCTGAGTCCTGACTAAACATAATTCTTATCTTCAAACCATTAGATATAAAATAATATATTTGAAAACAAAAATACTCCAAAGTAAAAATTTGTACATAGTGTGTACATTATTCAAATTATATGCGTACAAATCAAGGATTGGGGTATGAATTTTTGGGGGTGCTTAAGTCCCCCTAGAACCCCCTAGTTGCCTATGATGAAGCCGGAAGAAAGTTGTATAATATATTTTTTTTAATATAGTAATAAATAATAATAATGTAAGAGAAATATTTATTGAAAATGTATGTATTCGATCAGTTATATATTTGGAAATAATCAAAAAACATTATTTTTTAAGAGGAGGGACAACTTCTTCTAGCTGTTCTGCGTAAGTGATCTTTATAAGTTGTGTGGTCTTTAAACTTTATATTGCAAACAAGCATTAACATTGTATTAACATTTAAATATAATGTATTACACGCTGCTATCACTGTGTGATAAGTGATAATAATGAAAAAACGCATGCTCTATACCATGAACTAAGATATACCTTAGGTATACCGTAAAGGTATGTCTTAGTTCATGCCTTATACATATATTCTCCTTAGATTTTTTTAAAAACGACCGCGCTTCATGTTAGGTATGGAAATTCAATATACTTATTTATGTGAACTTATAAACAAGTAAGTAGTTAGTACAATTTATATTTGCTTATTTTATTGAATAGGTAGGTAATTATTATAAATATATTATTTTTCAATATATTATGTTGACATAATAAAATCAATAAAACGATATTATAAATGTATCTACTGTAAAGTGGAGTACTTACTTAAAAGTAATACGAATTTCACCATCAGCCATAAGTACTGATAAGTCTGAAATTCAAAACATCACGTCACTACTACTAACTTGCTTGCATCCATACTACTGAAACTTACGATTCGACGCACTGCTATAAAAGGGTGACCATCTCAAGCTCATGCGTACTACGCAAACTGTGTAATATTGAAGTAATTGGTACCTACATAAAGGGACGCCGAGGCTGTGGTTCGGAGGAAACGCGAAACACCAATACATTAAAATATTAAATGTATTAAAACGTTATTCACAAATACAAATTAAAACAAATAATATTCAAAATTTGTTAAACTTCAGTTCAATATACGTTAATTGACTAAAATGTGTCCGTCATTAAGGATCCTTAGAATTATAATAAATAAATAAAATGAAATAAATTTATTTAGAGTCGCCTACAACTGTTATTATCAATTAAAATCCTAAATCATAGTACCTAGTAAACAGTAGTTTCCCCAACAGCGGAAACAGTAGTAATTTTTAGGTTCATATCGCAGCGACAAATTTCAAACTACCATCGTAATAATATTATGTAGTATACTGTATAGGTCTATTTTGTGGACTAAGAGTATAAATTATCCATGATTTCATGAAAATAAATATAATTACGAGGAATCGGAAAACCCCGTTTGCGTGGGGAAACCCCAAGAAGATAATAACAACTTAAATACTAGGTACCTATTTTAAAATTTTTTTTTTGAAGGTATTTTTATATTAGTTGTTACTAACCTTTGCAAAATACTTTTATGGTATATCATATTTTAGGAATACCTACAACAAAATAATATGTTGTCGAATGCCTTTATTTAAAAGTTCTGATAGGATAATTAGATTTTTTAATATGAGAGGTCAATGATTTGTGTTTCACCCATAGAGTAAATAGGTACATTACTCTATGGTTTATTCGTCCGACCATAGATTAAATACATATAGATAGGCCACTGCAATATCCCAAATGGCAACCGCTATTTCGTTTCTTTATTTTTGGAGAGATAGCGCAGCATACCCTTATTGACAAAATATATTATATTAAATATTAAATAATAATAAATGTTTTTTTTACTACTACGGCAACCGCGATCGTCGGTCTACGGCTGACAGCCGCATGCAATTAATGTATTTAATCTATGGTTGAACCGAAAACGCCGCCAATGCAATAGCACTCTTCTGTATAATACTATTTAGCAAGTTTGCTGTTTACCACTAGAGTGCAGTAGCACACTTTTATCTATTCTGTGACTGGCATAACCCACTGAATTGTATTATAGATTAAATATATTACATATATATGTATTTAATCTATGTCGTGAAGTAGAATGTGTAATGGCAAATGGTACAAGTAGTATATCACTTATTTTTATCTCATAGTGATATCACAAACTTTGATAATAATCCTTTATTATCTATTATATTCACATTTCATATATTACAAGCAGATAAGCTAGGCCTTGACTGAGTGAATTCAGTAAAATCAATTGTTTAATGCCTGTTACAGAAATCGGACTTCGGAGTACCTACAGTAACTTTACAAGTTTTTTTTATTTTGTTGTTCAGTTTCTTAATACTCAATTTTTAAAACAAATAACATTATCTATTAAGTCTAGATATAGGAAATATCTTACACATTTTTATAATACAAAATTGATATAAAACAATGATTTAACTTCATTTCGATTTGTTTCTAATTACGATTCCCATTAAAACATTTCAAGGTTTAAAAAGGATTTTTCATTTACAAAATTTAATGTTACATATTATAAGCAAAGTTTATAATAACCATGTTCATTATTTAGTAATGCTTCATGGCCCATATTAGCACAAGTGAAACTGGTAACTGTGAAAGATTGCTAAGAAATCTATTAAATTCAGTGAAGCAATGCCAAAGACGTTTTGGGAGTTGCTCTGAAATAGCAACTGAATCTGACCAGGAAGTCGCTAATTTGTGTCAATGTTTTGAAGCAGTTTTAAGTCATGGATTAAAACCAATCAATACTGAAGAAAAGTAAATTAGCATTTTAAAATTGTATGTAACATATAGTTTTACCTTGTAATTTACGATTACAGAAGTTCTTTGTTAAAACGACAAGTATCTAAAATAGTCATTGGTTTGTCAGATACTGACAAAAGTCAAAATCATTCATCAATCCCATTCTGGTATTTTATAAAAGAAGTTTTAAAAGAACCCGAGCTTCAACGTTTTAATTTGTTAGCAAATATTAGAAATGATTTTGGTCGCGGAAAAGCTTGGTTGAGAGCATCAATTAATGAAAGATGCTTGGAAAAATATATGCATTTATGTATAAATAATCATCTGCTCATTAATAAGTATTATAAAGAATGGGCCTTTATGAGAAATTGTGAAAAAAATTCCATACTACCTAATACAGCTGCAGGTATGTTTTGATGGTTATAAAATATAGAGTATAATGCGTAATTATAGTGTATTATTTTTTAAATATATTTTAGGGTTATCGTCAATTGTGTTTGCATTAAATATAGATAAGACAGAATTTAACAAAGATATGACAGAGTCTTCATTTAATGAGCCTATTATTGATGGAGGTAAAATATATAATTATAAAATATTGAATTTAAAAATGTATTACTTTTATTAATGTGATATTAAGTAAAGGACGTTGTACTTGCGAATTTCCAATGTAAAATCTTGACTATACGAAATGTATTTTACTTCCTCCATATGGAATTATAGGAAAAACACCTATTATATCATGATATTTGGATGACAATAACTAATTTATAAAAAATATTTATGGCTGTCTTAAAAATATATTGCTAAAACAATATTTTAAGTATATAGCCCAAATAAATATGAGATTTATTAAAAAAAAGATATTATGCATTCTCTCCAAAATGTTGTTCTCTATCAGTTCTGTAATAGGTATATGACCAATATATATATTATTAAACCATCATAGATTGAGTTGCAATGTTTTGGTCAAAAAAATAGTTTAAAATGTCAAACCAGGATTTAAGTAGGGGGAGGGGAAGATATCTAAAAGTCAAAAGACAATATTTGAGGCCAAGCCACCAATCACAATACTAAATAGTAAAAGATAAATATTACATGTATTTAGCTATAATTGTAATTTTTGTATTTATTAAGATGGTGATTTGTTACTAAAGAACAATAATAGTGGACACAGTAAAAAAATTAAGGCAAATGTTATTAATTTTGACCAAAATGGAGATGATATTCAACCAGCTGATGAAGTAAAGTCTGATGAAGATGTTATATTTGCAGCCGGAGATGAAACAACACCAACAAGTTCTTTTAATAACATGGTATGTTTTTTACATTTTTAAAAAAACTTGAATAATTATTGTTTTTTTTTTGGATTTTTTTTTATAAAAATATGTTTGTTTGGAAGATTTTTCATAATTGTATATAAATGATTCCATTAGGTCTAACATCAGTACAATTTTCAGACTTTCAATGTAAAAGCTATGTCTAAAAAGAAATTAAAGAAAAATGTACCCACTTTTTAGGATTTTAGTTAAAAACTTATTTTTAGTAATGCTATATCTCAAAATTGTCCTCAACAAATTTAGAACTAACTATACTTTTTTTTTTAAAGTTATTGTATTCCATAATTTTAAGTTAAAAAATGTGTATACTTTTATGGCGTGTTTCTCAATTTGCAAGTAGAGAGATTAAACTTTTCAACTTTTGGCCTTATAAAAGTACTTTTTGAATACAATTTCTGATCTAAACTGGCTAGACTTGCTACAAGAAAAAATCAAATAAGAAGGTATCGTAGAACCAAACACAAAAACACATCCTTGTAAAACTAATATCAAAGCTAAAATACTACATTAAAAATTATAAAAAGACTTTCCGTGACTTTCTAGGTAAATAAATTAAGGGTGTATTTCTGACTAGTTCAAAAAAGCTAAAATAAGAGCCATCCTTATAGTAATAAGAAACACCACTTATTAGAAAAATAGCAACATTAAACATAATCTCACATTTAATACAAACAATTAAAATTTAACATTATGATCACATTATATCATATTCCTATTTTTTTCATTTTCAGACAGGATATTTTATTGGAGAGTTTAAAGATTTGGCATCGACAGAAAAAGAATTGGAAAAAAGGTAGATACAACAAATATTTTAATTATTTAAATCTACAATATTTGTTGGGTCATTGCAGTAGAAAAATTATACATACTCAAGCTTGTGGAGGCAAATTTCAAAGTATTTTCAAGAAACGTAACCCGATTATTAAAAAATAATAATTAACTTATTTTATTTTTACACTACAGTAAAATTAAAGTCATAGTGACTTGTAGAAATTATTATTATATATTAAAAAACTTTCTACAAAAATATTCTCGTTAATGCGGAAGATATATAGCTTGATCATTTACAAATTTAATTGTTTTAATCTTAGATCCACCTATGCTCATCCATCATATTTTCAGAATATGCACTTCCTCAGATATTTTCCAATTTATCGAGATTACTGCCATTTGGTTTAAATATAAACTTTTAATCAAATTTACTATTCCATCAGGGAATTGTCTTAGTTTTAACATCTGGAATATTCTTTCCCAACTAACTCTGTCAAAAGCTTTTTTATAATCTATGAAACATTTATATAAGGCTCTGTTTTGTTCTAACATTCTCTCTGCTATAAACCTTAGTGTTCCTATCTCAGGTACCCATAATTTGGTGGAAACCAAACTGGGTGTCTGTAATACTGTCTTCTATTCGTTTTTTGATTATATTTATTAAGCACATTCTACTGCATTTGCCTTTTTTGGTATTGGAATCACTACTGTTGTTGTAGGTGCTCTGGACCATTCTCCTGAATTAAATATTTTCTTTACTAATTCAGACATTTTAAGCAGAATTTTTTCGCCCGCTTCTTTTAGCAACTCAATCGGTAGTCCATCCATGCTTTTGGGCTTTTTTGGTTGAAACCATTTTTAGTGCAAGATCAAATTCTTCCCTAGTTACTTGGAATCTTTGATCTCTATCTGTATTCATTTGTTGTGGGTTGTATGTTCCTTCATAGAGTTCTGAAATATATTCCCTCCATCGTGTTGATATTTCTCCATTTTCTGTTATATAGTTTCCTTATTTGTCCTCTATGTTTTTTACGTTTCTTTGTTAATTTTCTGACATGTGCATGGATTTTGTCATGTTTTCTACATTTTTGTAGCACTTCTATTTCCAAACACCGATTTTCCTACCAATTGACGTGTGCTTTTCTACATTCTCTACCCAGTTAATTTTTTTGCTTTTTGTACATATTCTTCCCAATCTCTTTTTTAATATTCTTCCATTTCCTTCTTTCCTCCATTTTAAAGAACATTTGTGACCCCAGGTTTTTGTTTTTCCTGTTTTTTAATCTTAGTACACAATCTGCTGCTTCTTTCAGTGTTGCCTTAGTATATTTCCACTGTTGTTCTATTGATAGCTCTTCTACTTCATTTTCTAACTCTCTTCTATATGTTTTTGGAACTTATCTTTTTTGCCTTCTACCTTCGTTGCCTTAAGTGCTTGTTCCATTAACTTATAAGCTTCCTCCGTCTCTGCATCGCTATGTTTTGTAGTAGGCATGTATACCTGAATTAGCACTAAGCCATCGATTTTGTTTGCAAACCTGGCCATAATTACTCTTGTGCTATATATTTTTGTGAGAGTAAGAGATTTTTTGGCCTGCTTATCCATTACTATGGCCACTCCTACCTTGATTAGTTCTTGTAAACTTCAGCAAAAAATGTCCTTGATTAAATTTTTTGTTGTTGAATCACAGCATAAACTAATAATAATACATAACAAAAATTAAGTAATTCATTGCATTGAAGTAAAATACTTTTAAACCATTTTAATTTTAACAACAGCAATTAAAATTACGATTTCTATTAATTAAGGTTTAGAAAATTGAGCCCTATCAATGAGTCAAATGAAATTTATGAAGTTTTTGTTCCTGTAACATCGTTAAGCCTGCCTTGTGACACAGGTAATTTATACATAATTTTACCAATTATTTTGTTGTTTATTATTTCTGCAAGTTTCTTCATCTAACACAATAACTTTCAATTGTAAATTTATGATTTTATTTTATTATCCTTATTAAATATTATTCTACCATTTATGTAAGAACTTGTTAGAAAACTAAAATGATAAAAATTGTGTAATGGTATTATGATATTTTGTTTAGATGATGAAAGTAAATCTTTGGGATCCAATGATGATACCAATAGTTTATATAGAGCTGAAGAGGAAAAAACTCAAATTTTAATGTTAGAGAAACAATTAAAAGAAAAAATTGCTGATTTAGAAACAAAAATTACAGAATTAGTTCGGTGAGGATTTTGATTTAGCTCAAAAGTAGTAGGATAAAAAACTGAAATTTGATAAACATTTATTGTATAGAGAAAACGACTTGTTAAAACATCAGTTGCGAAAGTATGTCAGTGCGGTACAATTAATGAAACAAGATGAAAACGAAAGCGAAGAAGTTAAATTATATCAACAAAAATTGATCCAGGTAATAATATTATTTGTTATATCATAATATAGAATTCTTTAATTATGACGTGTATCTATGAATAAATGTCAGCTTAAAATTTATTTAACTCTTAAGCTTGTGTATACAATAGGTAGGTTAGGTTGTAGTTCTGAGTGCTGATATTTTGGACCGATATTGCTACTGAAATACATTTATTCAATACTACTGAAAAGTGTTATAATTGTTGTGGGGAAGGGTACTTTTGATTTTTTTTTTTTTTTGCTTCTCTATACGCAATACTCTTATCTCTAAAATTAAATTTTTATATTTTTGTTTTATACATTAACAATTGGGTTTACTTCATAGGGACATATAAACAATTGTACAGTAGAATATTTTGTGGAATAAACGACCTCAATTATAAATAAAATTAAGAGGATTTTAATATAAAAAATTAATACCTAAAATTATATGGTTTTGTCATGTTTGTCTTAAATTGTAAAACATTTTCGAAAAATGACTTTTAGTTAGGTCATTGTTAGTTTGCTTTAGAATTATTATTATTATTAATATATTAAAAATATTAGAAACGGATAAATGAACTCTTCTAAACACAATTTATATTTAAAAATGTTTCTTTTGTAGTTTTGATTTGACTTTAGTTTTATGATTGCAATTAAATATTTAATCCTACTGTTTAATTTATGTTTTTAAAGTGAAATTTGTGTATTTTACATGTTCTATGTTTTATAGGTTGCTGAGATGCATAGTGAATTAATAGAGCTCAATTCACATTTAAATGATCAAATGATAGCAAAAGATAATTGCATTACCAAATTGAGAACAGAATTAGTAGCTCTAAGAGGTCCATTACCGTCAGATGAAATTCCTCATACAAATATTCATTTATGGGTTCCATCTGCATTTCTGGTTGGTCGAATAAATGATCCTCATCATGTGTACCAAGTATGTATTTAATAGCATACAACTATTTTGCATTTCATAAATTAATTTATACAATATCATGTCTAATTTATATTACTGAAAGAAAATGTTCACATAATTTAAATAGAGGATCACCTTAATCTTCTTAGTCTAAAAATATATATTTCTTATACTTTTGTTTTATAATTATTTATTTCTTGATATAACTATACTTATTTAAATAAGGAGCGAAAAATGGTGTTTATAGTCCTAATAGTTAAAGTTGTTTTATTAAACCAATTATTTTATTGTTTAGGTGATAGATTATCCATCTTTACCTATAAACTACAATTTTCAGGGTTTGTTTGAACCCTCTTGTAATTTTGATAGGACCTTGAGATTCTATTTTCTTCTGACCTTTTGCTTAGTTTTCATATTAACTTTATATGTAGTACAGTATTAGAGTTTGTTTGTAAAAACACATTAGTTTTTAACTGATAATTAACTTCTGTATTAGTTTGAGATTTATACTTTACATGAGATTTCAACTTAATAGTAATAGAATAATTTAGTAAAAAAGAGTAATCTTAAAAATATTTTAAAATTATTTATTTCACTATCGCTATTGTTTTTATTTACATTGTATATTTAGTATCATCAGCCTAGTTAGCAAAGATCATAACTCCAAAATACCAAATTTCACACTAGAAGGAAAAAAACATATCAATATTATTATTTGGAGTTTTGAAAATTACTTACACATTTCACAGAAGAAAATGCACTGAAGTATAATCATGATATTACCAGCCGACATACAATTTTTTTTTTTAATGGTGTAATATAACGAAAATTGATTTTTTGGATTTACGCCCTTTATTACTAGGCCGATTAATGTAATATATGATTGTAAGATATAATTGTAATATATAATTGTAAGATATAATTTATTTTTATACAAAATTATGTTTAAAAAAACAAATAACACGAAAACTGCACTTGAAAATTATTTGAATAATATGTTTGAATGTTATTGGAATAATAAAAAAGACATGGTCAGGCATTGTTTTTTGTCAGGAAAATCTAACTCAAAAAATTAATACTTGATCATAACCACAGTTTGTTACTTGTTAAACATAGACAAGTTGTTGTTGAATTACTTTAACAGATTTATTTTTTAATATAACCTAAGACATTAATTTTCTTAAATAACAGTAAGACGTGTATTATATATTAAACTAACCAATAAAATTGGTTATTCTTAAACGCCATTAAACAAATATTTTTCTCACTAATATGATTTATATTATTCTTGTATAGTGTTCACCAAATGTATATTATTAGTTTTGAAAAAGGTTTTATTACTTTCAGCTATAATAATTCCTGGTACCTGATATTCCTGATGCCACTATGCTGGCTTTTTATTTGGATTAATTGTTATTTACTTATAATAATTATGTAACATTTTAAAATTATTGTAACTTTATATTTATCTTGCAGATTCATATACGTATACTTAATGAAGAATGGAATGTATATCGAAGATATTCTCAATTCACAGAGTTTCATAAACAGTTAAAAAAACAATATAGCGTAGTTTCAACAATTGATTTACCACCTAAAAAAACCATCGGAAACAAGGTATAATTTACTTTAAGCTGATAAATATTTTGTGTATTGATAGGAACACCCATATAGTAGGCAGGCTTTTGTTACTTAATAATGTAAACATAAGCGCCTATAAAAAAATAAACAAATTTTGTTTTTAAAAATTATAATAGAATAAATATTTTTCACCATTTTAATAGTTAAACCTTCAAGGTATTTTTTCTTAATAGGATGCTACACACCTATAATTTATCTGCAAAAAAATTGGTTTGGCAGAGTACAATATGTGAGGACGATATTTACAATAACAATATATTAAAAAACTGAATAATGAGTATTTTTTAAACAAACTATATTTTTTCAATGATTATTTTTAAGAATACATTTTTCAAAAGTAGTAATTTCTCAAAGGAGGTATTGGTTGAAACTCGACTGTTTCAGTGGCAAATTGTGACATTTGTAAAGTGGCAATCTTCCAAAAATGTCTAGCGAATAGTGTTTTTAAAAAATAATGTAATTTTAGTGTTGCCTTTATTGGCTTAATGTTTTTTTTTGTTATTAAAAATATAATTGAAATTTAAAATAATTCATAGTCATACAACATACTAGTTCTAATAATTATATAATATATACATATATAATAATTAATGTATATTATATTATGATATGTCTTGTTGATTGAGCTGTATGACCATAATAGTACTATAATAATGTATGTACATAAGTTTCATGAAGTAAGACAAAGAGAAAATTTCCTTTTTGAATTTAAGACTTAAGAGGCTGTATGAAAATTAAGGTTCTTGTGTATAAATAGGTAAAAAAATAATACAGGAAATACACCTATTTCAAGTTTTGTCCTGTCCTACTTAAAATTTTTGAATAAAATGTTTAAAAAATAATTTACAAACATTGAATTTCAGGGTGCTAATTTTGTAGAAGAACGACGGAAAAGACTTCAAATATATTTAAGGCAAATAATCAATTTTTTAATTACGATAAATCGAACATTGGCGAGTTCACCTAATAAATACAAATTGGTTAGCCTTATACCATTTTTCAGGTAAGATTTATAGAAATATATTTTTAGATGGATAACAATTTTGTATTCATTAACATTTAATATTTAGTGAACAATACAATCAAAGTTATAATGGGAAACGTTCATGGCTAAATTTAGGATGCTTTATGCCTCAAAATTCTGTGGTGGATTTAAACAATAGCTCTCAACCACAGTACACTGGATTATGACATTTGTACCATGATAACCTATTTACATATTTACTGTTACAGTTATATATTTAGTATGATTATCGTCTGTGATTTATATCTAAGGATTTTATCTTAAAAATAATAACTTATTATTATACAAAAAATATAAGATATATTTACTATTATACAGTTACTCGCGAGGGAGACCTTCAATTTTCAAAATTTATGCTTTTGGTATCTTGATATCTGGAAAAACAATATATCACATTTCACAAAACATTTTTAGATAAGTGATGGATACATTTTGTAAACTAACTGTTATGTGAATATAAGCATGAACAAACTATACATTGGAAATTTTGACATACAATTATGCCCTTTAGTTATGAGGATACTTTGTATATGGATGATTTTCAGATATACCTCTTATGAAAGACATAACTGTTAGTTGTACATATGTTTTTTGTATCTAATGAAAATTTAATATTAAGCATACCTGCTGCTCTCCCTGCGAGTGCTAATATGTTTAATTTTACGAATATTGAATATATTACTAGTTATTGAATATGATATATTAATGAAATAAAAATAACATTTATATTTAAAATGTGTTTTCACATCTAATATTGTACTGCTGGTAAACATGCAAGTCTAGGTAAATCTTTATTTTCAGCTATCCAAACTTCTCCTGATTTTCCATTAGCCAAAACGTGAAGTAGAGCATTTTGTATGTAATCAGTACTGAAAAAAAATAAAAATGTAATTTACTTGTAAGTTATAATTTAGTGTATGAGAGAATATGTCACTACAGACTACAGTATACGGTAATTAATCTATTGGGCACCTATGTAATACCTTTGAATTACTATTTTTCTGTCTGGATTTGGATTCGTTTCTCCTCTTGTGATGTAAACTTTTAACTTTTCAACAATCATATCTATGTCTTCGTTGTCTTCATCTATATTAAATGTGGGGCCCGGACAAATAGCCATAACTCTTATATTATTATTGTTCATTCTTGTGTTATACTCACACTAAATACATATTGATTATTATTCACAAACTAGTTAATTACAATTGTTTAGTATTATATTACTTACTCCAATGCTCCTAGTAAACTCAATAATAGCCCTTTTAGTTGCTTGGTACACTGGAAGAATTGTACTAGATAACGCACTTATAGAGCTTATGTTTATCACTGCTATGTTTTTATTATTTGTATTTTCTATATATTTGAAAGATAACAAAGTACTATGTACTACGCTTTTCTAAAATATATATAGAATAAATAAGTGTAAATCAATATTTTTCTACATTTGAATACAAATTTATTTTAAAAAGGTCAACAATAATGGCATAGTGAGTATTAAATAGTCAGGGCCAGATTAAGGAAGAAGACTGAAGCCCAGAGACTTCGCAAGTTTTGACCCGAGCGGTGTGACTAAGTACTTTGGTAGGGGTTACCAGAAGCCAACACTATGACCCCGTGGCTCTTATTCAGGATTTGGTTTTAAGCACTTGATATTTAAGTTGACCTACACCTTAATAATGTTAATAATAAGGTACCCTTATTATTAATGTGGGGGGGCTCATTCATTCTCAACACATCTGTGCATGGTTGCTTTTTTGGAGAAATAAACCATCTATGACGACTAAAAAAAGCCAAATCAGCGTAAATCGGTGAATGGTTCAGCGCCCGTTTTTAAACACATAACATATTTTTTTCTTATTATACTCGGCCTAGTCATTGAAGTAAAGAAAAGTTGATTGAAAATAGGTATTACATATTATAATTGTACAAAGGTTGACTGTCATTGTAAATTGGCAATGGTAGTTATACTAGTTAACATGTATGATTTTGACACCCGACACACATACATATGAAAATACATAATAGATTATGCATAATGATTGACTTACAAAATTAATATTAATTGCTTTTTCCCAGGCATCTAAATATTTTGTCATAATAGCAGCATTATTTACAACAATGTGTAACTTCCCAAATTTTTCAATAATTTTTTTAAAAGCACCTGTAACAAAACAATTGGCATTTTATTTTATTTAAACCCTTTTTTTGCATGAATAATTTTGTATTAATATGTTTACACCTTCAAATTCATCTTTATTGGTCACATCACATTTCAGAAATAATGCTCTGCCAGATGCGTTATACTTCTTTTCTAAATTGGTAATAGCTGTGTTGCCGGCCTCTTCATCTATGTCTATTAATGAGACCTTAAAAAAATATAAAAGTCATTTATTAACCAGGGTGAAGCCCGGTACACGGGAAGCTAGTTAATTATGTAAAACGTCAACTCTTTATGAGTTGTATAGCTCAAATAGAATAATATTTGTGTTAAATTTAAATGATAATAAGTATCTCCGCGCACTTCCCCTCCTGTCATAGCTTTTAAACTCATACAACATAAAAAATAGTTGTTTAAAACTGGTTATCAATCAGTCAACATTTTTAGTAAAATATTCTTAATTTAAAAGTTTAATAAAATGTGTATGTTACCATTTAAGTTTTAAAAAAAAATTGTTGATAATCATTTTTCAGTCTTGAAAAATGCTTTAGGTAGCATACAAAATGAAACTGAAGAATTAAAACATACCCAAAAAATATTTGAAGCAGTTGTAAATATTCGTAGCAATTAAAGTATATTAGAAAATACTATAAATAAATAAACAAATGCTATAATTCTTTCTCATAACAATCAACTTCATACTATAATTTTAAGACCAGAATAATTTTTATCTGAAATACATAACATTAATAAAGTAAAAATATGTTCCAAATGACCTTCAAATCCCTATAAATTATAATTTGGAAACTGTAGACCAACATTTAAATATTTAAAAAATTAAAAAATCTTACATAAATGGTCGATTAATATTCGCGATTAAAATACCTCTTTGTGATATAAACAAGTATAGAATGTATCATATTTTACTATTTTTTTATCCCTTTTAATAATAAAAATTGTTCATTTATTAGAAAAAAAACAAGTATTTATTAGCTAATTTAGAAATGTCTACGTTTTTGGAATTACAACATTATAAAACAGCTTATAAGATTATAGATAATATTTTCTTGTAAAACTGATGATATCTAGTACAGTAGGTTAGTGAAATAGAACCATTGATAAATAACTATAAAATAACACAAATTTGTGATATGTATTAATGTATATTACTGAATTTAAACCGGATGTATGGTTTCCATAATATTTTCAAAATAATTGGTATTTTGTTTGTAGCAAACAGATTTTATTAAATACATACTGTGACAAATATTCTTTTTAAAAAAAAATTGTAATTGAAAATTCGGAAAAGCAATGGTTAGATACATGTATAGTTTTTACACCCACTATATAGTAAAATACATTTTCTTTGTAGGTATTGTCTATCATATCTCACCTAACTCGAACCAGCTAAAAATCATTAGAATACGTAATTATTAGTTATTACCTGCCGCCTATAACCGGTTTTGTTCGCGGCTGGCGGCACCCGCCGTCGTGTCCATGTGAATTGGAACACAGCTATGACCGTCTGCAGCCGGCGTAAAAAATATTGAAAATCAAGTAAAACATACATCTCAGCCAGGACACTTTTCTGAGCAACAGAGTGGGTTTAGCGTAAAGTACATCCATACAAAATTAAAGATCCAGACTTTATCTAAGTTTTGACATGGGCGATTTTCAATAAAGTTTTTAGAAACTAAGATCATAATATGTTGAACTTACAGCTTTTCGAAAGCTTTTAACTTTGCTAAAAATGTAGCCAAAAACTTAGATAAAGTCTTGATCTTTAATTTTGTGTAGATGTACTTTTATGCTAAACCCGCTCAGTTCTTTACAAGAGTATCTTTACTGAAACATGTTTAACGCGCCAAAAAAAGGTAGTGTAATGCCCTCCTTAAGATACGTTTTATTTTTGGTTCACGGAAAACTGGTGTTGTATAATTAAATCGAGGTTTCTCAACAGCTTCATTTTTTATTATAACTTACTGTTTGATAATCTCTTAAATGTATAAATGAGGTGTGCAAACCTGTTTTCAAAATGTTTGCACTCAGTAACAACATGTTGGTTTTGGCCGTACCAGCATTCCGTCAGTTTACCATTTTTTTTACCTACGTTATTTATAGTTTTTAGTTTTCACTGTAGCGTATCCTCTTAATGCATTACGTAAAAAATATAACTTATTAAATTAACGATAAGATATTTTTCACTGCATGTTTCGTAGAGATCTATTTAGTTAGGGGCAAAGGATAGGCAATATTAAACAAAGATCGATCAAGTAGCCATTTTAAATATGCCGACTAATTTTAAGGCGCCTCTACACTAGCTTTTATTAAGAGGACGCCACACCGGCCATTTCTAAGGAATAAAGTATAGGCAATTTTTCGAAAAATCGTATTTTAGAGTTTGAACTATAGTGCATACTTATTAATACAGTAATGAGGATACTTTGTTGATTGCAGTCATTTCTATAAGATAAATTACAATTTTTCCCCTTCAAAACTGCTTTGCGCGAATTAATTTTTTTCAGGCTTCATATATAGTTAAGGAAAGAAATGCATACATATTATTTATGACAAAATTATCTGTGTTCCATCATCCGTATTTTTTCAATATACCTAATAATACAACCAACGCTATATAATTTTTAAAAAAGTCAAAAAAGTCCTAATTAATTAATTATTCATTAACTGGTTGAAATATTAAAAAAAGGGCGATGGTAGTACACAGACAATGTTGTTGTCTATATTATGTAAAAATTTGGTTTCTTAGGTTTGATTATAGCTTTCGTAAAATTAATCGGCGCAAAGGTGGGTTTTTTAAAGAAATAACGGGTGGGTGACGTCCTCTTAAGAAGCATTATATAGGACATTTTTTGCTAAAACAACATTTAGCTAAAAAAATTTAACATACATATTAGCATAGAAAAAAGTACCTATTTTGATAATTAATATTTAAGAATTCTTCGATTTAAGTTTTAAAAAACATTTGAATTCTTTATAACATTTTCAAGGCAATGATTGTGGCACAACTTTAAAATTATTTTTAGTTAATTAATTATTTCAATGTAAAAAGCTGCTGCTTTTAACTTTTTTAAACTTAAAAAAATAATTTAAAAAAAAAAACATTTTAAATGGTGCCACAATCGATGCCTTTAAAATGTTATGAAGAATTCAAATGTTTTTCAAAACTTAAATCGAAGAATTCTTAAATATTAATTATCAAAATAGGTACTTTTTAAATCGGAGTAATCTAAGGAACAGAACGTTTGAAGTAGAATGAGTGGTTTTCGACCAAACATACACAGATGTAAAAAAATATTAAGTTATTCTAGCTATAAAACTTTTAGTTATTTATCTCCAACTTATGTGAAAAATCGATCAAAAATTACTTTCTTAAAAGTAATTTTCTGACATAACTTTTGGATGGATTAAATTTTTTTTAATTTGGAGTTTACTATTTTCTCTAAAGGGCTAACAAGCCAATTTTTTATTTAGCTATTAGAAAATTAGCTAGGTTTATTAGAAAAAAAAACCTTTATAATTATAAAAATAAAAACACTTGTAATACAATTTTGAAAACAAGAAAAATGTTTTTGAAATCGGTTCGGTAGAAACCTTGGAAAATGACTTCGAGTTTTAGTGTTGATTTGTATACAGTTTGTCTCTTTCCGTTTAAAAAGATCAAATTTAATGTACACAAGTTATAAGTAATACAATTTTAAAAGTAATTTCATTTTAATAACTAAGGCCACAACCAGGGGCGCAATTTCGCTAAAATATGTGAGGGTGCTTAAGCGCTGGACATAATATAAAATCCCAACTCTTCAACCCATAGCTAGTAAATAAAAAATACATTAAATACACAATAATTATTTAAATAATAAATTATAAAACTAACACTTCTTTTAAAAAAAAAAAACCTATTTTTTGGTCTATTCAGTAAAAGCATGTAAATGCATATACTTTCGGGCCCTAATCTTTATACTCTATAATATTTGATAAAACTTGGCTTAATTGATGATGTTACATGTACTTACGTAGGCGCCCCTTTTAACAAGTGCTTCAGACATTCCCAATCCTAGTCCATGAGCAGCTCCTGTTACCAATGCGACGGATCCGTTGAGGTTTAGATTATTTGACATTATGCAGTACGTAGTACTGTGTTCTAATAAGTATAGAAAAGATAGTTCACAATATCTTTAAGAAACACAAATGACAAGAATTGTTTTAAATTATAAATACAAATGTGTTAAGGAAAATAATTATATGTGTATTCTATAGTATAGTTGAAAATCAAGTGAGAGAATATCATATATGTGCTGTTGGACATTTAACAACTGTCCAGTAAATCATTGGCGAATGATAACTATACATTCACTATACATTGACCACTGCAAACCGGTTGATAATCTACCCAATAATGATGCGCATAAAAGTTTATAAAAATTCTAAAAAATACCTTTGGCAACTATAAGAAAATGGCAAATTGCCATTTTAATCTTATGCGGAACTAGAGTTTTAAATTTGAGCATGCCATTTCATTTATAACCATTTTGCTGTCACTTTTGTAAAAATTTTAATCATTATGCATTTTTGTTTTCTTATTATAATTTTCTTCCATACAGACAAGGTCTTTAATTCTCTCATATTATTTATAAAAGTTAAAACGTTAAAAACGTACTCACTTATACAACCTATTAAATATTATTAAAATTTCTGATTTTTGATTTAGCTTTTAAAAAATAAGTTATAAATTAGATTTATTGTAAAACAAACTATATAAATAAAAATAAAAACGCTTATAATAAAATTATAAGTTGAAAACTAAAATAAAAAAATGGCATTTTAGCCACTATATATATGATGTTTAACTCTATAACAAACAATTTTTTTTTAATCGGTTCGTTAGACACTTGACACTTCAGAAAGTAACTTCGCATTTGTGTCTTTATTTGTATAAAATTTAGTTTCCCGTTTTTCTTAAAAACCATTCGATAGTTTTGAGTATGTACCTTGAACTCTTAGTACAAAATTAAATGTATAAAGGTAGGGTAGTAGTCAGTAGATATGTTTAAAATATACATTTATGTAACATTCTTTGAGGAATGTCATATACAGTCGTTGCCAGATAACTTGGCACAGCTGCGGCGACGCAAAAACGCAAAGCCAGGGTTATTTTTTATTTTACTTATGTCTATTATGCCTAGTCGAAGAATAGTTGATAATTAATTTTTATAAAATATATAATAATAGTAATAATAACAACAATTATAAAGAACCATTCTCGTCCTAGTCGACTGACGGTCGAGGAAAAATACTAGTTTGGGATACACTTATTAATAAACGCCGTCGCCTCCTGTGCCAACTGCCAAAAATTATCTCGCAGTGACTGTACCGACATTTTCCTTATGATGTAGAATAAGTATTACATTAACATGCTAATGATATAATAATATAATATGCATTACAATAATTGTATTATATAATCATTATATAACACTGCTTGGACAGATAGCTAATAGATCCAGCAAGATATGGGATTTTTCCGATAAGCCCTCGTCAATGAAATGTTAAGAGCCCCAGGGCCGATAAATAATAACATTTTATTATGGTTTAATTAGTATATTAGTCATCATGCGAACTTAAGTCTTAACACGCCATAAAGTAATACAGTACTAACAGTTAATACTGTCATCATGAGATGGTTACAAGACGAATTCGCTATGCGGGACGGGTCGCCAGAGAGGGGGGACGAGACGGCTCTTTTTCACCGGACGATTGCTCGCTCAGCAAACGGAGCGCCCGCCACCGGTAACACGAAGCAATTTTATTCGCCACATCAGTCATCAAGTCGCCGCGACTAAGTTATCATGCACGAGGTTGTATAAGGTAGCGAGTAGTAAATAATATTATTAGTTGCAAAAATTTCGTCTCGTATCACGTCGTACCGTTTTAAGACGAATAATTCGTCTTACGTGTACAGAATTAGCAGAACGATTGATTTTTGAAGTACAAAATACTCAAAAGAAGAAGTGGGTTCGTGATTGGATGAGTAAAAGAGAAAAATTAGAGGCCTCTGCCTTGCTTTTGAAATAATTGGCTGAAGAGGATGGATCCTTCTGCTTACAGAAATATTATGCAATATGCGGTTATCACAGACAAAATTTGATGAACTGAAAAATTAATATTGATAAACAATAGTGATAACCTAGATAGCCAGTAGCGACTAGCGAGTGTCGATGTCACATCGGGCGACTTTACGGTTTTTAGTAGCGACTAGGTCACGACTCACGTGACCAGTGTAATCGCGTGTTCCTAGTGAGTAGATTTGAATATGCACAATTCTATTCGCCGCGATTATTTGTAGCTATGACTTGGATTAATCGAACTTAGAAGCGAATACGTTGTCAGACGGAGCGAATTTGCTCGCTGGTACGTGTCGTAGCGAATAGTCGACTCGTGTGACAGAGGCTTAACTGAGTGTCGAACCCAGCGACAGTGAGCACTGAGTGCAACATAACACTCCTCTGATTGATTTTAAAACCAAATAATAAAAAAACGTTATAAAAATAAAAATATGTAGTTTTACACAAAATGATGATTTGCATATTCTGGCAATTGGCAAATGTAATAAACCTGAAGTACATAATATACTATATTATTATAATGTATAAGTTATAACTGATAATACATTATCTGAGGTAATCACTTATTGACTTATAATATTTGGCAATGACCAATGACCATGTTAATTAATCTGTTTGAACTACTTTTTATTATATTATTATTATTTATTGTACAAACAAAACGTGAATAAATTGACATGGGAAATTACTCAGTGGTAACGCCCTTTGACCGTTGTAAATTTTTAGGTTGCTATGATACTGAATCGACAGTCAACAGATTTCTGAAAAGTATTATTGTTATACCTTATAAATTATAACATGGGCAACATCGGCAACAAATTATTGTAGACAGACGAACAACTCTAATCGTATCCACACTAATACTAAAAATACAATTTTAAAGACATTATTGACAATGTTTGTATATCTACAGTCTACAGATACACATCAAAGCCTTTATTTTAATTAAATTTATCACTTTCAATTATAATAAATAATTTCTGTAAACAGTAGACCCGTGACCTCCCTCTCCCCAATACTCTACGTCACTACTATGCCCTACCCTACACTACTATTTTTTAAGTATATGTCGAATTTTAAGAAGGTATTGAAATGTTAAAAAATTATTGGGTTTAATTAGGCTCAATGTCCGTAGGGCGTAGTTTGACTACAGTTTACCATTTATACCTAAGGATAAATATTGTGTTTATAAATGTAGGTACACAGTAATTGACGGAAAACGATCGACCCCTTGATTTGCTTGAAATTGCTCAAATTGCCCTGAATAGCCTTTTTGTTGTTTTTTTTATTGCAAAACAGAGACAGGAATAATTCTAAGCATTTTTTAGTAGTAATCTTTTAATTTTTTCATATAAATGAGGTCGGCCGCCAAAATCTGCAATTAACCAATCTTTATTTATCATACCCAGAGACCGGGAGGGCACAGTAGATCAATTTTTATAATAATATATAAAAAAATAAAATTGCATTTTTATTTTACGCCCCAAAATAATATTTACTTTATTGATTAATTCAAATTGTATGGTGTGTAGACGATTGTCAAATAACTATTTTTATTTTTATTATTATTATAATTCATAAAAATTTGTGATTATGTGCTTGGCTTAATACTGTTTACTTTAGAAAGTAAATCAACATTAAAGTTTTAAATCGGAGTATAAAATGCATACTGTACGTATAGATGTATATGGAGGTGACGACTGGTGAGAGACTCCTGATAAATGTCAAACAGATGGCATATTTGTCTGACTGTTGTAAAGAAAAGATGCATTTAAACATTTATTTAAATATAATTTAAAAATATATATATTTATAATAGTTTTTTTTACAATAATGCATATAAAATATTATATTATCACTTGTAACACTTGATTAATAACTATAAATGTATTTGGTATTTGTAATAAACAAATTTAGTTTGGGTTTTTTTTTCTAAGTACATTTATAGGCTTTTTGCAATGACGTAATTGATTTTCCAAACTAAAATTTGATTTCTTCTCAGTATTTGTATAAATACATTTATTTTCAAAGGTTATTATATCTGGCAGTTTTTTTAACCTATAAAAATAATAATACAATAATTAATCATAATAATAAGTGTAATCTACTACAAATATGTCAAACTTATTTATAAATACTGAATTGTCGCTGTAAAATATAAATTATAATATGTCATTTTATGTGTACAGAAACAAGTTTTCCATAATCTTTAAAGTAAAGTAAACACAACTACATTTTGCCTAATATGATTGTACAAATGATTTAAGGGGAACAGAAAGCGCTATTTATTAAGGGTCAAAGGTTAGGCAATATTTGGCAAAAATTGATCTAATAGCCATTTTGGTGTCTACTAATTTTAAGGTGAACACATATTACAATTTTCTAAATATAATACTTATAAAGTTATTTTTCTCCAAATTATGACGGAATTTTAATAAAAAATGACTCGTAGATATCATTTTCTGGCGTACCTACCTATTGGACGGAGTTTAAGTTTTTTTATATTTATACGAAGCCTACTATTTTTTTATGGGGGTCAAAAGGCCGATTTTTGATTTAGGGAGTAAAAAAGTAGTTAGATGTATTAGAAGAAACTATAAAAAAGTAAAAATACAAATGTTTATAAATACTTTTTGAAAACAAAAATAAAAAATCGGCCTTTAGCCCACATAGAGATGTTTAACTATAAAACAAAAAAAAAGTATTGAAATCGGTTCGGTAGACACTTCGTAAAGTGACTCCGCGTTTTAGTCTTTATTTGTAAACAAATTCACGCTTTCCGTTCCCTTTAAATGATTCAAAAACCAAATTTCAAAAATCAATAGTTATGAATTATTCAGGAATTAGTTCAAATTAATACATTTCTGTTCATTGAACTTATTTCTTTAGAATACAACATGTTATTATCTAATTTAAATTAGATTTTAATTTTAGTTTTTCTTATACTAGGCACTAGCTTAAAATTTGTATAGTGCTGATTTATATTGTGTTGAACTTTTTATTTTATCTTTTATAATTATTAGAATAATTGGAATGTACCCACCTTTCGTACCATACACTGTCTTCCACTGCAAACCCATTTTTTACTTAGATATTGGCTATCTATCTACCTCAAATGTGAATTTTGTAACTAAACATTTTTTTTTATCCTTTTGTTTATTGTATTGAAATCAAATAATATTTAAAACTATTGATGGTTAAATGGCAAAAAGGTCTAAGCATGTCACATGTACTATACTATTGGATGAAGAAAAATGTGCATACGCAAAAAGAGCTGTGTTTATTATTTAATGCACAATTTGAATTTCAAGTTTGTAGTAAAAACACAACATTGTAGTTTTCTACTAAAAAAGTAGTGTCTAAATGACAGTATTAGGTTTTTATCAGGTTATTACTATTTGAAAAAAAAAAATTAATAAAATCACCAAAAAATATTTTTTAGCTCTCCTGATAACTACGAAAATGTCACTTCGACCCTTTTAAATTGTAACCATCGATATAGCTTATCTTGTAAATACTACAGTACCTATAGATAATTTAGCAACATTTAGGTAGGTACATCTACATTTTAACCAGTTTCTGAATTTTCTTTTGTAAATACTAACTAAGAGTAAACCTAAATCAAGCTCGGATTCCAAGCATAGTTTGACAGAAAATGTCTAGAATAAGCTGGTCAACCAATTGTTTGTTTATCTTGTTGACCTAAGTTACAAACCATACCTATTAATATTTCATAAATATAACCCATACATTTTACTTAAATCTCTAGTTAGAGAATTTCTAGAACTTGGAAGAAACATTTTAACCTTAGTTTACTATGTTAACATGTGGTTGTTATTTGCTTCACATTAGGTTAATGTGTTTTAGCCTTTGGGTTTATTTACAATTTTTAATTTAGGAGTAAGATTTCATTCTGTTTAACTATTATTTTTAGGTAATGGAAATTAATAATAGAAAAAAACAATATTTTATACGGATAAAAATGAATACATATTTTTACAAGTTTCTACAATTTGGGCCATTATCCTAGAAAGGGCAAAATTCCCATTGTAATTTTAATTTTTACAGATCTTAATTTTATCTAATTATTTTGGCTCAGGACTATTCTGTGGCTATACAATACCCATATCGATCGATTAAATCATTAACTAAAAATAATGTTTTATTGATCCACAATGATTTTTAAAAATTCCAAAAAATAAGTTGTGAAATAGTGAGTGAGGGAATGAAAAATAAGATGTTTAACATTTTGTTCATGTATGTTAATAATAGATTGGCTTTAATTTTTAATAATGAATAGTTAGAACAAATAAATATTTATAAATGACATTTTTTTCAAAATTTCAAAGTAATTTCTTCAATGAAAAATGGAGCGGGGGCAGCGTTTTCCCCTTTCTAGGATAATATATCATATACATTTCTAAAGTAATTAAAACTAATGTACACATTTATCTGTATTTTAAAATGTAATTAGTTTGTGGAAAAAAATATCATGTTAATAGTTGTTATTAATTACCTACAGGTTATAGGTATTAATATTATAGATGTATATAATACTTATTACTTATTTGTTTAAAAATTGTTTGTACTTGTTACTATTAGACTCTTCAATAATACTGGTATTATAATGTTCTTCAATTTTAGCACTATCTAGAATATCACTTAATTGTTTTTGATTATTACTTGTACTAGATTTCATAATAGTATTGCTCAAACTCTCTAAATGTTTACAGCAATAATTACCACCATTCATTAATATTAATTCATCTAAAAGGTCTGAAACAAAAAATAAGTGATATTTATACATATTTTATAATATTATACTAAATAAATCTTAAAGGTTATTATAAAAAAAATATATATATATATATATACTATATATAATATACTAAATAAATAAATAATATGTACCTCGATTTTTAGACCTTAAAATATTTATTTCTTTATACAAGTCTTCCAACATCTGGCAGTGATTCCTTTTCATCCTATTAATTTCTCTTTCATATTGAGCAACTAATACTAATGGATCAATCCTATCAATTATATCTATTGGTTTGGATAGCATCTTGAGATCCTGAAAAAAAGTTGAAGTATGAGTTTAATTAGAAATAGTTATTGATTAAAAATTTGGATGTATTCGGAATAGCAATTTATAAGAGGCAGTTTGGGAGTTGCGCAAATAGCAAGAACAAATGAAATAGGACAGACTGTGATGGTTTGGACGTGTTGACTGTTGAAAAAAGAGGACAGAGTATAATAGTAAAAACAAAAAAAGTTAAAGATATTGTGGTAAATAGATTAAAAGGTACCAACAGGTAGACCTTATAAGAAGTGGTTAGTTGAGACAGATAAAATAACACAAGAGGTTTGTGAAGTGACTAAAGAATAAAGACAGGGAGAGCGGATTTAGCAGACAGGCCCAAATTGTATAGGATATAGCGAATAATAATAATAATAAGAAGAAGAAGAAAACATATTAATATAAATAATAATTAGAAATGTAATTTCTTTTGATTTTGATTTACATATTTTATGAACCAGAAACTGAAATTCTTAGTTTACCTGTATTATTGTATTTCTGGATGAATGATTTGATCTGCTAATTGGAGGCAATTCTTCATTTTTTTGAGCATATTTAATATTCTGCAATTCCATTATAATCTAAAAATCCTATTAGTGGTTTGCTAACACGTACAATCCATAACTATTGGGACATTAGGTACACAAAAGGTGGAGAATATTGATTTTTTTTTACCTGATATCACATAACCCTATCTCTAAGGCAACCTAACAACAATTGTACCTGATATCAAATCAAATTACAATATTATTATATTATGATATTCAAATAATGGTTACATAACCTTACTACTTATATTATAGCCTATTGTAAAAAAAATAACGAAATTCGATAATTATAATCGCTCAAGTTTTTTTTTTGTTTATGAATATAAACCTTTGTATACTCCCGTATTTATATTTATAAATTATTTCGGGTGTTAAAAAAATAACTGTTTTGTTAATTAAGGACATTTTTAAAAATATGTTTTATTTAGTAAACTATATGTAAAGTTTCATTCGTATTCCCTAGACCTTAATTTAAGAGGTGAAACAAAAATAATATAAATCTAGATAAACAATGCATTAATTCAAATAAAAAAAAACGACTTGTGGAATAACATCCAGGGAGGCGATCGCCTCATCACCTCCTTGTCTGCAATAATTTATAGTTCGTCATTTATGTTAGGTACTAAAAAGAACTCATGTCTCGTACAGAATGTTTAAAATGTTTTGCAAGTTTCGTCGGAACTCCAGTAAATTCAATAACGGATATCCTTATTCTGTTCAAAATCAGGCTGTCGTCTGATGCAAAGTATTTAAGTTTATCGGAAGTTCCGAAGGGTTCCTGAATAGGTGTGCAAAAAATGATTAATTCGGTAGCCTTCTTTAAATAGACTTAACATAATATGAAGAATAATTGGGGATGTTCACTACACAGTTCCTTAAGTCAAGCACTGCATGAAATATTTTATGTGGTTATTTCATTAATGACTGACTTTTTTTTAAGTAGTTTATAAAATTAGAATGATTTAGTACTTGATACCAAAAAATGTATTTAAAATAATATCTTGTTTATTTTTATTAACAAAAGTATTTAAAAATTATTCGATACGGGATACCCTAAAAAGTATTTTACTTAAATAATACCTATATAACTGAGTACCAACCCGATGTTGTAGCAGTCATGCAGTGGGGTAGTAACTTACGTAGTTTACATGCGTAATGAATCATAAATCATTAATTTCTCTCTACTGACACCAATAGATATAATATAATATTTAGGTTATGAAGACAATACTGAGGACAATAAATTACACACCTATAGGCTATACTATTTGATATTTTTTACTGTCAGCCTAATAATAGCCACCGTTGCTATTTGACAGATAAATGATTTTAGTGATTAAAATGAACAAAGTAGGGTTCCAGGTATTGGTCTAAAATATTCAGTTTTGGGACTGAATACACTTTTTAACTGTAAAAAGGGTAAATCTAAATTAAACTACGCTAAATGGCGCTACGTATGTGTCATTTTGTGTGTACATTGCACACTGATCGTAGAAAAGAAATTAACTATGGTTAAAGCTGATTATTTTAGCTTCTTATAATATACGAGTAAACATCTTAATATAAAGTGCCTGGGGAGCATTCACAAATTAATATTTTAGAGGTAAAAAGTAATACCTTTAAAAATCATTCGATTATTCCCATCACTATTCATTAGTCTCTTTCTCATACTTTTAAGGAACAAAACAATCACACAAGTTTTGTAATTGATTAATGGATAGAAATAATTATTTTATTTTTATTATTAGTGTATGAAATATGAGTTCATGAGTCACGAAGATGCGTTGTCTTTTCTCAATGATTGTTCATTATTCATTATCATTGAATCATTCATGACTTATTGACCATAGTCCATACCACAGATTATATAATCTGTGATCATACTAAGTTAGTACTTAAGTTTTGATTGCCAAGTGTGAAGTGCCAAGAATGTCAACCTAATACCCATTCAAGCATAGTGCATACAATAAGACTATAAGACATAGGAATTAAAAAAGAAGTATCCGACTGTCATTCAATACAATAAAACCGGTCTTTAACGGTTATTGGTTAATCAACGAAGTAAATTATAACCACATCTGTGGTTATAACCAGAAACCAGTAAAGAAATTGATGTATGGTAATGGTTGACGAATTTGAAAAAGTTTTTGTCCGACGTCTGTATATTTTTTTTGTTGTACCAACTATTATTATACCTTGCGTCATAACTATATAATTTATATTTTAAGACTTTTTAACTTAAATACCTGGTGGATGGTAGCTTCGTAATATGTCAGTTAAGTTTGTCATTATCTAATTTTAGGTTTATCAATTTAAATTTATAGTTAGAATAAAAAAAAATGAACGGTAAAAATCTTTATTAAAAGTTGAATGTTGATGTTCGAAGTTTAGTTTTTAATTTTTGTTTTATATAGGTAAGTACGAAATTAAGTATTGTGCATCGACGACGAAACATGAAATGTATCCAGTAAACAAATTACGTGAGTAATTACAGATTTTAGTATAGTTTAATTGAGTAAATGTATGAGCTTACTCAATTGTATATTATACATAGCTTAAATAGGTATATATGCAAATTTTTGGATTTTTTTTTTGAGTGATTGGCTAGCTATGACCCAGATAATATTTTCTAAAATTATATCATATTTATTTTTCTATAATTTTTGGTATAAAAGTAACCTAAGTTTCCCAATCAGGTATTTTCATTAAATATTCCCCCTCATAACTTATTATTTTGTCATTACTTAACTAATAACTTTTGATTTTCAAATAGCAACCTACATAATATATAATTACTATTTTAATAATACAAGAATTGTATTATTGAAATAATTACTAGTTGATAATCAATTTTAAACAATTATTTCTTAAGTGTTGCTCCCTAACAAATAATGAAAACTTCAAGAAGTAATAATTTATTTATTATAATACATTAAAAAAAAAATAAACACATTCACAAAGGTCTGTGACAAAAGATAAGGCCACAATTCCCCTCTTCTCTTAAATATGATGATATAACAATATCAAACAAGTTTAACGCATTTTAAAATTATTATAGGTGCAGAGTTTAATAGTAATATTAATAAATAGATATTAAGCTCTTCCCCTCTTCCTATTTAAACTCTAAAAAGCTTTTAACTTAAGGCATTTTTTTTGAAAGCTAGTTATTCACCAGTCATAATTTTTTTTTTTTTTTGTTTACGGCCTTTTAGACCACACATCCAAACATAAACGCCTCCATTCATCACGGTTTTGCGCCAACATATGCCACTCCTCATCTGGGTAGAGCTCTGCTACATCTTTCCTGACACAGTCCTCCCATCGCATTCGGGGCCTTCCCAGAGGTCTTTTCCCTTTTGGATTCTCTTGTAGAGCCGTCTTTGTCAAAGCTTCAGGTTTCCTCCACACGTGACCTGCCCATTCCAATCTTTTCCTTTTTACCTCCTTTACTATACTTTAGAAAATTATTGTGTTAATAAAATAATTAGGTATGTCAACGTGATTGATTTAAGAAAGGGAAACTTAAGTTCACATTTTGTCAAAAAGTACAAAAGAAAAAAATTGTAAATAGAGGAAAAGTGAGCTGGGTCATAACCCAATCACCCGGTAAATACATGTATATGTGTATGTACATATTTTAAGTATCCGTAACTTTTATTGTAAGAATTTTTTATTATTTATAAAACCCTAAAATGTCTACTCTTTTAAAACCTTTCACTAACCATGTATATTAGATATCAGATAATTAATCATTTTTAATAATTTCAGCTTCAAAATATAGACATCTATTTTCAAATTACACTCATTTTAATCGTATACAGACCAACTCAATTGAAACTATTTTAGACACTGGTAAGTAGTATTATCTTCACTTATTATTATAAATACTACAATTTGCAATGATTCGGAAATTGGAAAAAGATTTATTGCTAAAATATATGTTGTTTATATTTATAATTTACTCACATGACTTTTTGTTTCAGTATATAATAGTATGATTTTCGCAATATATTTTTTTTTCATATTAATATTTAGCGTCGACAACAATGGCCATTGGCATTTATTTATTTTTCTTATTAGTTAAATCTATCTTCACATAAGATAAAACAATTATTTTTATAGAGAATTTTTTTTTTTACTAATTTATTAAAATGGTAATTAAAATTTTTCATTGTTACAGAACACATAATTCAAATAAAAATAATGTAAAATAAAAAAATGTTTTTTTAAACAGTTTTCTTTAAAATATGAAACATAGTTTAACCATATAGAAAAACATTATGCTAAGATAAATATTATTTTAATATTTTGTTTCAATCTTTAGTGACGTGCGCAGGACAAAAATTTACGAATTACCCCAATTGTATAATATATAGGTGTGTGAATGACGTGAAAGTTTACCTAAGTCACAGTTTATTGAATTGTGGCGGGAAACTGTGCATGTCACTAAAGGTTAGGTTACTTAATATAAAATGTAAATGAAGGAACAATGTTGCATAGATACAATTGCAAAAATATTATTTATTAAAAAATTATTTTAAATAATCCCCATTGTAAAGATGAATCGGTTGTCGTTTCTGCACCTACTGGATCTGGAAAAACAGCTGTATATGAATTGTCCATAGTTAGACTTCTGGAAACAAGCAACAGAAAAAATGAAGAAATGAAAGATATAAAAATTATATATGGTAAGTTCAAAATAATGCCTATTTAAGTAATTTGAATAAGTATTTTAATTACTTACTATAATAAACCTAATATAAAAAAAAGAAATGCACTTCTTATTATTAATAGTTTTAGCTATAAGGAATTCTGTATAATGCTAAATAAACATATAACATATCATGTATTAAAAAAAAATAACATTCTAAACATTTATTTAAACAAATATTTCAACTGTTTAGATTTAGATTTAATCTGTTAATTACATATATCAATTTATATAAAAATTAGAAAATAAAAGAAGGGTAGGTATTTTTTGAAAGCTTTTTAACATTTAATAAATAAAATAAAACATTTTTTATACATTTATTTGTTGAAAATTAAAAAAAAAAAATTCACTGGTTTATAACAAATTTTGAATAAATACTTTTTGAGTTAATAGTGTTTAAATGTGTAAGTGGGAAGTACATTGTGGTGGAGTAATTAGCAGTCATCAAAAATTATATGTCAATGAGTCTTTTACCATGAATACACTTTGAAACGTTATAATAACTAACACTAAAATGTTAATAACCAAGACTTTTTAAAAAATGTTCATAGACTAGTTAACCTTTTTTAAAAAACCTACTCATTACAATGGTTTTTACTATTATTTTAATTTAAAAAAAAAATCGTTTTTCTAAGTTTAAATATTTTTTGTTTATTTCAAAGATATAAAATTTGTTGTTCATAATCCAATGGTACATTTAGAAAAAATAATTTTAGATTTAATTTATCCTGGGAGATATTTTAATTATTAAATCTTCATAATGCCAAAGAAGGACTTAAAAATATTTCCCCTCTATTATTATGATAGTTCTATTTTTTTAATATAAAAATACCTATAATGTGTTAGTGGCGCCTACCAAGGCTTTATGTTCTGAGCGCTTTCGAGATTGGCAAGACAAATTTGCTATTCATGGACTATCCTGTATTGAGATTACTGGTGATAATGAGTCGTATGATGAAGTTTCTACCAAAAACCGTTACCAGATTATATTAACCACTCCAGAAAAATGGGATTCAATGACAAGAAGCTTCAAATTTAGAAATTACATTTCACAGTTGAATGTAATCAAGCTACTTATAATCGATGAAGTATACATTTTAACAATATTATTGTTTTAATATCAGCAATTTCACATCTATTGAATTTTTTTTTGCATTGCAGGTACATATATTAAATGAATATGTCCGAGGGGTAACTTTAGAATCCATTGTATGTCGTATGAAATTATCAAGAAATGTAAATAAATTATTATGTTATCATATAAATTATTCCGTTAAAAAATAAATTTAACTCAAATCATACTTTTTGATGCATGCCAACAATATCAAATTAAAAAAGTCAGAGTTTTGGATGTAGTTTGTTGTAAACATTTATGTTTGCGTATTAAGTTTGTAAAATTAGTATCACAATAAGAATTAATTGTAAGCTAAAAAATATTTCTGAACCTTGATTTTTTTAAATGTATGATATGTTGTCAGGGATTTAGGCTTCTAAATCAGGTTATAATATTAAAATAATTTGTTTTTGTTTTAATTTCCATCAAATGTGTAGACTAAAAAAAACTTGAGATTTGTTGCTGGGTCGGCTACAATACCCAACATAGAGGATATTGCTAAATGGCTATGTGTTGATTCAGAGTACCCTGCTCATTACTTCAAGTAATTCCTTTTGTTTCGTTTCAATATTTCAAACGCACACTCATTTTTTTTACACTTTTGTTATTGAAAATAATTCTTAAATTTAACTTATTATAAATTAAGTTTTAATTTATTAACTATTAGTATAACTCATTTTTTTTTTAGAGTGAGTGAGGAAGAACGTCCAGTCAAACTTCAAAAGGTTGTTATAGGATATACAAATTCTTCAAATAGTTTTTGTTTCGATATACATTTGTCTTATAAAATTGAGCCATTAATAAAGAAATACTCTAATGGTCGGCCTACATTAGTAAGATATTGTAATGTATTCTATCATATTAGATTTGTTAAGGAGCTGAGAAGGAATTGGAACCATTATAAGATATAACTATTTAAACCCTAGATCAATTGTTACATATATACAGTTTATATACGGTTCATGTATTTATTGTAAACTGTTAGTATATACATAAGACATCACCAAAAAATATACTTTATATAGCCAGAAGTTAGAGTTACCCTTCCTAATAAATTGCTACAATGATTGTTAGTTGATTGACTGATTTATTTTTAATTTTTAAAAACTACAGATTTGCAGTAAAGTATTTCCTTGAGAGTGATTTTAACACTTTCAGCATTGATACATTTATATTTTATTATATATAGATTTGTTCTATGCTTTCATTCATAAATCAATAATATTCTTATAGACATGTATAGTCTAAACCTACTCAACTACCTTCAACTCCGTTATGCTGAATTTATGTATTGTAAATTGTAATTCAACAAGGTTGATGTTAATACATAATTGTTTAAATTATATTCTCTTTAACTATTTTTAGATATTTTGTACGTCCAGAAAAGGGGCAGAGAATACATGTAATGTTTTAATTAAAAAATTGGATGTTTCATTAACTGATGAAAAGAAAATTAACATTGAAGACTGTATTCAGAAATTAGATAATGCCAAACTAAAAGGTTAACATTTATATTTTAATTACTATTTGTTTTCTACATTGTTTAAAATTGAAATATTTTAATATAAATTTATGATTATAAATTAATTAACAAAACTATTAAGTATAATATGTTTTTTAAATTAATAATTCTATTAATTTTTTATTTTGTTAACAACAACTATTGGTACAGAACTACTTAAGTTTGGAATTGGATTTCATCATGCTGGTATGTCACTTAATGATAGAAATTGTTTAGAAGGTCTTTTTAAGGAAGGTTTTTTACCAATTCTAGTTGCAACCAGTACCTTATGTAAGTATCAAACATTTATAAATAGGTATACATACTTAAATAAAATACCATACTGCTTTATATTTTTCCCCTCTCTTATTTTAAATTATATTAATTACAAGTTACCAGAGTAATTAAAAATTGGTTACAATATATCAACAATACTCTGATTACCTACCATTTAATACATGTATATACATCGACCTATAAATGTAACTATTCCTATGAATATTATTTAAATGTATTGCCTAAAGATCTACTCTGAGTAGATTACAGTTTATTTTGTCAGGTCATTAAAGAAGTGCTCATATTAGTTGAAACAACCTCATATCACATTTATGTATATGCTTTAATTACTAAAAGTAATTAAATATGTTGTTAAATCAATACTCGTTTATCCCAAAAAGCACAGGGAGTGAATCTTCCAGCACATCTTGTTATCATCAAGTCCACAGAACACTATACTAATCATGGGCCTAAAGAATATGAAGAAAGTTTAATATTACAAATGATCGGAAGAGCTGGAAGGCCTCAATATGATAAAGTTGCAACAGCTATAATAATGACGAGAAGCACAAAAAAGGTAAGATAGTTTCAATGTATGACATTTATAATAAATCAAATAAACTTTAACTAATATTATAAATAATTGTACAATAGTATTTAATATAATGTCAATTAATACACAGTATTGATAATATTTTAATTGCTACTCAAGTAATGTAGGTAGTACTAGCAATAACTTTTGAATTTAGTTGTTTACCGGACTTGTTATATATATATTTTTAACGTGATTGCTATTTAAAGAACTAACAATAATGTTAAAATGGTTTCTTCCGTTATAGTTGGATATAAATATATTAAAATGACGTTACGCCATCCATTTATTAAGAAGTATAGGCAATTATTGGTAAAATCTTAATTTAGAGCTTCAACTATAGTGTTTCTATACTTTTTATTACAGTAATGATGATACTTTATTGGTAGTTATTTTGTTTATCAGACTCGCAGTAATTTTTATAGAAAATATTACAATGTTTTTTCCATCAAACCATTTTTCGTAGCTGAAATACTGTGAAGTTTTGAGTAAACAATATAACCAAAATAAGGGACATGGTATGGCACAATTGTCACTCGGCACCTGAGGTTAAGGTACATGAGGTCCCGAATGGGATCACCCTGTACTTTTATCGGAAACCCTAGCTCATGCGTGTTCCATACTTACCAAAACCTAAACCAACCAAACATATAAAGATAATAGCTAAAATGGCCTGAGTTGTCAAACCTAAAAAAAATCCTAAATTCTTTCGCTATTTAAAAGATGAAGAATTCAATGATGTTTTGTTGGAATCTGATTTTGAAAATGGTACCAAAAAGCGAGCATTACGGCTTACCAAAAATATAATATAATAATATTCATTTGCTTATGAAGTAGAAAATAATTACAATTATGAAAATTGAATTCCAACAAAACATGGTAGAACTTTGTTATCACCTTTCCAACGGTATATTACTTTTGTATCTATTATGTTCATTAAAGAAATCTTAGCATTTGAAATAAAAACGCATTTTTTGCTACAAAAATACTTAAGTTGTCCTTTTAAAAAACGTGTTTATAAAATTATTTATTTAACATATTTCTTATCTATAATAGTTGATATCGGATGTCGTATAAAACCAGACTATATATTATAACTACCTAATCAAATTTCCATGTATATTTAAAAATAAGTTTTTATTTTAATAAATTATGACTAATTAGTGTAGGTAGCGTGGACTGTCATTTAATTTGTTATACTTACAAATTACTTAAATTATAAAAAACCCTTATTTCTTATTGAATCACAATTCATAAAGTCTGAAGAGATTTTGAAAAATAAGTGACGGATCTTCTTTACTAAAATGATTTAGGTATAATATTCAATTTCTTTTATAAATCAACGTAAATTTGTATGTAATAATAATAAATAGTTTTTAAAGTTCACTATAATATTTCAAAATCGGTCGTTATTTTTAAAATGTATATTATGTTATATTTTTAGTGGGACAAGCGCGTGGCGGAGTGAGATAAGTGAGACTACAATAGCGGCTTGTTATTTCGGGCGGGTAACCGTCTGGGGGTGAAATGGCCACCTGCCCCTTTCTCTTCAACTTGATTGGTAGCGTTAGGTCGGTTTAATTAGAGCTAGCTCTAAGCCCAAAAATACCAAATCTTAAACCGCCTGAACTCCGACCAATGCGAGTATCAGACGTAAAAGTGTAAAAAAAAAATTATATTTTATATTTTTGGTGTAAATAAATTGTATATACTTTTGAGGCACTAGATACATTTTTTAAACAGTATAACTTAATTCTTATAATATTATTAAAACAATTAATTATGTACAGTATATTTTTAACAGACGTTCTGCATAAATTATAGTACGTACATATTTAATTTTTCCGTTTTAATTGTAATTAAAATATTAACAAGTTTTACAGATACATTTTAATTAAAATGAATTAATTAATATTTATCTTATTTGATTCTGTACTTCCACTTTTCTCAAAGGGACTAGCATTGTCTTGAAAGGTGATTTTTGGCACGAAACCACTTTCCCCGTCAACGTAGTAAGATACAGTCATAAGTCTGCCATCAGGTAATAGCACAAAGTATGAACCTTCAACTCTTCCTGTATCTTTACCAATTTCATTTTGTCCGTAATAATTTCCACTGGGCTGATCGTCAACTTTATATTCGTATTCATACTAAAAAATAAAAAAAATATTGGTAACTGATTAGCCATTAGGATAATTATATAACTTACTAATATTTGTATTATAGTAGATATTATTAGGTGTAAAACTAGTTATTCTTTTATCATCCTACTTTTTTTTTTAAGTATTCTTACATTACTGTTTAAATTTTGGAAACAGAAAATAATGTTATACACCGTATAATTTAGTTTGATAACATTTAAAAAAACCGACCATTTACGTAGCATCAAGTTTCTCAAGTGTCATAAGAAGAATTCTACAATCACTTAAGACAATATAGTTCAGACTTAAGTTATTAGTTCGTTCAAGCGGACCAATAATTATTTAAAAAAATTATTAAAAATCAATAAACATATACGGCATGATATGATAGTCTGATAAAAAAATTATTATCCTTAATTTTTATTTTGAATTAAGTTTTTGTGAATTTTTTTAAAATTGCCTGTACTAAACTGCTACACTAATAGGAAGTATTACCTCATCTAATTATATACAAGTACATTCAAAGCCTTGAATTGAATCTACTTCATTTTTAATTTTAAAATACATGATAGCTATATAAAAGTCCTTTCTTCTTTTTTGGATGTTGTCGGCCACTAGGACTATCTCGTCACACATCCATCCTCTAATTCTCATTGAAGTAATCGCGTTAATAATTAATATTTTAATGACTAAATAATTGTAAACAATGTACAGACGGGGGTTGGAAAAGGGCGGCTTAAAGGAATTTTATATAGGAATTATTTATGAATAATATGGTTCTAATAAATTTCGACCATGTAAATTAATTTTCCGAGTTGTTTGTATAAGCTTATAGGTAATATTTTTAATTTATATAATTTTTTTTATGAGTAAAAGTCACTTTAATTTATTTTAGACCTAAAAGCCTAACAAAATTACGCCTACTTAGAATGATCCGATTTCAATTTTGTAAAGAGATTCGAGTTGTTTGACTACTTTACTAAATTATATAGGAATTCAATTTTTATTTAAAAAATGCAGTTTCTTGTAATTAAGTAAATTAAACTTGAAATTTGTTTAATATTAAAAAAAACGTTTTAAATAAGAAAAGCAAACATTTTAAAATTTGTTTCTGACATAACCTATTAAAGTAATCAAAGATTTCATATCTCTTTACAGAATTAAAATCCGACAATTATTATTCCGAAGTAGTCGAAATGTTGTCACCTTTTCAACACGTGTAAAACGTGAAAACAGGTATTTACAACAATAGAATCATAATATCGGGAGTAAAATGTATATTTTAATTAACAACAGTAAAGCGGGATGGTACAATTTAATTTCTTGAGGCGTGGTAAATATTTTTAGGTATACTAGGTATAATTAAAACAACAAAATCTTGCTTTTTAAATGTATTGACTGTACGACACATTACTAAAAATTGTATTATAAAAGGAAATAAAAGATCAAGTACAATTTTTATAGTTAAAGTAGTATTTTAGAAGGTACTTTAAAAATAGTTATTATTCTTTAAAGGGTTGAGTGTTAACGATTTTTCGTTCAATCTTAGTTTTAAGCGTTAATAATAACGTTTTCAAATATTTTTCGTAAAAACCGTTTTGCTTACTCATGTTGGCAGTTAGACCAAACAGCTAAAATCAAATCTATAGAAAAAACTATTTTCGTGGCCGTAAGTACGTTGGTAATATTATTGATAAATTGAAAAGTTTCTAATTATTAGAATATGGCTACTAATCGCTAATTTTTTCCTTACAAATATCATGTTTTAAATGTAGACCTATGTCCTTATCTTTTATCATTTTTGAAAAGTGTGGTCAATATCTATATTATTGTGATCTATATTAACTATTATTATATATATTAACTATTATATATTAGGCATTAGTTAAATATTCCGTCCAAACTATTATTTTTATGTCTTAAAACACTTACAGGTTCTGGTTTTCCTGTTGGTTGTACTGTGGGTTCTCCTTGTGGACGTCCTTGGCACATAATTACAACGGTAAATAATAAAAAATAAATAATTCTTCCTTGTACGTACATTTTTGGCTATTATTCTGAATTTTGATTTGATTCTCAACTCAAGTATAAATTAACTGTTTATTAAAAGAAAATATTAGTTTTGAATTCTAAATCCCGTATAAAATCGCACTTAAGTAAACTATAATAAAATAACTTACGACGTTTACTTGTAACTCAAAGTGTAATAATTATTTTCATATTGGCTTACATCTCCTTTAAATATGAACCTCTCCCTTTTTGTATTTCCCATTCTTTTAAACGGGGGAGTCTAGCAAATTTGCTCCGCCTTAAATAGAAAGTGACTATAAGATCTTTAATAATACCTATAATGTATTGTATTAAATGTTTTTAGTATTATGATAGTATATTGTAAATATCTACTTAAATAAAATAAGTAAATTGATAATATTCTTATATATGTGTTTGACAACACACTATTATAACTATCAAGTACCTATTGTATCATCTAACAGTACGATGAATATACTCATATTAATATTTTAATACATCATATATATTTGTTAATTGAAGTATAGTTGAATAGTTATTTAAATTTTAGACATAAATACCAAATTTTTAAAAAACGAGTAAAAATTTCATGGATGACATCAATTGCTAGACAGTTATGAAAAACGGTTTGTTTTCTTTATAGTACCCTAAACCTTAATTTAGGTAAGGTTTTCTTATGGAAAATAATAAGTACAGTCCATTTCAAAGTGGTATTTATTTTTGATTTACTTGACTTAGGTTGTTTCTCAAATTCATTACTTCATAAGGTTGGTAAACACAAGTCACTGACTACTGTTGTTTCTCCTTCAACGATATTTTTTAACACCTGGGTTTTAGTGTAAGAACTTTTGTAACTTGTAGTGTTTGTACACTTAGCTATCTATATTTTCAGTTTGTCAAAAATGTTGCATTCCGTAAACATTTCGAAACAATATATTATTCATATAAATATGATATTCACATTTACTACGTTTACATGAAACCAAAAAACCGTTTTGAAAAATAAAACTGTCATACTAAGTAGTTTAAGAATTTTAAATGGTTTGGAAAAATTTGAAATATTTTTAAGTTAAAAAACATTTTAATTGCACTTAACCATTTCAAACACTTATACTAAGCCCCTTCGGAAGGCTTTTTTAGATTATATCTTATGTTAAACCAAGTTAAAAAAAAAAAAATTAAATAATGATTTTAAAATATTTGTTCAAAAATTCTTGAGAAATCATAGTTTTAGTTATCGTATTTTCAATAAGCTAAAACATATTTTCTAACTGAATTTTTTAGAAAAGCTGTACTAGGAATGAAAACAGGCTGTTTTTCAGAAAATCAAAATTAATTAAAGATGTGATAGTCAGTTAAAAATTTACTTAATTATTTTTTTTTGTCGTCCGTGTATATTAATGTTAATATTATGATAATGGTGTATTTTTCTGTACTAGTTTTTACCAGTAATTTGTCTGAGTTGTGTAGTTCGGCTGTCATACAATTTTCAATTATGTATAGTCTCTAGCACTTAATAATTTTATGTTGAAGAAATTTTAATTAATACAATTATTCTGAATTTTCTAATTACATAGGAAGATAAATTCCCAAATGTAGTAATTAGCTTTATTTTTATTTTACAATCTTAATTAGTATCTATTAATTGCAAACATATCACAAATTTAAATTACAATACACTGTAAATTTTCAAGATAGGTATGTGTTTTTAATAGAAGGTATTATTGTAGCATTAACCTTATAATCGTAGATAAAGAAGGACGATTAAGATGAATTTAAACAGTATTTAAGGTTATGTCCATATACGGCTGTACAGATAATACATTTGAGAAATTAATTTTTATATGTTCATAAGTTATAACATATAACATTTAATTAATAACAGATAATTAGTAGACTATTAACTTGGGTTTCTTTGAATATCAAGGTAATTTAACAAACAAACTTAGGTAAAAGCAATATGAGGTTTAAATTCATTACATATGCTTACTTCTTACAGTTACATTTGTTGATTGTTGAGTATACCATTAATCCGTTAACTATGTCCATGTACTAGAATAAATGAGTGAATATTTTTTTGTAGGGGGATATTACGTTATGCTTTCTTCGCTTTGTTGAATCCACACGCAATGTTAACCTTTGAACTCAACACGCAACTGTCGGTATAAAGTATGAGCCACATTCTCAATAGTAATAATAATAATAATAATAATTACATATACCTGTCACATTTAATTATATTACCAAAAAAAAAATATATATATATTTTATTTAGTAGTATAGCAAAACATGACGAATTTTACCCAAAAGGACTTCTAGTGACCATTTTATTTATTTATTTTTAATTTTAGTAAATTTATTTTAATACAATTGTGGTGTGGTTATGCTGTTTAGTTTATTGACTATAAAAAATAATTTAATTGATCATAATTTTTTATGATCAAAAAAGAAATAAGTAGCAGGCTAACACATTGTAATGTTGTAGAAATTATTATTATTATAAAAGTAATGATTGAATGATATACAGTACACCATAAAAAGTACTGGTTGATAATAAGCCATAATAAGAAAATCACTTGTCAGTACATTATCGCCTATCGGTCAAGCACAATATATGCATTTTTGTTTGACTATTTATTAAAAATTGTATGCGGATAAATATGAACAAATGCGTATATTGTTGACCCCTATAATATAATTACTCATATTTCTTTTTATTAATAACTATTAGTATAGTTATTAAAAATTCATTAAGTATTAAGAAATAGTACGCCTACTGGCTACTAGCTAAATCCGTGGATAGATTGGTTAAAAATGGTAACCTAACGTAATGTGTTTTAGTGACTTATGATGAAAATAATTTATGCGTTGTTTTGGAGTTGTTCATAGTGTTAGGTTTCACCTTTGATCGTTTACTAAAATATAGTAAATAATTCTATAATATATGCGTGCTTACAATCATTAAAACATTCCTACTATGTAGAATAATTCATGGTTTCTTAACCGGTGGTCCATGGACTCCTAGGGTTACTAAGAATTCCTGTAGTATATTATGTGTTACAACTTCAGTGTTAACATCCCCTACTAACTACTTCATACAGTATTAAAATAAATGTATTAAGGGGCAACTATACAAGTTAATATGCCATCTGCCGTTACACAGATAATACTTGTTGGATAAAGGGTTTTATACAAAATGTGTATCATTGTTTACATAATACGTTTTATTCTTAAGATGACCGGTGTCGGGTATTCTGCAGGTATTGTAAATGTTATATGGTAGAATATAGATGAACACTTTTGTATGAACACAAATTACAGCACAACATACCAGCATATATAGATATGTTAAACTCAAAAAAAGTTAATAATTAGTGTTAACTAACGTTCATACAGTATACGTACATACGCACGCGGGTATACATAATACTTTCATCTTATTGTTTTAGCATGCGATAGATAATTTTTTAAATAATTAAATTTCTATACTTTTAAGTTCTATGTTTCATAAGATAAACATTGTCATACATGTATTAATTACGAATTATGGACAGGTTTATTTGGTTATTTAATTTTAATATTCAAAATAGTATGTCTTTAGGAAATCGATAAAATTGATCTATTCGCAAGTTTAATATTACATTGGTTTAGAGATTTACACTACAACATTTTATAATTTTTATGAGAGGTGATATTTGTCTTTGAATTGGCTAATCAGACATCCGTAGATGTTATTTTCTTATTATTTGCGAATTATGTTTATTTCTTTTGAATATTTTGAAATACAAAATATTATACATAATAAATATTATTTTATTCTATTTCTATACTAAACTCATAACTGGTCTCAGAAATAATGTTTATTGTAGGCCTTCGAAGCTTTTGACATTTTTGTAAAACTTCGGTGATGATTTAAAACTTGCTAGAAAAATGTTTAGGTCAGATTGGGATTAATCGAACAAATGTTTAATATATATTTTGTTTTTATTCCGAAGAAAGAAGAATATTTGTTGTACAATGTAATCAATCTAATACACCAACTATTTATATAAAACTTTTTTAATTACATATTATAATTCACCTTTATTGGAACAAAACTTAAGATGTTTTAAGTTTTTTTTCGACTAATCTGTCATCTAACTCAAACTTTTATTTATTAACTAGGTGTTTTTATCTCCCCTAAATTTTTTTAACAAATTATAAAAAAAATTTAATGTTAAAATATTATTTATAAAATACATTTTAGATAACTACTGTCTATTGACGTACAGACTACAGTTAACACGTCGAAAATACCTGGAAACTATTTTTACAACTTTGGAGGCGATTTAAATTTGTTATCCGGTTTGGCTTCAGCGAAAAAAAAACATACATATTTTGGTTCTTGTTATCTGTATTTTCTAATATAAAATGGCATGCGAGGACATAGTGTTTTTTGCAAATTGTACAGTTGTCGGAAGGGATTAGAGTTCGTCATATATAAAATATGTACTACCTCATCGATTTTATTATGCGGTAACCGAAGACTATACAAGTATAATCTTAACGGGTCCATAATCGTTAACTTACAGTTGTGTAATATGCAATAATTATTAGAAACCCTATTTATCATGTAAATATTAAAATATTATTATATCAATATTAACATGCTAAGAGATGAGATCACGTACTTTTGAAATTCAAAACACACATATAATATAGAACGTTTGCTGATTCATTGATCATTATTTTCTACTCTTTTGTGACTAGTTAGCAATAGGATAAAGAGACGAAAAATGATCTATTGTCTATGTTATATATGCCAAGCAAACAATGTATATTCATTTATAGCTATTGCATATTACGTCTAGTGCATGCAGCCTGCAGGCTATGTGTATAGGTAGATTATATACATTGTATTAGCCATTAGGGAGCACAAAACCTGTAGAGGTAAAACTGTACTTGCTATGAGTAACGAGTATACCGGGAGACATGACAAATATATCTGGCAATAAAAAAAATGTGAATTATAATTTATAACTAAGTAAATAAAATATGAGCCGCCAAGGCTCCATTGTTTTTCAGCAAAATATTCTCATGGAAGGTTTCAATTAATTTCAAACACGATTTTGGATTATATAATAACTAATAAGTGATTACAGTCTATGACAATACTATTAAGAGGACGCCACACCGGCTATTTAAGGAGTAAAGTATAGGCAATTTTTCGAAAAATCTTAATTTAGAGTTTGAACTATAATGCATACTTATTAATACAGTAATGAGGATACTTTGTTGATAGCCATTTTTTTTGTCAGACTATCACATTCAATTTTTTCCCTTCAAAACTGCTTTGAGTGAATTCATTTTTCTCAGGCTTCATATAATATAGTTAAGGAAAGAAATTCATACATATTATTTATGACAAAATTATCTGTGTTCCATCCGTATTTTTTCGATTTGCCTAATACAACCAACCCTATATCATTTTTAAAATAGTCAAAAAAGTATTTTTTTAGTTAATTAATTATTCATTAACTGGTTGAAATATTAAAAAAGGGCAATGGTAGAACAAAGACAATGTTGTTGTCTATATTATATAAAAATTTGGTTTCTTAGTTTTGATTATATCCTTCGTAAAATTAATCCGCGCAAGGCGGGGTTTTTTTAAGAAAATAACGGGTGGGTGACGGCCTCTTAACTAGAGATAAGAAAGATTACGTGTGGTTATTGCACCTGAAACGGGACATTTGTATGTTAATTGTTAACATAGTGTACATATTTGTTATAGTTGTAACTTAAATTAAATTTATATTAAATAGTTTAGTTATTACACGAGGTGATTAAAAAAACATTTCCCTTAATTGGAAAAATTGGAAAGTATAGTTTATTCGTTATATTAAACTTTCTTTTATTGTGTTGAAAAGTTGTGTTTTCATTTATTCGCTCACGCAATATGATCTTGACAAGCTATGTTCATTATTATTTATTGTTATCATAAAATTATTGAATATGTAACATATTTTAAGAGTTATTATTTATAATGCTTTGATAATAATATTATATATTTTATATTATTATTTTATACCTACGAGGTACTCTTTAGTCAGTATAAACCGATTAGCGGAATAGTTATTGTCTATGATACAAACAGGAAATGTATCAATAGCCTACATTCACACTAGGGTACACATCCCACAGAGGTTATGTCATGACCTTTGTGAATGGCAAACCTTTCTTGGGACTGACGTGAAAGTAGATTGATAATGCACACTTCTGTCAACAATACACTTTATAAAAAAAAACCAGTCCTCCAGGGCTTTAACATCACGTATCATTTGAGAGTATTACGATTGTCTTATTGTGAAGTTTTATAAGCGTATGAATCATAGCACCATTATTCGCGCAATTACTCATATTATGGTGGTATGTGTACAGTGTAACTAAACTGTATCATGTCATACTAATTTTATATTTATATAATCTTTTGCTTAGCTGCGTTTGTATACAAGCATGGATGAATACGCCTTAATAGTACAACCGTCGTCAATGGCGCCTAAACTATAGTTCAGTGTAGCAAAATTGTTACGCATACAATTTTTGTATAAGGGTTGGTGAGCCAAGTTGGCTGGGATTGGAGAATAAAGATCAATTGACGTTTATTCATTGGAAGAGTTTTGGGATTTTAGTTTTTACATAGTAATGTATTATTAAATCTAAATTACCAATACGCGTTGCAATGAAGTTACTTACCTTCATTACAGTTTCTAAATTTTTAATTCTGTTTAAAAAAAGTCAAAAATAAAATGTTTAATGTTAATTTTTATAGCTTTGTAAACCGTATTCCCCCCCTTAAAAGTGTATTTTTAAACACAAAAAAATTGCTAATAATATAAGTGCCATTATACCTGAAATATTGGATCGCCAAATGATAATAGCTTCTGAAACTGAAATTATCATAAATTAAGTTTTATACATTTTGCTGAGGATATTGTTGTAGTTAATCACCCCCATTGAGTTATAAACATTTTTATTTGTCAATCTGACTTAAATTTTAAGTTATGACTTATGGACAATAACTTATTTATTTCAAATGCAATAACTTTGTTATATGCAATTTTTTTTAAATTGTACAAAAAAATAGGTGGTAAAAACGGAAATTCATGGGTTTAAAATTATGAGTAATTTTTAATTAAAAACCCTGAGCAAATAAAAATGTAAAACTAACGGTGGAAAATTTATTTTAATCTTATGGTGTATGAATATATAAAATTGGAGTGAGTGGTAAGTTGTTCTTTGTGAAGTTTGTATGCGATATTAGAAAATATAGGTCGGGCGCCATTGAGGCTAACGTTTAAGTAAAACAACGTTGGCAAGTACCGCATATTTAAAAACATCAATATAATTATCTAGTACTACAAGTTATGAAGATTGATTCACTGGTTAATCACTATACTAGGTGTAACTGTTATATAAATAATGTCATCTTTTTTATTTATCGATTCAAAATTTTAATATCAGAAAAAGAAGATACGCAAGAATTTGGAAATTATAATAAGCTATTTTTAAATCCAATTTTAACACATACTCCGTGTGTTTTTATGACGATATTTTTATTTTATTATTGAGAAACTATTTCAGTGGTTTTGTATCGTTATTTGCTAAAACGCATCATATGAGTCGCCGAGTAGCCCGGCGGCAGTTAAGAAGTAAAAAGAAGAGGTAATCGCTATTTTATATTGAAAATAATTGCGTAAAAATGGGGATTGGAAAAAAAAACATTTAAGTGTATATGTATAAAAATCACGTTTCTTTAACCGTCACATTATCTTTAAACCGTGTATTGTGTAATAGATATCACACTTAGGCGCAATCTTACAAATGCAACACACACCATAAATCACAACAAAGATACTTAGATATAAACGCACAATTAAGTAATACATTTGAATCTTATGGGTACTAAGAGTTTTTAGTAGCAATATTAGATAAGTAAGAAGATAGGTTTAGTAGGAAATTATTGATATATGATAACAATAACTCGTCTAATATTATTATTATTTTAATTATTCGTTTTATTGTTAAACAGGTCGATTGTTCGAATTGTTTTCAATTCGTATAAAATATGTTTTAGCTTTTATATTTATGTATAGGCTTTATAATATGAAGACTACATATTGCCGCCCCGGTAGAACAATAACTCAACTGCAAAAATTTAAATTTTACAGAAAAACGAAAAAACCAAATTATTTTCACTAAAGTGTTAATAATTCATGAATGCACAATTAATTGTAAAATTGGGCCTTGGGTAATTATTAAAACTACGGTTACGTCGTTTTTCTACCTTATGCTTTATCTAAACACATTGAAGCATTTAGCCCATTTTACCAAATTTTGCAGTTAGGTCATTGTTCTACCAGGGCGGCGATATTATGTAGGTTATTTATTGAATGTACACCTTCCAAAATTTTTAATTTTTTAACAGAAGCTAAATTATTGTAAACACCATAAGATGAATGGCACAGATTTTATTCCTATTTTTATAACTTTATTTTTTTTAAGTTTATTTGGTATATTAGCAAACTTTAGTATTTTCTGTTGAAAATCACTATAATATAACAGTTAAAAATAAAAAATGAGGAATGAGTTATTTTCTCATTCCCTGTACTGTTCAGTATTCATATAAAATATAATATAAAACATATTACATTTTTTTTAGCAATGGGTTACGTCTATTATAGAGTATTTTAAATTAACAAACCTATGCACAATATAACGTAGTATATTTAAATAATTGAAATTTAAACGATAGTCCAGAATGTATGATGTCGAAACGGATCAGAGATCAACCAACGTAATAAAAAAAACGTGCCTAGCAGCCTGAGAAAAATGTTAGCTACCTTGTTTACTAGTTGTACTTTCATTCTCATTGCATCTTTGTTCAGTCTTGTTCGTTTTAGAACTATTCTGTTATTAAATGATACTAATTATAATATTTATATTAGTGCTTTGTATAATCTAGAAAAAACTTAAGCAACACTTGTAGTTATAAATAGTAAAGAAATAAAATAATAAAATATTTATTTTCAATAACACTATTGAAAATATAGGTTGAATTATATTTACATTTTAAGATGAGTTAATGTCAATGGGTATAACCCACTTCTTTTTTTTGGAATAAGTTGACACATATTATATTGTATTTCAAATGATTTGGTCAACAACTATTACAGTTAATTTATAACAAGAAGTGGTGTTATTTCAGTTTTTTAAAGAGAGAAAAATTCTGACCAAACTTTTTTTTAAAATGTTTTTATTATTATTTATATTACACAATCTATACAATTTTTATGTACAATAAGCGTAAGTGATGAAGTAGACAAATATAATTTGACTTGATTGCTTGATTGGAGAAGACACCCAGTGGTGGTACTCCGATCTGAGCGAACTTAAGTAAATTGTAACTTAAGTAAACTTAAGTAACTGTAATAAAACTGATCGCTACGCTCGCGAACTACAATTCCGTTTAAGTGTTAATAACCGACCGCTTCTTGAATGCTCATAAGTATAAGTTAGAAACATAGTTCAAACTTTTCTTAAAAACAAATTAAATTACAATTAATGGTGTGTTACAGGAGAAGTATGACAAGTTGGTAAATGGCACCCAGGTAGTGGAAAGCCACCTACATGAACGTCTCGAAGAGTATTTAAATGTAGAAATATCTTTCGGAACAATAAACGATATATCAGTCGCTAAGGGTTGGATGCGATCGACATTCTTATATATACGTGCTTGTCGGTCGCCGCAAAGCTACTCGATGGCGAGTAATCTCAAAATTCAAGAAGTAGAAAATCAACTACATGGTAAGTTTTTAATAAAATTTCCAAATGACACGAGTTAATTATTATTAAATTAATTCTATTAATTAACTAATTGATTATGTTTAGATTTATGTTTAACGGCTTTGAAGAAGTTATCCAACTATGGACTAATACATTTTTGTGATGGGCTGAACATAGGTTTGAAACAAGAAGGTGAAATAATGGCCAAGTATATGATAAGTTGCGAAACAATGAAGTCTTTTATGTCTGTAAGTTATTATAAAAACTACGTTGCATATTGTAGCAATACAACTGAAAATAACACAAAGGTTATTGAGTAATAAATAGTATTAAATAATACAATTTAATACTACAGTAGTAATCTGTACTGCATTAGGTATATTGCTTATTTTGGCCATAAATAATCTTTATAGTTAAAGGGAAATGAAGATTTGTGTGATTTGATTAAAATATTAATCAATACTAAAGAATTCGAAAGTATTAAACTAAGGAATGCAGATAAAGAAACGTTGAATATGTTGAATAAAAACAAAAACCATGATGCCAATAGAATTCGATTTCCAATTGAAGGAAGCATTAAGAGTAGAGAGAATAAAATTAATTGGTAAATGAAATTAAGTTAACCAAAACTTTTCAAAGAAATACGTTGTTGGTAAAAAAATAATGAAGTTTTGTTTGATTTGTTAAGTCTTCTACAAGCAACTTTGGGCACTTTGAATCTTACCAATATATCATTGATTCAAGATGTTAATCAAATATTTCTAATTTCCATCCGCTTGGCTAAAGGTAATTTTCGGTACCTACGATTAATTCTCTAATATTGTGGGCGTGTATACACACCAAACCAAAGCACAGGCGCTGTGCTGTATATAAATAGATTCAGTATAGAAAACTGACAAATGTACTTCATTCAATATTATACATTCTAAAAAAATAGACCAGCATGTTTTTAGTGAAAAGCAGTAAAAAGTTTGAACTGTTGTAATTATATTAAACGGTTTTTTAAATTTTTATTTTAGCAATAAAAGAAATCGAATGTAGGCACACTAGTTTTATAAGCGCTCGAGCTGCTTGTATTTTAGTTAAATGTTTAGTTGCAAAATTGTGGGAAAACTCAAACTACGTTGCTATGCAAATGCATGGAATTGGTCCTATTTATTCAGAATATTTAGTTCAAAATGAAATAACTTCTGTACAATCTATATTAAGCGCAGACCCTAGAAGTATAGAACGTGTGAGTACAACTTTCATGTATGCAATATTAATTTTTGTATTTATACATATGTATGTATATGGTGTCATTAAAATTACTATTTTTTCAAATGGTTAATAGCTGTAAAAGGTGTGATTATGGTATAACATAGTCATGTCCTTCAAACAATATTTTACTATCCTTGACTGTTGATCCATAGGTTAAAACCCTACACAAATGAGGAATGATATGTTCATTTAAGAAATATTTTAATTTTAAATTAAACAGACGTTCCCGGTACTTAAATATCATAAAGTATACATATAATAAAATATTATTTTAACTGCACAAACACGCGCTCATTATTTTTATGGTATAAAATTATTCTTATAAAAAATTAATTAAATTAAACTTTTGTTTTAATACGGTTAGGCTATAGAAACTAGGAGTAGGATTTACAAAAAAATATAAGTATTTTATAAAAAAAACCCTGTCGCAAGACAAAAAGAGAGAGAGTCTATAGACACTGATGAATACACTATAAGTATAGTTTAGTTGAAAGTTTGTGTGGAAAAGAATAAGTACAAGGTGTTGAATAAACGAACTCTTGAACTTAAACCTGGGAAGACAGACGCGACAACCGAATACTCTTGACTGATGACACTTGGTGCGTTGAAGTCGACTGACCAAAAAGCATAGAAATGTATTATTTTATTTTGATTTAACTGTTTAGTCATCAGTCTCGAGTAGCCGGAAGCACTGCCCGTATTTTTGTTTTAATATCTCGTATATTGATGACGTGTTCATCATATAACAACCCCTACCATCAAATTGAATTAGATATGTTTTTTATTAAGTATAATATTGATTATCGAAAAAAGTGGTTCGATGTGATTGTGAAAAATATGAGGACTTTTGGTGTATGCGTAGGTTCATCATGTATCATGTGGGATATCGTGTCTAGCGAAGGTTTAGGACAAGGGTGGCCGAAGACGAAGGAGAAGAAGATTGATTGTTGAACGTTAAGACTTAAGACTATAATTGTTTATAAAATCATATCAGCCACTAATTGAGATATTTATTATATTTATTGTTTTGAATGTATTCTAAATTATTAACTAAATAAATAAATATATATCAGTAAAATATAATATAATATAACAATTTAAATTCAGATTTTAGGACGCAAACCTCCATTTGGTAATCGTATTCAAGAATTTTTTAGACAGATTCCAAGGTATAAAATAAGGTTATCGTACAATAAAAGTTCAATCTGCGTGAATTTAGAGATCACTCTTATAAATTCTGAAGATGTAGATAAAAAATCTCGCCATGCAGTTACTGTATTAGTTGGCGATTCAAAAAATTGCCTCTTAAAAATCCTTTATTTACGGTTAGTTAACAAATCAGTATTGTTTTGTTTTGTAGAAGGTATTGTGTTTTATTATGTCTGTATAGATTGTATTCAGTATGACTATACTTGTATAATAATATACCTAATCTATCAATTTATCATTTATGGAGAATGTGGAGCCTCATTGCTTCGTACAATTTTTCGTCTGTACTTGTTGAGTACAAATTATACTGACGGTCTAAAAAATAAATAATTTACTAAAAAAACTTATAAGAATATTATTTTTTTATATCTAACTGAATGCAATCCATACACCATTTACATGACTTTTAGATGCGGCCTGTAAAGTATTATTTAAATATTATTTGTTAAAATAATTGCCTTTTTTCTTAGAAATGAAGATTTTTTAAATGGCTACAAGACTATACGCACTTCAATATCACTGAACATTTCAAATATATGTATGGGAAATTTAAATTACTCTATTGCTGCTTGTGTTATAAGTGAAAAATGGGGTAAAGTCCTTAATATAATCATATATTAATTGTGTTATACATTTGAATATATCTATATTCTTTGTCTTTACACTCCTAACTAAATGGGTTCGGCCACCCTAGTCCAACACCTTCATAGAGCTCGATCTTCTATATCTCGTGCAACTACCCTAGCTATCCTCATATCTTCGGTCTTCCTCTTCATCTCTTCCCCATACATTCATCTTTATAACACGGTGTTATAAAGATACATTTATAACAACCAGGTGTTATTAACACCTCTCACAGTCTTTGCCTCATCTCTTCTCATAACATGACTGAACCGTCTCAACCTATTCTCTTTCATTTTCCTTGATGCAACTCCTAGACTCCCCACTCATCCATCTTAGAATTCTCATCTCCGCTACACTCATCTTTGCTACTACAGAAATTTGAATATATACATTTACATAAAGTTTAATTAATAACTGATTTTTTTCAGTGTTTAATATATTGTGATCTAAAATTCCAAAAATTTTTATGTTCCTACTACCCGCTCCCAAACTAATTATTTTTATATCAACTTTTGAAACTTAAATGGTAACGCATACATTTCATTAACTTTTTAAATTGAGAACAACGTACTTAAAATGATGACTGGTCGAAAACCAATTTTGGATAATTATTTTTGAAGTTATTGAAGTTTTAAATTTAGGGTAGAAGGAAAGGTGGAGTGTATTATTATTTTAATCTGCGCGTACTTCCCCTGCCGTCCTAACTTTTAAACTCTTATAACTTTAAAAATAGTTGTTTAAAACTGGTTATCGACTAGAGGTACCTAGTCAACATTTTTAGTAAAATATTCTTAATATAAAGTTAATAAAATAAATACGTTACCATTGTGAAAAAACACTATGAAAAAAAAATTAAATTTCTTATTGAACCCTATGAGATATTGAGTGGTTAACGATAAAATGATCACCTGTATATGAATGAAAAATTGAAAAATGTGATGTATGACAGAATATAACTGTTTTAGCTTTTATTTTTATTATTTGTCAGAAATTCAATTATCGTATATCTATTTTGTAATTTAATAACATATTTAATGACTATTGTAGTTGGAAATGATATTGAAGTAATATTACCCATTATGAATACCAGCGAGCATACTAAAGAGACAATAAGTGGCGAAAATGTTTTTATCGCTGTACTTCCGTCATCAGATATAGTGAGTAAGATATAGTGATAAATTTTCTATTTCTGTACATTTTTTGTTAATTTATATTGTAGACCGAAAAATCAAATAAGAGAAAAAATAGCAAAGAAAATATCATTAACGAACGGATAATACCTTTAAGTTCTGAAAATGATAATTCTCAACTTGTAAACGAAGAAATCGATAATCAAAATACAAAAAATGGTTTAGACGAACAAAAAATAAAGTATTCATTAGTGAATTTCAATGTTGCTCTTAAAGATAACGAAGAAAAATCTGCCAAGTGGAAAGTAGAAAATAACAATAAAGATAATGTTAGAAACGAGCAGTCTTTTTTCACTCTTAAAAAAGGTAACTATATTAAAATATAAACATTTTACTTTTTACTAATTTAGTTATATTTTTATCATATAGCCTTAACACATAAAATTTATTCAAGTGATACTGGTGGATTGGTTCAAGATAATAACTTAGATGAGTAAGAAACGTTATTCGTACATAATTTGTACTCGATAATCAAACTTTTTCAACCGCACTAATACATTTTAAGAATGTATATTGGTAACATATTACTAATTACATGTAGTCATGTAGAAATCAAATGCATTTTAGGTTTTTCAAAGATGACCCTTTGGATTATTTATTCTTGGGCGTAGACGACCAAAGTAATGCTAGTAACGAAAAAATGTACTCGGGTATATAATCAAATTAAAATTTAACATTTTCTTTAGACATACGTGTATTTAGTATTTACAACGATAAAATTCAAATTTTAGATAAAATCCAACATTTTTCCAATGAAAATAATATAAAGCGTGCCACCTTTGATCCTGTGTAAGTATTCTTTTTATACTTTTACTTATACTTTTTTTTATAAATTTAAATGACCTACAAAAATTGTTCGGAAAAACAAATATGATTTATCTAATTTATGGTACTAGTTATTATCAGAACTGGTTATAAAAAAACAATACTATATTTCTCAAGTATTTAAAATGCATAACCAATGCCGGATTAGTATAACTTTTGTTATTTGCTGTAAAGTAATTTTTTATTTAATTGCCTACCTATGTTTTTAAAAAATTGTTATGATTTTGTTTCATTTAAACGCATGGCGTGTCTATGGTCTATGTATAAACATTAAAACCTTTAAATCGCTCTTATATATTCGATTTTTTAAAACATTTTGAATTAATTTCGGCATCTAGAATTAGAGCGTATTCGAAAATAGGGGCGGAGGGGAGGCAATATTTTCAGTTAATGCGCTCCATGAATTAAAAGTTGTTTTTATAGTACAAGCGATTTGGTACAATATTTTTCGTGTTATTGATTTATTTTCAACGGTTGTAGAATTAACTGTCGACGAAATAATACTCAAGAAAATATTGTAAATTATGAAACAAAGTATTCGACGCTTGAAAACTTCTCGCAGGAACTAAATGAGAGCTTGGACACCGATTCGAATAGATAGTGAGTTATATATTTAAGTGTTATACACATAATAGAAGGGTACTTAATATAGTGATTTAAATATTTTTATAGTATCACACCATCCAATAAATTGAATTTAAATCCATTTTCATTTACGAAAAGCACAGATAAAACTGAAATAGAACAAAATCCTCAAATAAGCAACACGTTGTGCAAATTATCTATTGATTTAAATAAACCAGAAAAAATTAATAATGGTAGGTAATAATAATTAATAGGTATGTATATAATACTTTTCAAGATATTATACATTTATGAACTTGTTGTTTAAAAAAAAGTTTATTATGTATTGCAGTTGAAGTATGGTCTTTTAATTATGTTTTTCATAAAAAAAAAAGTTGTCTCAACGATTATAATTAATAATCGTTTTTAATATTGTACAAAATATTAAATATGGGTAGTTCACTTGACGTCTTTTCGGAGGTGTGGGCGTTGTAGAACACATTAGTGTGTTTAGTTATTGGACCTCGGGCGCTGACAGTGCTTAAAAAGACGCCACACTGGCCATTTCTAAGGAGTAAAGTATAGGCAATTTTTCGAAAAATCTTAATTTAGAGTTTGAACTATAATGCATGCTTATTAATACAGTAATGAGGATACTTTGTTGATAGCCATTTTTTTTGTCAGACTATCACAGTCATTTCTATAGGATAAATTACAATTTTTTCCCTTCAAAACTGCTCTGCGTGAATTAATTTTTCTCAGGCTTCATATAAAGTTAAGGAAATAAATTCATACATATTATTTATGACAAAATGATCTGTGTTCCATCATCTGTATTTTTTCGATATACCTAATACAACCAACGCTATATCATTTTTTAAAAAGTCAAAAAGTCCTTTCTTAATTAATTAATTATTCATTAACTGGTTGAAATATTAAAAAAAGGGCGATGGTAGTACACAGACAATGTTGTTGTCTATATTATGTAAAAATGTGGTTTCTTATTATAGCCTTTGTAAAATTAATCCGCGCAAGGCGGGCTTTTTGAAGAAAATTTAAGTGACAACGGTCTACAATGGCGCCAATTTACACGTCTCCGAAAAATCTACCAATGAGTTACTACTTACTCTATAATATTGACAAGCAATAGTTTATTTATGCTGGGTAACAGAAAACTATTGATTCCTGACACCCTTATTTAAGCACTGTGATTGGTCCAAACACGGGTTATGGAACTAATACAATTTTGTGCAGCCTATTATTAATATTTTAAATACTCGATAAACAAATTTGGAAATAGAATATTATATTTTGACGCAGGGGTTCCTAAACTTAACTTAACAAAGGGAGGCATTGTATGTCAACTTATAATAAAACTTTTTTCGTGGTCGAGAACAAAATTTAAATATAAAAAATAATAAAGTGTTAAATTTTAAATAATTTTTAACCTATTTAATTTTTAGTATGCATGAGAGGCGTGAAAAATGTTTTCTATTTTTAGGAAGACTTGAATAAAAAAATATGGGAAGAATAGCAATTTCGCAAAATCTAGTTTATTTGATATTCCGTTTTTTTCTTAGGTCATTAATACTTTTAAGGTGCTTCTATTTGCAGTACTAAGTATGCTGTATATTATACCGGGAGTTTAATAATTAAAAATATTTGTTGTGTGTTCTTGTTATAATTCGAACCTACATTAACAGGGGTAGACTGAGATAAAATATAAGCCCGGGCGATTATACAATTAGGCCTACTAATTACATAAAATCTGGCCTCCTCGGTCAGAATACTTAGAAGCAATCGATTGGTGAGGTGGCACAAAATATTGACAGTCCTGTGGGCGATTACTCATGCATCTATTGTACCTGTCTAAACTTTACACTAGAGAGTAGAGTTCTAAATGATCATTATTTTGAGAAATCTTCAGGGAGTCTTTTATAATGAATTTTAAATATATATGTATTGTAAAAAATAGTTAAATAAGAACAAACTTTGTTTTTGGTTTTAAAAAGGTTCTACAAATATTTTTTGCAATACCGAAAAACCAAAACCAGAGTTCAACGACGATTCTTTAAATAAACACATCTCAGTACCTCATGAATTACAAGGTTCTTACAATATAAATACCAGATATTAAACGATTTTTATAATTCTTTTTTTTAACTATTGATTAATTTTTTTTTATTTATTTGAAATAGTTGAATACGATGTGTACCACAAGGAGCAAAACGATGTACTGAAAATGTAAAGATGAATAAAATTTACATTTAAAATTGTATTTAATAAGTATTTAATTTGTTCAGGCAACCCGTTACACCGTTAGAAACTAAAATACCGAAAGAACTATATTTAAAAAATGTTATTTACAATCTAATGAATAAAAAAGTTGGCGAAACGAGATTATCAAAAGACAACTTTTTTTTACAACCATTAAGGTAGGTATTCTATGTCTATATTACAAATTAATTGGCTACCTACTTCACATCGTAAAATGCATGCAATAATTGACATAAACGTGTTATGTATAAATCTAGTTAATTACATTACTTAATTGCTAAAATAAACAAAATAATATGTTAGTATTGCGGTAGTATCAGTACAATTCTTATAGACGAATCTAATTCACCTATGTTGTTTTGTTAGCGTGTCTTTTGCAATTTACTAGATAAATTTTTGGTATTACCTATGACCTAACCTAACTAGTTAACGTAACGCAGTAGTTTGTTCAGAATATGCATTTATTAATAGTAATTTCAAAAAATATATTTTTAAGTTAACACATTTCTGAAAATTGTATGATGTACGTCGTACGTTAATTATGCATATTTATTAAAAATAAATAAGTATTCCTAAAATATAGGATTTAACCTAATCTTTAACCTTTAGTAACTTAAAAAGTAATTATCCAAATCTGGTTGTAGACCAGTCAAAATTTTCAGCAAATTATTCTTAATAAAATAGCTATCTTAAATTTAATAAAACTAAAGTAATACAATTTTTTTAAAAAAAAGTAAAATAGTAAGAGTAATAAAAACGTGCTTATAGCGCAAATGAGTATAACTTAATTTTAAAAAAATATATAAAAAATATTCACTAGAATAAGAGTTAATTAATTTGTCTTATACTTGTAGGATACCCTGTTAGCAGTATTTATTTTTATTAGTTTTTATGTTAGTCCATAATTATTTTTTTTTGCAGGATGTCAAATTCTTTAAGAAACGAATTATATAAGCGAAAAATATCAGACATTGTTTCGACAACATTTTCACAATTGAATTGTAAGAAAAGAAAAGAAACAGATAAGTTTTCTCAGCCTTTACCGACTACGTCTACTAGAAGTTTGTCTCAACGTATTAATGCTAATTTAGAAGCGGTAGAATTTTATGGTTGTTCATTAAAACATTCGCCTAGTACTTCCAAGTATGACGAGCGCAAAACAGCTCCTCTCACAGTGCCTTATAGTTTGTTAACGAGAGTTACTGAAAACAGCTCACAATCTTGTGTAAGATCTCGGAGCAGACCGTTTAAACGTTTGGGGACAGGACTTAAGTTAAATGTAAAATCGCCCAACGTATCTTTTTCGACACCGGCTTGTCGAATAATTTCTGACTGCCAGAATGTCAATCTTAAGCGATTGAATAAAAGTGATTTGCACCAGACAATGTTTGATGACCATTCAGTTGGAACAACCGAAACTTCTGAACATAAGACTATTTTCGAAAATTCAACAACTACACTATCCAATCAGCTTGCATTTCCTTCTGATGTCGACAAAAAATCAGTAGTACCGTTGGCAACAGATAATACCAAAAAATCGACCCTTGACAAGTATTTTAAACGAACAAAATGTATCAAAAAGTTGACTGATTTAAAATTAAATGACGATTCTGGATGAAACACAAAAGCTTAAATAGGCAAGTCGGATACGACCCATGTGTTTTAGGTAAAAATAAGTATAACTATTATTTTATTTATGACAATTCAAATAAGACGCAATAGAGCTAGAGTTTAAGGAGAGCAAGTGGTAAATAGTTACTGAGTGTGATACTAACGTATCTAGTCATAAATGTTAATAGAAGAATAATTGGAGATGTGGCAAGTAGTCAGTAGAATAAATTGAAGTTGGGGAGCTAAAATAAGACAGCAATATAATATTTAGATTGCAAAGAAAAGTTGAAGCGAGTCCAGCGATGTTGAATATAAGCTCCATTGCACTGTATTACCAAGATATTTTAATAGCTAATACTTTTATTAATTTGTGTGACTATATGTTCAATATTTGTTTTCTTTTTAACGTATAAATGACAATTTTGTTTCAGATAAGACTAGTGGTTCAATTAACACTGTCAACTAATTATCTTTGACACATTGACGTTATCAAATTAAAAAAAAACAATTTTTTTGTATGTAAAGAAAAGTTAAAAACATCTAATTTTTTAAATAAGTTATTTTTAAGTGTGGTACAAAAAACGAATTTCAATTTACTAGAAGATAGTTTTTTAAATTTTATTTTCACTTTTAACTTATTCATTTTAGTGTTATGATAAAAATAAAAAAACTGTAGAATATTTAACCATACTGGAGCTGTGATTGTTTTTTTTTTGTTATGAGATATTTTCCAGTTAGAATAATGATAAGGCTCAATAAATCATATAAGATCATTAAATAGATTTCCTTACTATTCATTTTTATTTTTCACAATCATTCAATATTTGTTTTAATGATTTTTTCATTTCAAGATAACCACTGTATGGAGCAAATGAATTCTCTACCCAACAGTCACAATTTTTATTACTTCACATATATAACTTAGGGCTAATAACAAATTCTCTCCAGATGTTGTTTTTTTTTATTAATATTGTATTATATACAATTTATGTTCACAATAAAATTGGCTGTTAGGAGTCGGACGTATTTTTCATTATTTCAGTGCCCAAATAGAAAAAAATAATTGAGCCCAATTGTAATTTTTGCACATAAATTAAATGTGAAACAAAAACAACATAAATAAGAAGGGGAGTTAAAATTAAAAAATATTTTAACATGTAATACAGGAAACTAAAAAAAAAATTGTATACATTTTAGTAAAAATAATAAATTGCAAATATTCATATAATTGTTGTACTACAAAGCACTGATAATTAAATAAAATATTATAAATCACACTCACCATGTTTATGATAAAAATTCATTTACTTAAATATTTATAAAGCAATTTAGTAAAAAAAGTTATTAATATGTCATTTAATAAACTTAAAATATTGAGTCCGACCCGTACATATTTCTTAAAAAACTAATATTTTATGTTAACTATATATTGATTGAACAGATAGTGTGGAGCATCATTGTAATAACATTTTAAAATCTCCACAAAATTAAATGACAATATTAAGTGCGAGTTATTTCTAAATTTTACAAAAGATAATTTACAATTTCAAAAAACTCACATAGGTAGGTACAGGTATACTATTTACAAATGATTTAAATGTGCACATTTTCATTTCATTAATATTGTTTAAATCGTTTGTGTTGTACAATAAAATATATAACATTGGGTAATTAAAGCGTTTTTATGACAATATTTTCATTTTTAAATGATATACAATTAAATCACAAATAAACAAAATTGTTAAATCATACAATTTTAAAACCATGTTGCAGTAAGTAAATAAAATGATTCATAACTTTAAAAAAATAATTTCCGAATAATTAACTTTACTTAGGTAATAATCCCTTTTGTCATGTAAAAAAAAAGGGAAAAATATATAAAATGGAAAATACAAATTGGGCATGTGTTTTTATCTTAAAATGAAAAAAAAAGCATTTGGTTCACACAATAATATGATAAAAGAGAGAGAAATTAAAGTAATATTTACAATTGTATTTTATTTAGTTGTCAATTCTCGATTTCATTGCGTCATCATTCAGTCTCGGTCTTGGGAGTGCATTTTGAGATCCGGTTATCACGTTTAGAGAAACAAGGCAGTCTGCAGCGATTAAACATCACTATAAATAAAAACCCACATGTCAAGTTATTTTTTTTAAAAATTAAACTGATTTTTGTGTTTGGAAGCTATACATCAAATACTAAACCCGATAAAGTATATATTTATAAAGGAATAAGTTAATTTGTATAATACAAGAACATAGATCAGTCCAGTTTAAACTGTCGCAACCAGTTTGCAATAATAAATCAGTAAAAAAAGCCAAATTCAGTTATGTTTTATTGAGTAGGCATAAACCCAACAAAACTTTATAAAACTCATGTTGTATTATATGTTGTTAAAACTTTTGTGTCAATTCTTATTTTTAATACCTAAAATAATTAAAATTTTCTTTTTACATAAGATCTTCAATGTAAATGTTGAACACATTTATATATACAATGAACATTTTTTGTAAAACTAGAGTATTACTGAATCAATCTATGTTATAGTTTTAATACATTTTTAATAATAATAGTATTTTCTAAACAATTTTTAATTAAAACCGTGAGTGCAAATGATTAGTATTGCAATATTTTTCAACATGCTTAGAATACTGTAGACTAGTACCGGTTAGTTGAGGTGTAGTTAATTTGTGGATCAGAACTCAGAAGTGTCAGATGTTTCTCAGTCTTACCTCGAGAAACTTTTAAATGCCGCAGACTGGGGATTTATGCACAACGGCACACGATGGCTACTCAATTGGTCGCCAATGAATTTGTGAAGTTCTTCTATAGAATCATCGGATAAAACAATATGATAAATATATATATATATTAACTCATAATTCATATTTTTATTGAAATTTACCTTTGACTTGTTGCACATTTGATAATTTCTTTTCCCATTTATCATCAAATGTTTGCGGAGCGACCGGTTCATAATCCATACAAAAGTGTCTGAGGCCAGTTAAAGGTACTGTAAAACAACACTTGCACATGCAACTATGATACCTCAGGCGGCCTTCGTCAATGTATGGATGGACTAACGCATCCATTACTGACATCCGTTTATCCTAAAAAACAATTATTTTTCCTTAATATAATTTTAAATAAATTATTAACATTTCTAGTATTAATGAAAAATATTTACTGGATTGAAAACTAGCATTTGAGAAATTAAATGTACTGCTTCATGGGTCATTAATGAAGATAGGGAATACAGTAGGGACATAGAAGGTTTCTTCATGCGTCGTATGAGCATATGCGAACGAGCCGCGGGACATGCATGGGCCATGTCTTCCATTGTTGGTGTTCCCAATAAGTCTGTTATCAACTCGAGCTATAATAAAAACACAAAAATCATAAATATATATTATCTATCACAGTACTAAAAATAGTATAGTAACTTAGAAGGAAGACGTTCTAAGAAATGATACCTTGTAAGTATAATTTTCAAAAAAATTGTATGCTGTATAAATTGGTAAGTGTGATTATTTTATCTTTAATATAAACCGAAACAGAACCCTCTTTTAAAATAGTTAGATGCTGAAACCTCCTTACGGGCCTATATTCTACCGAACATTAAGGTCCTCTGTAGTATTTAGCAAGATCTTCTCCACCTATGTAGTTTTTTTTGTTATCTTATAATACAGTAATGATTTTATATATCAGATGTTTTTACTAAAAATAACTTAATATAGAAAAATATACCCAGTTCAGTGTAGGGACTTAGGCCATACAATTCTCTAATAAGTACTAAAGAGTTTTTTGTTGTAAATTTATCTTTGAGTTTAAAAACTAACTTGTTGGACCGTATCTTGGCCCTGGAACAATATTCGCCTAGTAACAAGTTCTGCAAATATACACCCGACGCTCCAGACATCTATTGCGGCAGTGTAGTGTTTGGCACCCATTAGGATTTCTGGTGCTCTGTAGTACTGTGTTACTACTTCTTGGGTCATGTGTTTTGTTTCGTCTGGTTCTTCTACTCTGGCCAGACCAAAATCGCATATCTGAAAAAATTTTCAAACAAATTATATTATTAGTACAGGTATCAGGTAAACAAAAATACTCATTGAAATGTGTTCCCGTACTTTTAATATGCAATTACTGTTTACAAGTAAATTGCCTGGCTTGATGTCTCTGTGCAATATCCGTGCCGAATGCAGATATTTAAGACCTCGGAGGATCTGGTAGAGGAAAACTTTGATGTGGTCCGGCGAAAGTTGCTGCGGCGACACGATTATTTTATGCAAGTCGCTCTGCATCAATTCGGTTATCACGTATCTATAAAGGCTACGGTTAAGGAAAATATTCGTTGCACGACAGTAATCATTTTTTTTTATTAAACTTTAACAATTCAAATCTACAACAAGCCGACCACCCTCCATGTACAGCATCGCATAGATTAGGTATTATTGAAACGTTTTATTTTGACATGCAAAACAAAGTATAGTAAAAGGGAAACTCGACTAATAAATCGTATTTTTAGAATGGTGGATAGGGATGCCTTTATTGCACATATGTTCAACGCATCTCTTTTAACGTTTAAAAATAAATAACACAACCAATGTAATAAAATAATATTTAAATGGAATTTATACATTATTTTGTATAAACAATAATTCAAATAATTTTTGTAACCAGTGTTATTGAGTTTTTCACGCATCTGCATACATGCCGCAGCAACACACGAAGTTAAATGTTTGATTGCGTTTATGACTTCTAACTTGTCTAGTGTAAAAGTATCCAGTATCAATAATTAATTATCAAGGTTCTAGTTTTTGTTGGTCGATGCCTATTCATATGTAACATGCTTCGAGTGTGCTACACTAATAATATCAGTGTCCTCTGCAGCCGCCACTCGGTTAATACTTAATTACGGGCAAAAAAAACATGGCTACTTATACTGTTGCGCACACGTTTTACGATGTACTTGTTTAAGAGGAAAGTAATACAAACACATCAATTTGTTATTGAAGTTTTTTTTACAAGCAAAATATATCGATTAAATATTTTTCATTGCCCATTGGCAGCAAAAGAACAATAGAAACCGCACGTACCCTTGGAGAAGACGGCTATCGTTATTATACAACTGCAGTAAATTACGAATATATATTATTTAGATTTGACTCTGTGTATATTTGTTTGCGGCATCACTGCCAATGGACGTTTTTCGGTAGACTTTAACAGAATATTATACGCTACGAAAAATAAATATCCGAATAATACAGTTGTATTGTTTCAATATCGACGTGAAAAAGATAGGCGTGAACCCGGGTGCAATAGTATGACATAATTTTAGATAATCGACACAGATAAACACATTCATAAAAGTCAATGATTTGATGATGAAAATAACCGAAAAAGATAATTAAAAATAATACATAGCAACGACTAATAGACGGGACAAAATATGTATTGTTGATATTAAATTTCAAACTAACCGAATTATTAAAAATTCATTAAGCGGAAAAGTGTTTATGAGAGTTTATATTTATTTTTATTTTTACCGTTTGGATATTATAATTACAACGATTATATTCCAAGACTCGGGTCATTATAATATAAGATAATAATGAAACAAAAAGAAACTACTTTGATAATTTAAATATTTAATTTTTTTTGTTTACACATTCATTTTTGTTTTAATGTTAAGCACTTGTACAATAAAAACGTCTAGAATCCTTAAATTAATACTATATATTGATATACATATGATATTAAATTTAACAAGTGAATTCATTGTCGACAAACAGCTGCGAGTACAACTGCTTAAACTGTAGGTACACATAGCGTATACAATTTTAGTGAACATATTACCTACAGCATTATAATCGGTATCCGTGGTTATAAGAGAATCCCATTTAAGAAATCCCAAGCTGCGTTTCTCAAGTACGTTGAGTATTTATCAAATATTTTTTTGGGGGTATTTAAGGTTCACAATAAAGATATTTGAGAAAAAAATACAAGACCGTAGGTCATAGGTACGAAACAAAAAGAGCCTTACTCGTGACCTTATTGCAGACGGGTATTTTGTGTAGGTACCTGCTCTTCTCTGTCGACTACCAAACTAAAAAACTACCTCTGGCACCGTTTTCATCAACCAAAAATGTCTTTTCATAGTTTTGTGTACCTACATACCATTTTTCAGCTGTGCGTTATTAACTAAGGTTTTTGTCAAACGCGCACACTCGGGATACCCCCTGGGAATGATTGTTGCCTATACAACTTTCAAGGGGAATACAAGTGGCTTGATGGCGTCTAAAAGCGGTTGGCAATAACAAAACGAACGTTGGTCGAAAGGAAAATTCGAGAAAATTTACGCAATACTCTTTATTTTTATTCGAAAACTTAAACATATTACCATCGTTCATCGTTTATATATATATACTTGCAAGTACTATTGGAACAGTATTGATATTTAAATAAAGTTTTTTTTGTTTATGAGTTAGGTATAAACTTTTGTAATAATATGGGTGTAGAGCGGGTTGGTTAAATATTACGTAACCGCCTTCGTATTTCCGACCTCGGATTACACTAGAAATCATTAATATTTGACCGAATTCACAATCCAAACGAGTTGGGTAATATTTTGATAAAAACATAAGTAAGTAAACATTAAAAGTTGATATAGTAAAATATTCTTTTTTAAAAGAAATAAAAACTAAATCAATTTTATTAAATTTTTTTTTAAATCTAGGGATTTCCTCTATGTTATTATGCATTCAATATGAAATGAAGCCGAATTTGTTAACACAAGTCGTGTAAACTCAAATGAAATTTCGAGATCATGACAATAAAGCCGCCTAAAGGGTGAATATGCCCTTGGTGTATAGGGTATACAGGGTCGCCGAGGGAAAAAGGGAGTGAAACGTTCAGACGCCACACTGCCGCCGACTGGGAAAAAGTTTTGGTCGCCACCCGCCCCGGTCGCTACATTACACACCAGAGGTTCGAGCTCCACGATATTCTATGCCAACGAGAAGGGACGCCAAATTAATAACACTGTTGTACAGCAGAGAACTATTCCGGGTAACTCTAACTCTTATTCGGTACCGCCAACAATGCTGCGATTATTCGTCGCCACCCCTGCACAGTACACGAGCACACATGCTGAAGGATCTCAAACTGCTGCTTAGTGCACGTGTGTTCTCTGTAATAGTTCATTCTCCCCCTAAAAACCGGTCTCTCGCTAAAAATATATCCACCGATCGATAATCTATACATGTTATTATTTATATATACCTACGTACCAAGAGGGAGGGTGGAGGGGATGGAAGAGCAAAAATAAGGATGACTGGTGTCTGGTGCAGTAAAAGGGTGACACACTGACAATACAGCATAGAAATATTATCGACCAGCAAAAGATAATACAACGTAGATCCCCCTTCCACAATAGCAAATTCTATAACAATACAATAAAGAGGCACATCGACAGCTATAATTTAGATTCTAAGCGTAGCGAGAAAGCTACTATTGGGTTTACAATGATAATAATACGTTTTTGTTATTATTTTTTGAAATCCTATCTCTTTAGAATTCTCGGACAGATTTCTTCGATAGATAAATCTAGTGTTTTCATTTAATTATTATTTGTATGAGGTATTGAAAGTTAAAAATGTCCTCCCGGCGCTCCTAAAAATACGGCAAGTAAACTCATTATTTACTTGTTTTTAAACTATACTCCCGGGCTATTTTAAACGTTAATTTTTACATTCTTTGTTTCCACCACAAAACAGACGACGACAGAGCCGAAAAGGGACATTAAAAACATTATAATATTAAAAAAAAAGTCGACAATATTTTACTTTTAGGATCTTAATTCACTAGTTTTTGTGCTAAATTAAAACTTAAAAGTATTGTCTATCTCCCCCCACCCTTTTTTTTGAGAATCAAAATATCGATACAAGTTTGGCTAAAATAAAAGGTTCATTATATTATAAGGTTATTATGTTATATAGCCTTCGACGTTAAAGACATTAATCAGTCTTAGGCAGCGCGATAAATCAGAATTTACCATTATTCTGCAGTAACTATTTGATTAAAAATAACTTTTTTAAAAACATACTTTTCTAAAAAAAAGTGAACTAAAAAGTAAAAAATAATTTTACTACAAGAACAATTTACCGAGCAATTGTAGCACATTTTTTTTAAAAAGTCAACTACTTTGAAAACAACCGAAAATTACTACAGTTTTAAATAATGTTTAACATCTTTAATTTTCGACTAAAAAGAAAGCGTGGGCCCTATTCAACCAAGTCAAAATTCATCGAGTCAAGTATTATGAAATGTATGTCACATACTAAAATTGAACCAAATTTAAATTATAAAATACTTACAATATAAAAAAATATCTGATAAATTTATTAGCGACTTCGTTGAATAGGGCCTACGCTTTTTCTTTTAGTAAAAATAAAGATGTTTAACATTATGTTTTCGGTTGTTTTCAAATTGAAATTAAAAAAAAATGTGCTACAATTAATTGGTAAATGGTTTTTATAGTAAAATTATTTTTTACTTTTTTACTATTTTTTAGAAAAGCATGTTTTTAAAAAGTTTTTTTAAATTTATTTATTTTATTTTCTACTTTTTAGTTCTATTAAAGGTACTTAATAATTGTGAATAGATTACTAAATTCAATTTAGAAGATTTAAATAAACATGAAATTTTTGTGATATGACCCTGTGTACGGCGACCTGGATGCCAGAGTCCCAATATTAGTACAGGATATTGTATTGTGATCCGAGATGAGTGTCTGTGCCAAGTTTTAGCCCTCTACGACATCGGGAAGTGGGTTAAATTAATTTTGCAAGATTTGAAAAATACCCGTACGTACGTGTTAGCGAGTTAAAGAAAAGCATATTGTAATAAAAATTATTAATTGACGTTTGACTGTCGGCCGTTAAGTACGTCATTACTACAAACATTTCTGCGGAGAATGTCACATATGTGGTAAATTATTTTCCGGACCGGACACGGATAGGTAACGTGAACGTGTTATGTATGTACACACGGTCAGAGGTAAGTAGAAGTGAATTTTACTGGCGCATGTGTCCGTTAACGGTTAAATAAAAAGTTGGTCATCCAAATACCTTTTTAATAGGTAGTTGTGCAGGTACCTATGAAATACATAAGAATATGAAGTAACTACAACGGAGTCAATAGAAGATAAACAATACTGTGCACTTGGGCTTTACGTGTAGACTACTTTTTGGAATTTCGAGGTTGTTTTTCATAAAATCGCAAAACGCATTTGAATCTAAAAACCTACAAAATAAAAAAAT